TTTTGAAGGGACTTCAAATTAAAATACATGACAGACATTATGATGTTTCGAGCCTCGGCTTGCATTCAATTTCTTTGATTCCTGCACTGGACCTCTTTATATTTTAATTGAGAAGATGGTTGAAAAGTGGAATGGAAAAAAGCGAACAGACTTATGGAAAATATGGAATTGTTTTGCAGATGCGTATCGGCCTGCACACTGGATCAGTACTGGCAGGTGTAGTCGGAGTCAAGATGCCACGTTACTGCCTTTTTGGAAATAATGTCACCCTGGCCAACAAGTTTGAGTCGTGCAGCCAACCTCGAAAAATCAACATCAGCCCAACGACGCACAGGTGACATCTTCGCTCGTCTTTCCGACAATGTCACATTTCATGCTGCACACCATCATCCTTTTCCAAGGTTACCAGAGGAAAATAATGCATTTATTAGACAGGAAACAGAAAGTCAAGAGCAGCGCTGTGTTTCCTCGAGTGTCCAGTTAGTAGTCAGTTGCTACATTGATTCATGTTGTATTTGTGTACTCTTCATCCCAGATTGCTGAAGGAGCGTCCAGAGTTTGTTTTCATTCCCAGGAGCAGGCAGGAGCTTCCGGCCAACTTCCCAGAGGACATTCCTGGTATTTGTTACTTTTTAGAGGCTTCCTTCAAAACTTCACAACTGACTCGGAAATGAAGTCCAGCTGCTGCAGCGAGGCTCCTGTTGTTTCCTTACAAACACTCATATCAGTGTTTCTATATTAGAGTTGTTCGGATATTGATGTCGCTAAGTGTTTGTTTCGCTTGCGGTCATTTCAAATTACAATGGACCCCTGCCATTCACGATGGATAGGGACGACGAAGCCGACTGGGGATGGCTAATTTCCGCAAATAATTGACGCTCCCCTCAAAGTGATTATGATTGCCTTACTAATAACACAACCATATCACAAAGTCTTATTCCCCAAACACTTCAACAGCATTTTCAATATAAAAATAGAGTTCAGCAAACAGCTTTCAGCTAAGTATGCACATACACGACTTACATCAGCGGTCCCCAACCTTTTTCGACCCACGGACCGGTATAATGTCAGACAATATTTTCAGGGACCGGCCTTTAAGGTGTGTCGGATAAATACAACGAAATAATATGATATGACCTGCATGAAAACTGGTATTTTCGAAACATAATAATAAACACGAATCATGACACGAGGAACGTTCTATTTGGCCGCAACACTTTGCTCGCTATGATAACGTTTAAAAGTGCCTTCAAAATAAGATACAAAACGCATGAAATATACGACTCACCATCACTGCATATCATGCAGAGTGGGCTTGGTGTGTGGGAATCTCCAATTGAGCTAGATCCGTATTTTAAGTAGGACTCTGGATACTGTCTATTAAATGTAGCCTTCTTTATCTGAAAAGTTGTAGGCTCCTCTTCTGTCGCCTGGCTGGGCGCTTTCCCTTCCCAAAGAAACTTTCGAAAGAGGTTTGATTTTTTACTCATTTTGCTAGCTCCTGGATTTCATTTTAGCGGTAGCCTATCACATGACCGAAAAGCGCGCCTTGACCTGTGTCAAGAGTGACATACTGTAGACTGATGTAGCAGAGAATCCGGTAATATTTCAAAATAAAACATCTTTCAGATTCCAAAATAAATAAAACGGAAGTAATGCAAGTTATTTATTCTTTCTGTGTGGCCCGGCACCAAATGACCCATGGACCGGTACCGGTCCACGGCCTGGGGGTTGGGGACCACTGACGTACAGGACCAATTTTGACACGCCATGTCATCAAAGCAATTTGATTACACAGCAAAGCACGGCATGATGAAGTTTGTGCTTCATTATTTACTAACCCAAAACTGCTGGCTCCACGCTGTGACAACAAAAACAGGCAGTGGTAGATCTGTTTCAGCATTTCACCGCTGAGCCGTTGTTACGGATTCCACTGGTTTTTAGTCCTAGTTTGGCGGAGCACTGCGATCCTCGAAATCATCTTGAGATTTGTGATTGGAGAGGCGAGTCGGGGCCTGGGAGCAGAGTGAGTGGGCGTGTGTGTGTGTGTGTGTGTGTGTGTGTGTGTGTGTGTGTGGGCGAAACTTTGATAAAAAAACAAACAAAACTTCTGCCTTCTGCTGTGTAAGTTGCGTCGAGTGGAAGTTTGTTTCAAAAGACAACTAATTTGATGTTTTTTGGCAGAGACTTTTACGTCTGACGGGAACGACAATGCAATACAAAAAAAATATACTGTACACATACTGCCATGAAAAAAAAAAGAAAATCGGTGAGATGTTCTGTCAATCATGTAAGAAAGGTAAAAAAAAAAAATAAATAGTCGAATTCATGAATACCAAACTGTGAATATGTGGAAGTCCACTTGTACATTTATGAGGCATTGAAGAAAACTGGGAAGTCAGACATTCATAAATTACGACTTGGAAACATGCATTGACCTACAACATCAGAGTTCCCATCCGTTGTTATAAATATACCGCAACATCTAATCACCCCCAACTCAGAGACAATTTGAAATATAATACACGAGGGAATTCTCATCTTGCACATTCCGCACTGTGACACTGCTTTCAGTTCAAGTTGTTGTCATTCAAGAACAGATTTTCCCATGACAAATAATGTCATGGAAATCACCTCATTCCAGGCTCACTGTTGCTACCATAAATCTGTCGTCAACTGAACTGTACAGCCAATCACTCCTACCATCATAAGAATCATAAGTTAACCAGTGATGCAGTCAACTAAAATATAGCACAGCTGCTCTTGAAGTTTCTCATCGCACTTGATATTTCAACTTCAAGTTTTGGCTAACTTCCAAGGAATTCAATATTTTATCAGTTGTCTGTCTGTATTCAACTGTAAAGTAACTGATAATGAAAGTAATCATTAGTTGCATACATGATTAAATCTGATCTATTCACAACGTCAGCCTTCTCAGGCCCCGTCTTGTTGCTCTATTCTGATCAACAGGAAACCACCTCGCCCGAGGAAAAGCAACCAATCAGGGATGGAAAGCATGACTTACGAGGTGTCAACCATTTGCTGTGTACTCACAGGCACACCCAGAGTGGTGGATGGTTGTTTTTCCTCGGGTGCACTGGTTGTATATCAGTTTAGACACAAAATGGGCCTGAGATGGCTTTTTTTTTTTTTTTTTATGGATGATCAAACTCTCCCTTTAAATGTAAATAATTGACTTGCGTGAAGCGTTCCAACTGGTTTCTTTGAAAGCACCTTTGGCTCAAACAATAAGATCGTGCTCACAGATGTCAAGTCTTGTTTCAGTCGAACTAAATTTGAAAGGGAAAAAAAATCATATTCCCAGATGGGACAAGCCAGCGCCGAATTGATTTTGATTGAAATATGACGACATGAGTTTAAAAATTCCTCATGACTCGCACTATTGTCCATCTGTGCAAACACTCACCGCAGGCCGAATCAGTTTCAAAAATATGTTAATTATTTCAAACCCTAATTTAAGTCACTGATTTCCTTTCTGTTTTTATCTTTTCTTTTTTTTTCTTTTTTTTTTAAGATCGCAATACACAAGAAAGTGCTGCCAAAAATATTAGTGAAATAATTTGATAATATATATTGATGTGATGTGAAATGCTTTTTGGGTTGATCCAGTGCTTGTTAGGATGATCAGATGTTTTGTTAGAATGAGAAATAAATTCTCGAAATATTTTTCCAGCAAATATTTTAACAACATTTCTTCCTGCTTGCACCTTGACATGACTGTGAAAAGTTTACAAAAACACTGAATTGGCTTTGTGTATTGTCTATATTTTGGATAAGTGGTGAAAACATCGAAAAACATTTTTAAAGGTTCACCTTATATCTAGATTTAAGATTCACAGAGCAAACTCAGGTGCCTTTTGAAAGCAGGATCGCACATTTTCATGGAAAAACGTTGATAACTTTTGTTTCTTTCAATATGAATGCAAGCCACAACTTCTTCCATCAAAATATATATTTGAAATACATTCATTATACATTCCAGTACTGCAGTTTCCTAGTAAAGTATTTTTACTGTTTTCACTGTACACATGTTTATACTCTATTTATTACATTGTTTTCATAGCACAACGAGCATCAAAGACAAGAATACAATGAATGTCCTTCGATCACTCATAAGGATGTGCTTTAATTGTTGCTGTAGTGCCAACAAGAGTGCAATAAATATATTGATAAAATGACCCTGAGTCTGAAGCATACATTTTGCACCACAAACGCCACTGAGAGAGGACGTCGTACAAATAAACATCAATATTGTAGCTTTATTTTGTGAAGTGTGCACATTTTCATTGGCAAGAATGTATTTATCAGAACATTTCAACAAGTCACAAAAAATCTTGGAGTAGAAAGTAAAAAAGATTTTAAAGAAGGGAAAACACATGTGCTTCATTGTTAAACACAGTTTACATGTCCAAAAGGGAGTCGGAAGAAGCTGAGAAAACCTTATGCATCCCTACCGATTGTTCTTTGTCTATATTGACTTATTTCATGTGAATACAATAAGTCATTTAGTATATCCCTAAAATGAAAAAAAAAACAACATATAAACTTAGACATTAGTTCATTCTGAGCTCAGCCACATCCTTAGATTTAAGAGGGTGTGCAACCACATCATCTCAGTTTTTTATTTTTACTTCCCCTCTCCAAAATATATTTTTTAAAAGCCTTTCAATTAAGTTGTACTGGCTACAGGCCACATGTTATTTAATGACTTGAAATTATTTATCTTGGTGTAATTTTTTTTTAATATCCAGCAAATGCAATTTTTTTAATATCGCAAAATCCAGCATTTTAACAGGGGTGTGTAAACTTTATATAACCTTTGTTTCCTGTATATGTTAAACAGCACAGCTCAAACGCAAACGGTGCTGGCGTTCACCAGCCTCAGCGTTCGAAACACCCGACGCTGCGTTCTCATTGGCCCGTTGTACTCCTTACGTAATACGCATCCTGACGCCTGATTGGACGCGAGTGTTGCCAATCACAAACTGATGGAGCAAGGAGGCGTGCAAGCCGCGACGACTATCAGCATCTGTAACGGAGCGATGACGCTTATGTCCGAAGCGACGCTTTTTGGTTAAAAAAAAAAAAAAAAAAAAAAAAGAAGAAAAGAAGCGAAGTCAAGTGCAGCCGGCACTATGGTACGTATATTTGTGTTTCATGTAAGCCCGGCATGCCGGTGACGTTTTTGCTTAGCGCCGCTTGCCCGGTTATGTTATGTTATTACTCGGCATATTAACAGGTGAATACAATCCGATCTGGTACCCTTTGAATTTGTCCTCGTTGCGTTACTAATTTTTCCAAACAAGCGTGTGTAGCTGAGCTTATAGCGTCGGGAACGCGGTCAAGTGTGCTGTCATTGTTTGTCATGTATTTACAGTACGGCTTTGTGAATCACGCCTTGGAGCTGCTCGTTTTGAGGAATTACGGACCGGAAGTGTGGGAAGACATCAAGTGAGTGTATATTGTTATGCCCTTTTTTTAATGATTGTTATGCTTATTATATGCTCGTGTTTACACAATAAAATGTTTGACTAGAAGCAGGAAATGTTTGACTGGGAGCAGGTAGTGACCTCAGACGTGATACAGGCCCATTGGACGCTTGCTTTTAATGATTAACAAACAAGACCAAACCACATGCTCACACCACGACATATACATTTTTTATTGAACATAACTTGTCAAAATAACTTATCCTTAACTGACTCTTAACAACGTCTGTCACAACCCTGTTAGTTTGGGGAACTCATTTTTGACATGTAATGATGAAGATTTGTTCATGTCCATCCACCATACTTGACTGATACTTGATTTGCACAGCATGTGCAGTTGCCCAAACACAATGATATTATCTCATATGGGGCAATTGGGATATGCATCATGGCAGGGTAAACAGAAAAAAAAGCTTTGGAAATCACATATTCTCAGATCTGAAATCAGGCTTTCCCCCAAAAATTGTGTGTTTGATATCTGCCAATGCGAGTGCACCACAAACACCATAAAACTAACATCAGATCATTTTTACCTAAAGACCTTTTTCATAAGGGCCAAGATTCAGCCCAATCAAGCGTCCCTATGAATAACCAAAATAACTGCTGGCAGTCGGTGTCCAGTAGAGTAATGAAGAAATGACATGGAAATTGATTGGGTAGATATTGTAACTGTGGACTTTGACCTGCTTTCTCACTCCAGCCTTTGTCATGAATGCATAACAATATATTTTTTTAATGTGGTTGTTAACACTGTACATTTGCACAATTCAAATGTATTTGCACCCCATAAAAAAAAACTGACAGTAGTGTCGACCTCTGATTTGGCTCCGATTTCAAAACAATGTTTACTATTAGAACTATAGGAAATAGAAGTCCTCGCCATCATAAAAGTCATGATTTGCTGTACAGGCAATGTTTTATCATAAGTAACTGTTATGGAATGAAACGTATTGATGAAAGATGAGATCACAGTGCTGCGGGGCTTGCGAATGTCACAAGAGCAAGCCCAGAAAACAGCAGAGCTGTGATTGGTCGTTACCGGAGCCCCGGAGCAACTGTGATGTCATTTTCAGTCGACAGCAAGTGACAAAATGGCTGCCTTCTGAGACGGATAAAAACAGGTGTATTTTGCTGCTTAATTAATATTCAAAAAATGCAATATTATTCCGAATGCTGTGTTTAGACATTTGTGGACACATAGAAATAATGTGGGAAAGAACATTTTTCACGTGCCTTCCTTCACCTTTCATTTCGTTTATTACATAGTAAGTTTGGATCTCCTCAATAAAAGTTATTTACTTTATCTGGAATGAAAAATAAAATAGATAAATGAATAAAAATAAACTTGAATTTACTCAATTAATAAAAAAAAAAAAATGAAGATGCTCTTGTATTTTGAGCTCTTCTGTTAAATACACCTTACCTTGCAACTGTTTTGATTTGTTGAACTTGCAGGTGATTCTGAAAAACTCTTTGCTTTATTTTGTGCTGAGTTGTTGCCAAATGTTTTTTAAAAAAAGCTGTGGGAAAACCCTGAGCATTACTGCAAAGAATGTGCTCCAAGTGACATTTAAATGTGTTGTTCTTGAGCGCCTCCTATTCTATCACCGTTTAATGTCAACATGACATTTTTTTAGCGCGCTCTCTCTTCTGCGCCCTGAACCCGCCACGACCCTAACAGAAAAAAAAAACGTAGAAGCGAAAGTTAAGAGCTGCAGCTGTCTTGTGTAAATGTTTCCATAGTTGTTATTCTCCTCGATGCAGACATGCCGCATCTCACTGATATCTCATATTCAATTTATCACCCTTCTTCTTCTCCTCCTTTTTAACTTGGATCAGCTATAGACAAATTAATCCCGATTTTCCATTGAAAACCTTTTATGGTATGTTTTTTCACCTGCTGTGGGTTCAAAAGATCTGGCCACTATTGCCCATAAATCAGGTTTGTTTTCTCAGCCTGAACAGAACTAATGACAACTGCATTACATTTTCTGTGAGATAATGGATGCTGGAGTGCCCGGCGATGCACATGAGTGACTGCAGATTTAAAACCGATGAACAGTTTCGCTATCAAGTGCAATTACCTTCTTATGTGTAAAACAAAAGTGGACATGTGGACGTCTGGTCTGACATGAATTTCATCACCAGGAGGGAAGCGCAACTCGACATCGAGGGTCAGTTCCTCGTTCGGATCATTTACGATGACACCAAAACGTATGACCTGGTCGCCGCTGCCAGCAAAGTACTCAGTAAGTCTTTTTCTCTTATTTGCTGTGGCACAGTAAGCAATGCATATATATGTGTGTGTGTGTGTGTGTGTGTGTGTGTGTGTGTGTGTGTGTGTGTGTGTGTGTGTGTGTGTGTGTGTACAAAAAAGGTTTATTAACAAACGTAAGACCGAATAATGATGCTGGTCAACACACCAGGACAAAAGGAGAAAACCAAAAAGCGCCTGCAAAAGACGAAGAAAATACAAACGGAAATTGCATGTCTCAATCGGACAAGAGAATCAAATCACGACAAATGCCATTTTTGCCATAAATTGAGAATAATTTCCCAAACTAAATGACTTACTTACAAGAAAGCAATAAACAAGGAACGAGAAAAAGGGAGAAAAATCTGGAACATCAAGAAAATTGCACATGAACAATAACTTGAGGAAGGCGAATTATCCTACAGTGAGTTGTTGACTTGGAAGTCCTTAACGAGTCCATTTGTCACGATGGCTACCAGGTGTGCAGCTGAACAGACTGGAACTACTCTGCCACCTACTGGAGACGAACACAAACTCAATCACGACAGGGATTGATTTCATGACATAAGTGTATACGTTTTATGATGCGTAAAATTTTACTGTGACATTCAATTGGCGGATGCGCGCTACGATCCATTGTGATCGTTTGTTACGGTGGCGTTTTTTTTTAATGGAGTTTGTCGAGGCAACATTTTCGATACGCCTCTCGGATTGGATCTCATTAGTGTGTGCCTAATAGAATGTCCTTACTACGTTCACATGTACATGGAAGCTAATATATGAATAAGATGAAGATTAATTGTAACTCGAGTGCCTCATTATGTGCACTAACAGTATTTCCTGTTTGATATTTGTCAAACGTGATCACACTGTTACACTTTTGTGGATATTTATCACATGAATACAGCCAGAATTGGACTTTATCAAGGTGTTAATATTTTCTTTGCATTCCAGAGATTAATGCAGGAGAAATCCTGCAGATGTTCGGGAAGATGTTCTTTGAGTTTTGCCAAGAGTCGGGATACGACACCATTTTGCGGGTGCTGGGGTCAAACGTGCGCGAATTCCTTCAGGTAAAAGTCTATTTCGAATTGAGATGTGAGAAAGCCTGCCACCGAGAGCAGACGGTCACTATGTTTTTGTTTCTAATTTCTAACAAAAACACAAGAATGTCGGGATAGAACCTGGACTGGTCGCCAGTCTATCACACACACAAAGTGTAGAAAAATAATCGCAGAATGACTTTGCTGTTGCAGAATATCGATTAGCACTGATTGTTTGTGATTTTTCTCAGAATTTGGACGCCCTTCACGATCACCTGGGGACCATCTATCCCGGTATGAGGGCTCCCTCGTTCCGCTGCACGGATGCAGAGAAGGGCAACAATCTAATCCTGCACTACTACTCTGAGCGAGAAGGCCTGCAGGACATCGTGATTGGCATCATTAAAACGGTCGCACAACAAATCCATGGCACAGAGATAGAGATGAAGGTCTGCTTTGCCCTTTTTTTTTTCCACGCATTTTTTTTTTTTTTTTGTCTGCTGTCTCCTGTGTCCTAAGTACAGAGGAGGGAGATGTTATGATATGAGGACTGAATCACAGAAAGGCCTAGGCGGTAGAGAGAGGTTTTGGAAAGATATCTGCGACGAGGGTAGTCGTTTTAGATCGAAGAAATAGTCTCACTCGCACGGAGTATTTTCAAGATGACTCCCATTTATTTGAACTATTTTCATCCATCATTTTCACCCATATATATGCTAATCAGCCAACAATCATGACATGACGGGAACATTCTTCGCCGCCATACCCTCCAGTTGCTGCCTCCTAATCATTTTTATGGACGGGATCATATATTTTGCAGCATTGTGCACATGTGTGCGCGTGTGTGTGCGTGCGTGTGTGTGTGTGTGTGTGTGTGGGTGTGTACTGAAAGCGCAGGAGGGAAAAAAAAAAACGGCAGACGCTCCTAATGTGAGACCCAATCTGGGGAAATATTAGCCACGGTTGCCGTGGAAACAAGGCGCAGAGACAGCAGCCTGACGTCAGTGTGCCTCATGCCGACACTGATTAATGTCATCGTCGGCGCTCCTACGTAATTCTACTGTAATAGACTTTAGATTCATGCATTTTGCACTTTTATTTTTAGGGTACATGATTTATTTAAGGGCAGCAAGGACGAGACAGACACATTCGTAGATGACTTACTTAGAACGACGGTGCAGTTCGGATCAGTCATCACGTTATACCAGAGACGTCAAACGTACGGCCGGCGGGCCAGAACCGGTCCGTCGGGTGGGCCAAACCAGCCCGTGGGGGATGATTTCTGCAGAGTGTCAAACGTACAGAACACATTAAATGCAATTCTTCAATAAAAGTAACTTTTATTGCTTATTTTGGTCACTGGAGGTTGCACTAACAGCCACTTAAAAAAAGATAAGTTTCAGGAGCAAAGCTTACTTGATATAAAATGCCGTGCACCCTTTGATTTGTGAAGAAATAACGAAACAAAAATAAAAAATAGCACCCACACATCTGAATTGATCAATTGGATAGATGTTGTCGAAACAATGTGAAATTGACCAATTTGTGACATAGGAGGTTTTGACCCGACACCAGCAAATTATATAAAATTTGAAGTGCATCATCTCAATATCTTGGTCGCGCCCGCTAGCTTATCTTCATGACCGATATGGTTTAGTCTTGCGCTATCGTACTGAGCTGTCAAGAACAGCAAAAAAAAAGAGAAAAAAAAAAGGAAATCATTTATGATGTTTTACAATTGTATTTCCGTACACCTCTTTTAAAACACAAAGCCACTAAGTGACATCGAAACACTCCTGCAGCGGCTGCCCCGGTTCTGTTTTTGTCTTTTTTTTTCTCCATCCTATTGCCGTATGAGGTGGGGGAAAAAAGTAAATCAGCAGTTGTGCAGTAAAGTAAGGAGTATTTTAGAAAGTACAGCATTGAACTTTTTTTTTTATGCCATTTACAATCCGAAGAAGTTTAATCTTCAATTTAAACTTCAGATGATCCAACCCAAAAGCGAAGAGTGCGACCACATCAAGTTCCTGATCGAGGAAAAGGACTCGGAGGAAGAGGCTTTCTACGAGGACCTGGACGGCTTCGAGGAGAACGGCACCCAGGAGACGCGCATCAGTCCGTACACCTTTTGCAAGGCCTTCCCCTTTCACCTGATGTTCGACAAAGACCTGATGCTCACGCAGTGCGGCAACGCCATTTACCGGGTGCTGCCTCAGGTCTGCTCACCGTTAAGCGACAATGACTCAGCGTAAAAAAGGCGGGGGGATCAGTTGTTATAGAGCACACACATGGTCATTTCTAATCTGGAGCGTCTGAATTACGCCTCTTTTCATTTCCCCCCTTGCCTTTTTAGCTCCAACCTGGCGCCTGCATCCTCCCGTCGGTTTTCTCCCTGGTCCGCCCACACATTGACTTCAGCTACCATGGCATTCTTTCCCACATCAACACTGTCTTTGTCCTGCGAAGCAAGGTAGGATCTTGTCTAAGAGCTGTCATTGTCGCAACACGGTTTTCTAACAAGATCAGGTTTACCAGATTAATTGAGTGACTCGATTAATTCAATTACAATATATATATATATATTTTTTTTTTTTTTTTGCTGCCGTGAAGCTTCGCCCGCAGGGACGACTTTTCCACAGTCTAAGTTCATGCGGTCGCATGCGCCATTCAGTTTGTTCACACGATGGCGGTGAAACAGAAGGATGGACTACGTAAAAGACGCAGACTGTCCAAATTTATGAATCATTGCATACTTAAAACAAGAAAGCAAAGTGCAACATGTCTACTGCGAAGCGGAACTAGCGTAGAACAGCGCATCTACGATTGCCAACATAATATATGGCATCAATGTAGGATAATTTTACCCTTTGATGCACCCTGTTACCCGATAACATGATAAACTGTCCAGTGTAGTAACCGCTGTCCCTGAAAGGGTTAATATGGCTGGAGTCAATTTTAATCCCCCCATAAGCGATCAAAAATTGGGCCCAGCCACAAGTGCACTTTCAATAGCTTTTTTGAACAAACACAACGACATACAAAAGCATACACGGAATAAACATTCACACACCCACAGTGCCAAACATTTAGCAGGTGAGCTAGCAGAACAAATATTCCTGATCGTATCTGAGACAAAGTCAATCTTTTACACCAGGTGTCAAAGTCAAGGCCCGGGGGCCAGATCCGGCCCGCCACATCACTTTATGTGACCCGCAAAAGGAAATCACTGCTAAAACCTGTACCGAAATGTTAAATTGTCACGTGATAAATAACGTTGAAATTTTGTTAGCCTCGTTCCACTTATCTCAACAATAATTGAGCAACAACAAACAAATGGTGGACTTCAGTCATTTCAAAAATAAAACTAGTCATCCATCCATTTGTTGTGTACAAGTAATAATAGCCCGAGAAACATTTATTCAGTTTCACTTTTGTAACGGCCCTCCGCGGGAAGACGTAACCCTAAAGTGGCCCGTGACAAAAAAATTAGTTTGACGCCCCTGTTTTACACCATTCTAAAGGATCCAAGTGAGAACATCCAGCGCATGACAACGTTCCAGCAGAATCAAATTAAACTTTTGGTCTATCTTAAGTCTTCTTCAGTTTTCTATGGCAGGCAGACCTTTAAGGAAAAAAAAAGGCTTTTTGACTTTAAAAATAAAAAGCAAGGTGTAGTTGCACCCCGTTTTTACTGCAAGGCTTGTTTTGTGGAGGAACATTCAATGAAATATTCATAAAGGTTGATGTAACCCTGGCAGGAGGGTCTGCTAAACGTGGAGACGGTGGAGAATGAGGACGAGCTGACGGGGGTGGAGATCAGCTGTCTACGGTTAAAAGGACAGATGATTTATTTGCCCGAAGCCGAGAACATCCTCTTTCTTTGCTCGCCCAGGTAAGTTTACACTGTACCTCAGTGTTCACAGCCCAATCTCGCTTTCTTTTATTGTCATTGATTTTCTTTTCAAACAGTCCAAATGCGTGCAAGCACACGGCCCCGGAAGAGCAATGAAATCCTGAAAATTAGATTCGATTCTCTTGTCACCTCCATTGGCCTTGCTGCCCTTTGTCTTAGTATGTTTATTGGAAATATTAGAAGGAGGGGAGCAGGGTTCAAGAGAGGTTGTCCTCGCAGATGCAAGACACTTTTATAGCAGAGATGACATCGGCGCAGGGGTTTGGTGTGACGCATAACAATAGTTGTGTTGGTGAGTGTAATCGCTTTCAACACAACAGGACAGGAGAAGTGAGCGTCAAGTGTTACCCCTTAGTCCCAGTTGCGGATTACCCTCACACACAAGCGCCATCCCACCTCAGTTACCTCTCTGATACTACCTCAGAGGTCGCAAAATCGCCTTCTTGATTTTTCAGGGACAACGGTCATTACAGTGGACAGCCTATCACGTTATCAGGTTACAGGTTCTCATTATTGGTTCATGAAAAGGGTTCATTCAGTGTCTGTGCCCTTTACAAAAGTGAAAAGGCCCCCTTTTAGGCAGTGTTAAAGGGCCAACAGACAACACAATATCAGGATAATTCGATTACAATAAAAGTAGAAGCAAAATCTCTGGAATTTCGCACTGACCATTTTTCACACATGAACTCATGTTGCTGCAGACGCGCGCACCACTCCATGTACCGGTGTCAATGCTGTAAATTGGCACAAAGTCAGAAAAGCAGGAGGAAACAGTTGTTAATGGACACAAAATGTCCCAAGTTTGGGATCTTTTCATGCTTGGAAAATAATAAAAATAAATAAATAATAATTAAAAAATAAGTGTAATGTGTCTCATTCATCCAAAGCATTCCACAACAGTGTGTCAACAATGGCCAAAATCCTTAACTTGTGGATGTTCGCAAATTCAATAAAGCCTACCATCTGTACTTCGAACGTATCATACTAACCCCCCTTCAGCCCCCTTATAATGGCTTTATTGAACAAACAGGAACAAAAGAAATAAACAATTATTTCACCCAGCTGGCCATAACTCGTGCCCGGGGACTCAACGGGCATGCTAGCGAACATGAGCTAACAACAGCCCACCAAATATACGCACACGTCACTCACCAGGCCAGTCCCCGCTTTTGAAAGGCAACAATAACACCAACATCCCCGCATTGTGCTTCCTTCTGACAAAAGTGTGATGAACCTGGACGACCTGACGCGACGAGGCTTGTACCTGAGCGACATCCCGCTGCACGATGCCACACGAGACCTGGTGCTGTTGGGCGAGCAGTTTCGTGAAGAGTACAAGCTGACCCAGGAGCTGGAGATCCTCACCGACCGCCTGCAGCACACACTCCGGGCCCTGGAGGACGAGAAAAAGAAGACGGACAGGTTGGACTATTTTCTCTTCAATGCGTGCGCAAATTCGATTTACAGTCGTAGTTTGTGGACATTCATTCACAAGCTGCAAATGCCCACGAGTAATGTTGAGCCACTCAACACGAAAACAGTTGCTAGAATACTAAACTGTAAATATTTGATAGCTGCAGCCCTAGAACAATTAGAATTGCCTTTCGCACGAAGCTAAAAAGACAAAAGCTGTTGACGGTCCTGAAAAATGATTCAAATATTTTACTTTGGCAAATAACAGAAAAAAAATGGAAACAAAATTGACTAAAATGGACTCGCACCAAATGCTACATTGTCACCTCCTGCCTAGGCTACTATTTTGATATGAATGCTTTCATCACTGGGAATAAAAATGTTCATGGTCGAGTTAGTTATCCTGCTTCAAAATGTTTTAATACTAAATTCAGCAACAACAAAAAAAACTGCTGAATGGAGATAGCGCCTGCTTTTAGGCTGCTATTAATATATCAGTTTAGGTTGTGAGTGTAGCCCTTTTAACTGTTGCTTTCTCCAATGGACGTCTTTTAAACACTAATCCATGCCTCTCAGTCATGCTGAAGTGTCAGCAAGGTGAGAATCTATTGATTCTCAGTGAGTCTGACCTTCCACGAACGGCTTGGCGTTATTTATTTGGCAGGTGGTGAGCAGCACTCTGTTGAGAAAAAAAGACGAGTGGGTACTGGATTTGTGTGTTCTTCATATCAATGTTGTCCAATTGGACACATTCAAGGCTTCCCTGTTAGTATTTAACAAAACCGTCACTTAAATCATTGCATATAGAGCAAAAGATTTTTATGATGGCAACACTTTTACACCACAACAGACTAATTCAATTAGAATCGAAACCACGACATCAGACAAATTGGATGGACTTTAAGGGCTCCACGGCATAGATTTTTTTTTTTGGGCATGCCTGAAAGCTTTGACCAAGCCTCCATGATCTCAGCGGTTGCCATAGGAACACCACCCTTTTATCCAAATGCAGCCAGCATGTAGAAATGACCCAAAAGATGGTGGGTGAGCGAATAAAAGCGCCCATCCAAAAAGGACGGCATCAAATCTGTCCACAACATATTCACTTGCCCCCCGTGCACTCTTCCGTCTTCCATCTTTTGTTTTTCAGACTGCTGTACTCCGTCCTGCCTCCGTCCGTAGCCAACGAACTGCGACACAAGCGGCCAGTCCCGGCCAAGCGCTACGACAATGTCACCATTCTTTTCAGCGGCATCGTTGGCTTCAACGCCTTCTGTAGCAAGCATGCCTCCGCCGAGGGCGCCATCAAGATTGTCAACCTGCTCAATGACGTTTACACCCGATTCGACATCTTGACCGACTCGCGAAAGAACCCATACGTGTACAAGGTTTGGAATTCACTCGTTGAAATATGACTTTGTTACTGACGTTTTTCTTTCAAAAAAATATGAATTACGGTAAAATCGTGTGGAAGAACACGCACCTGCGTGAAATATGCCCCCAGCAAATGCAAATTTATTCTTCAAATAACACACCCCTTTTCATTAAAAAAAATGTTTCTCGTAAAATGTTGATTAAAAATACAACTTCATCCTCATAAAACTATTATTTATGTTTCGAAAAATATATATATTTTCAGACAATTTTCTTTTTCTTGAAAAAATACCACAAGTCTAATTGTATTGCAATTTTTTTCTCAAGGAAATTCACATTTATTTTCATAAAATTATGACTTTGTTCTTATATTTACGCTTATTTTTCCTTTTCAGCGTGGCCCTTATGCCCCTCCTTATGTTTGAATGCAGCAGTGGCCCTGCGGTGCAAAAAAACGTGATGTAACAACCTTGATTGCGTGCTGGCGAACGACTATTTATAGTGGTTGACTTGAGTTTTTCACCGGTGGAACAGTAGTATGGATCTCTAAACAACACAGAGCAGCTTTTGAGAGTGAGCGCAGCGCTTTATGGGCCTCTCGTGGCAGATTTACACTGCGGGCTTTCAGACAAGAATGCACTTGAAGGAGTCAAACAGACCCCAGCCACTTCCAGCTAAGCCTCCATTGGCTTCAGGCACTGGGTCACCAAAAGAAGTAATATTTACTCTACGAGCTGAATGGCTTGGTGGTCTCGCCCCTACCTCAATGTCTCAAAGCTGATGTAAGTGTTTATCAGCCAGTTTATTTTGGGCTGCTCTGTGTATTGAAAGACATTAATGTCTTCGGTGGGCGTCACACAATGCACTTTTCAAATAAAGAGAATGGGGCTCACTGGAAGCTATGGAATGTTTTCGACACAGGTGGAGACGGTGGGCGACAAGTACATGACGGTGAGCGGCCTGCCCGAGCCGTGCACGCACCACGCCAAGTCCATTTGCCATCTTGCGCTCGACATGTTGGAAATCGCGGGACAAGTCAAAGTGGACGACGAGCCCGTACAGGTGGGATTTGGACCCTTATGCAGGTGCGATTGCAATAGATTTGAATATTGTAGAAAAGTTCATTTCTTTCATTGGTTCTATTCACAGTGTAAGTCGAGTAAAAAAAAAAAAAAGGCTTTGAAATAATATGATCATCAGCCGCCGCTAATCTAAACATAACATTCTAGTTAATACTGGGTTGATGGAATAAGGATGAATCAGATAAATCGCCCCCGTTTTCAGCACTGCTGAAAAACAGAAATAACTAGACGAGTTTTGTGTACGTTTGTGATCTCACTGCACAGTTTGGTTTGTCAAAATCTTATCTGTTATACTAATAAAATATTTTTTAAAATATGTAGCGCTTAACTCATCATACAAAGATAGTTATTAATAGCAGTGGTACAAAGAGACACTGAAAGAAAAAAAAACTTGTCAGCTATAGTGGGGATGAAACAGTTTGCTAGCTCGTAGGCTGAGGCCTTGTACCAGCTAGTGATTGTTAACCGTACTAACAAAAGAGAAAATTTGCCAGGTTGCACTTTTGGTCACGGTATTCTCATGTTTCCCTGTAAATCCCCTTCCCTTTCTTGCATTTTAATGTGCTGTCTTTCACTCATGTGACTTCACAGCTTTGTTAACAGTCACTTTGAATACTGATAGCCCAAAATGGCCGCCACACCCCATTGTGTTATGTGATGTGGCGGCCATTTTGGACTCGCTGTGTTCATGGTGACCATCAACAGTACCACATGTGAAAAGGTGAAGACGTTGCACAGTGATTTGCTCGTAGGTAGAAAGTGTATTTTACCGTATTTATTTTTAACCACACAGCAATAAATTAAGGGTATTTGTAATTTTTTTCTGCGGCTGGAACAGATACATCTCTACAGCCATAGGTTAGCCTGGGGCTTTTTTTAAACTTGTTACTATCTGCACTAAAAAAAAAGTAAAATGGTTAGTTTTTGTTATAAATGAAACCATGAAAAGGGATTTAATTCATTTATTATTGTACTCATTTGTGTTTGTTTTAAACAGCAGCCGAGTTTCCCGTGTTCAAATGTACCATGGGTGATGGTTACTATTTCATTGATTGCAGAATACGCCTGCTTTAAGAAAAGCTTGTTTATTTTGGCCACACACTAAAGAGGAGTGGACTTTTTTCAGAGCAAAAACACACTCAAATGATCTCACTCTCCCGAGTTAAAAATAGATTCTCATTCATCTCGCGCACAAGAGCGCCTTCACGCTCTGAAGACCACCACAGTGCCAAGCGCTTGACAGGGAAATAGTCTGTAGATTGCTTACAAGTGCCTCTTCTGGAGCTATTATGGAAACATTGTTGTTTTTGCAGATTACCATCGGGATCCACACGGGAGAGGTGGTGACAGGGGTGATTGGCCAGAGAATGCCCCGGTACTGCCTCTTCGGCAACACGGTCAACCTCACAAGCCGCACGGAAACCACTGGTGAAAAGGGCAAAATCAATGTTTCAGAATATACATACAGGTGAGAAACGGTCACGTGGGGTTTTACTTTCTGGCCTTGGATTTGACACCTCTGTTCAGGTTTGGCGTTTTGAAGTACACGCGTAACTTGTATCTCACGGCACCACTGTCTTCAGATCAAGTGTGTTAAAGGAACTGAGCCCCGCTGACAGTAACAAATATAATAAACACCTTCTAGAAAGCCATGTAATTGCTTTTTGATGCCACAAGATAAGATAAGAAAACTTTTGTCTCAGAATGGGGAAATTCCCAATTTACAGCAGCAAAATGATGAAAGGGAGAAGTATAAGATAAATACATATATATATATATATATATATATGGCGGCAAAGCACTACTTTGCTATTAGACAAGGTTATGCCTCATTTCACTGTAATCCCTTTGCACCAAGATGGCACCAAAGCAATAATTTTATGTTAGTGTTTGGGCCTGAGCACAAAACCAGCCAATAGATGAGTGTACACCCTCAGCTATTATTTTGAAGGCACACGGTTTACAAAAACAACCATTTGCTGTTGTTCCAGGTGCTTGCAGTCCCCCGAGAACGCGGACCCTCAGTTCCATCTGGCTTACAGAGGCCCCGTCACCATGAAAGGGAAGAAGGAGCCCATGAAGGTGTGGTTCCTGTCCAGACAGGAAGTCCACTGATGCCCTCCCCTACCTTCAACTCTAATTCATCAGATGGATTGAGTAGAATGAAATAACACAGTTGTCGATTGGACACAAAAGTTGCCGGCATGAAATTGTGCCACTGTGCTTCGCTACACTATAATATACAGCCCAGGATTTACTGTGTCTAATTTAGACACATATTGATTAGTTTGAGTGATAATAGCTGTACTTGTCAAGCACTTTTCACTGCCCAAACACACCCACAGTGGAATCATAATGACATTCAAGTTAGTGAGATTTCACTTTTAAAAAGTAAAAGAAAACTATATATCAAAAACATTCGAAGTTTATTCTACATAGGCTACATCATGTTTGTTGACCATGCCCCCCATTGGTGAGGGTGAATATTTTCAAGTCGCAATATATTTACTTCATTCCTCACTCTAAGTGGACATTTTATATTTGACCAATGTGGTTTTTTTTTCTTTTATGTGTAAAATATTTTGCGCGTGAACGCCTTTGTCTAATCGCACTCTTGAAGCACTTCCACTTTGTACACTATTTGGCTTGGATGTTAACTTGCCAACATTTTAAGCACATGTAGCACAGTTCAGAGATTCTGATTCGAATCTTGACTTGTGGAGTTTGCACGTTCGACCTGCGCTTGTTTGGACTGTGTTGCGGTACTTCTGCTTCCTCACATATTCCCAAAATTATGCCCGCTTCATTGAAGACTCTAGATTGGCCATAGGTGTGAATATTACAATATACGTTGTCTACCACATATGGCTGTGATTGGCTGGCGACCAGTCCCGATGGGATAGGCTCCAGTTCAACCACAACAAAAAATCATGAGGTTTAGAAGTATAGAAATTATGGAGGGGTGGATGTTCGTGTACCTAATGAAATTGCACACACGTTTAGTATTTACCACTGCAGTGTTAATGCACAGAAAACTTTTAGAGACACATATTTATTATTATGTTTTATTTTGCTGTACTGTTGTATGTAACTTTTGAAAAATGCCCCAAATAAAATATTTTTAACTCATTTTTCATGAGTGCAAAATGTATAATTCAGCAACTTAAACCATATAGTCAGTAATTTAAGATCACGCAGTAAAATGTCTACGTAACATTTGATTCGACGCATTCAACGCGCCTGCGCAAACGAGTCCATCGCACACCGGTTGTAACCTCGAAACGTCGTGTGTCGAGCCCCTTTGAATCTGGTTCGGGTTGAGTCGCATAGCAAAGGTGGTTCTGTAATACGTCACGGGCTCCCTCTAGCGTCTGTAAAAAGCACAACACTGGAAAATGCCTCAAGAATTGTATTCACTGAAGCAATTTTGAATACGAAATTGGTGTACCAAGCAATATTGGTTTGCAGGTGTGTAAGGTCAAAGGTAACATCAATTGGAATAAACGTGTAAGCAGTATTTCCATTTTTAGCTGCTCAGCTCTTCATAGTGACTAAGGTACTATAAGTGTTATCTCTTTCCTGATAACATCTTCTGATTGGGGCACTGTGTGTGTACTATACACACACACTTCAACGTGGCGATAGGACACTTTATTGACTGAAGAAGATGGCAATCAAATCGAGTGGTGAATAATGTAAACGTACCAAATGATACGTACAGGAAACAAAAAGGTTGAGAGACAAGTGTGCTCTGATTAAAAATATGTTACTCGGAAATTATTAAGTTAGAAAATAAGGCACTAATTATTGAAGTTTCGTAGGGGTGATTCTTTCCCATTCTTGCTTGAGTACGACTTCAGTTGCTCAACAGTCCCAGGGTCTCGATTTTCGTATTTTGCACTTTAATGCCTGTACCTTTCAGCCTTATGTTGCCTACACTGATGTACAAGTCATCCATGGGCAGCCCTCTACAAATTCAAAAATGTAAAGCAAACACGGTAAAGCAACGTTTAGTTGCTATGCTGCATGCAAATAGAAGACACTTCCAACAGAAGTGAGGTCAGCCCCAGTCATAAATGCTTTTAGGTGCTCTGGGAGAAAGGTAAAGTTATCAAGCGTATCATGTAGTTTATGCAGAGTTTATCTTAGACACCTTCTGCAAAGTGGAGTTCTTGTTGACGCACAATGATTGCACGTGTGTGTGTGTGTGTGTGTGTGTGTCCCCTATGACTAAGGTCTCTTGTATGAGCAAATGAAGGTCGAAGGTATCAGCTGGAGTGTCATTATCACTGTGACTGCAATCACAGGCCATCATGTCATCATATCTCGACTTGAGTGATAAGCAGCATGTAAATCGCAGCAAAGGTGGTTCACATTGGGACATTTTTACCTCAATTGAGACACTGAGAATTTGAGGGGGCTGATTCCAGTTTTGTTAAATTCAGAAATGAATTAAAAGGAAAGGAACATTACCCCCCGCCAACTCATATTTCCAAGATGGCCACACCCATAACACCAGGCTTCTGCTACAAAAACATTTCAGTAAGTGAGGTTCAGAAGTTGAAGACTCAGAAGGTAAGTATTGTACAGTGAAGCTCTCATAACATGGCCCATGGTGGACTATCATTTAATATTCGCTGGCTGGGACCTCGGGCCGTCGCTATCTAGCAGGCTAATCCTTCCGTGGATGAAAGACTTCACCACTAACAGCACTCGCCGACTCGGATGTGGTTGGAGCCTGCTAGCTGGCCGTCACTCTCTTTCTGAAGCGAGTGCTTCGCCACCCCCACTGCTTCCATCGAGACATAAGTTTCTCTTGTCTCTTCATTTGTGTGGATGTTGAGAAAAGCGCGAAACAAATTATTATCATTGTTCTTATTAACTCATTATACAGTTGGTAAATTTGGTGTTTTTTTTATATTGTACTTTATAAAACCATAAGGTGATAACATAGTTAAATACAATATAAATCAGTTTTAATTCAACTTCAATGTACACTGTGCTGCTCCTTAGGGTGTGCGTGCCTTGGCCACCTCCCTGGAACAGTATAATACAGGCATAAGTGTATACAGTGCATCGAGACGTCTCAGCTCCTCAGGAAGCTGCAGTAATTCTTTGGAGAGGATAAAGAATACATGCTTGTGAGTATCGTTATATTATGTCTCTATATGTATTGCACCACTACGCAATCATTGGACCGTGGACCAGCACATTTGGCACTGGACTGCACAGAATGAGAATTTCTGTTTTGTTTTTGAAGCCCAGAATAAACTCTCTCCCTTGTTTATTATTCATTTATAAATATCTTAGAAAACTGCTAAGGGCAAGGCCTTATTCTAAAGCAGTAAGCTCTGCATTGTGACACAAGAAACAGGCCCCTTTATGTAAACACCCTTTGCATGTTTGAACTGCTGCGCCCACCTTTTTTTATGCTGGCTGAAGGCGTCCAATGAGAAGCAGCCGCGGGGTTGTACTTACCTGAGCAAGCGTGAGCTTTACACGGCCACATCAGCACTCAAGATAGATGAGCAGATAAGAGTGCTTTGAAAAGGAGGCACGCTTACAACCCTCTTTTGCTTTGCTGCAGAGTCAGAAACCCCCAGCCAACCTCGGTCACCACCCGTGTTCACCCTCATTACCACCAGCGGCAGCACCACCATGACTTTCAACGGCAACTGGAAAGTGGACCGCAATGACAACTATGACAAGTTCATGGAGCAAATGGGTATGCGAGCAAACTGAAGGATACGATTGGAATTCTTGTCATTACTGTATTTGGATTTGGGTCATGGGATGCTATTTGGGCCGAAAGAAGCAAGTGTAATACTGGTAACAATACAAGTTTTATAGATAGGTGCCTTTGTAAAATGTTTTTGTTGTTTCTTTCTAAAACGGCTAATTTTGCAGTCTTTTTTTTTTTTTTTTTTACTTGTCGATGTTTTTTTAAGTTAATATTTGTTTTATTTTCAACGTGTGCATTTTTAAATATCTAATTGTCATTTTTTGCATTATGTGCTTTTCTTTTGAATTGCTTCTGTTGCTTATTTTATATGTAACAATTTTATGTTTATGTTCTTTTTGAATGAACAAAATCTATATTTACATCTCTCTCTCTCTCTCTCTCTCTCTCTCTTGCAGTGTCATTTAAGTAAAAAACAATAAGAATAAAAAAAGGAAGAAGCCACACACAGCACCACTAACAGGTGACATGTGCATTGACAGGTGTCAACATGGTGAAAAGGAAGCTTGCGGCCCACGACAATCTAAAAATTACCATCGAGCAGAACGGAGACAAGTTCCACGTGAAGGAGAGCAGCAATTTCCGCACTCTGGAAATCGACTTCACCCTGGGGGTCAACTTCGAGTACAGTCTGGCTGACGGCACCGAAGTCTCTGTGAGTAAACAAAACTGCGCACCGAATGCTGCTAAGGACGTTTATGTCGCTTGCTCCTCCTCTAAATCGATCATGTCAGATTTTGAGCCTTGAAGGCCGCAAGATTTGATTTGTTTACAGATGAAAATAAACTGCAACACAAAGCAAGGGTCTATATTGAAGTCACCCTTGGGGCAGTTTTTTTTTCTTTTTACCTCAGCTAGGAGTCACCTGGGTTCATCTGTTTATTTTCATTTTAAAAAATCTAATGTGGCCGTTAATTAGAAGTTTCCCCACCCGTTTTCCTCCAGCTTACCCGCGACCCGAATAAAGATGTCGAAAATGATGTGGGGAAAAAAAAAAAAGAAAATTAAACCTGATTGCAGGGCTCATGGACGCTGGAGGGTGACACGCTGAAGGGCATCTTCACCAGGAAAGACAACGGCAAGCAGCTAACAACCACAAGAATTGTGCAAGGAGATGAGCTCATACAGGTGGGGCACCTTGAACCACACACACACACACACACACCATTCACAGTCTGAGTCTATTGAGGTGGCATCTTTGTTTTCTACCCACAGAGCTACAGCTACGACGGCGTGGATGCTAAAAGGATTTTCAAGAGGGCTTAGGTTTAGTGAACCTTGCCAGGGGGTTACAGACAATTTTTTGTGACTTACCGCATAACTTGTACAATGTGCACTGTGTGTCATGCCTCAGGTATGTACGCCCACCCACAACCCCCACCCCACCTCCCAGAAAGAAAAACAATTAAATTAATTGCACTGGATTTTGACTTTGTCGTCATTAATAACTCTATCATACTCTCATTGTTTAAACATAAATCAAGCATCCCCAAAACCATTTTTGCGGATGATTTTTTTTTTGTTCAGTCATAAACTGCCATAAGCTCTTTATATTTGTTGCAAGTCTGTTTTGTTCTTTATATTAAGGTGATATGTACAATGGATGTCGACGCTAGCAGCCATGCAAATGGCTAAAACGGCAATCGGAAAACTGGTTATGTCACCTTGTTTCGTAGCATCATCAGTATTCTGTTTTACTAATATTCACATCTCTCAGTCCGTGGTTCTTTTCAGGTTTTGGTGTCAAACATTCCTGGTAGGCTTTATCACGCAACTGTGATTTCAAAGGAATGTATTTGTGCTCTGTTTTTGCCGTCTGCAAGTTGCCTGGCAAAGCAAGACATCAGTCTGAGAGCGTGAAAAGTCATGATACTGTATTTGTGCGCGACACAAAAGCCTGAAAAAGAAGCACAGAGTAAGAGTGGCAGTTTTTGGTCTGTGCAGCCACTTAGGATTTTGTTGAAGTCGCTCACCAATGTCAAGGAAGTATATCTTTGTCGTTTGAAAAAATGTGTATACCTGGGGGAGGAACTAAGGCAGTGTTGTTTTTGGCAGTCGGCAGTTCAACGGCTGAAAAAGGAAGACAGGGGAAAAGTGACACATTCTCAGAGTGACACAGTCATTTATTCAACAGTAATAAATAAAAAATAAATATTTATTATCTACAAAAATATAAAGTGCAGACAGATTCTGGACGTTGTTTTCCCGAAATGGTGATGCTACTCGCACAGAGATGTGATCCACATGTACATACAGTACAAGGCAGCATCGGCCGCTACCACGGAGAACCACAACTGCACGTACACAAGGTCCGTGTGTGTGTGGATGAAAAATGAGCGTGATTACATCTCCAAACTGTTGCAATAAAGCCTGATGTAAACGTATGTCCTCAAATAGTGGCCTTCGCTCCAGTACCCTTCCCGTCTCAATTTGTCGCGGGTTCACTGTACACCAAATAAAATGAACGCCTCCCCTCAACTAAATAACAGCTCTATTTTACTAGTCATATTTCCACCTCGCGCTACATTTCTGTTTTACACGCTGATATGGGTTTGCTTTCGTAACTCGTGGCGCATCATGGTAAATTCAAACCAAAAGAAAATAAGCAACGTGTACATGCAGGGATGTCAAACTAATTTTTGTCATGGGTCAAATTTGATGGAAAAAATAAAAATAAATAAAAAGAACAAACACATCTTTCGCTCAAAGTCAGCTGGGATAGACTGTGGCTCACTTATCACACTAATGAAGAAAAACGCTATGGAAAACGGACATGTGAACGGGTTCCCAAACAGTGGCTTGGAACCAAAAACATTTGGTTGAATTTTGTAGGCTATGCAAGTAAAATGCACAAAGACTTGTCGTTTACTTTATTGATCATCATCATGAAGGATATAGATGTGTTTTTGACAAAATGAGGCTGGAAATATCCTTCAAAAAGAGGTTTCAAGCTGTTTACTGCTACATCAAGCGCATGGCTTCGAATAGTATAAAATGGGGAAAACACGACAGGGAAACGCAATAGCAATTAGCATCTATGCAGTGGAGTCGCAACGGCTATCTGAGCACAATCTTTGCGGCAATGCAGCAGTCGGATCATGTAACAGTACTCAGTGGCATATAGTCTTTATCCTCTGTGAGGAACAACTAAATTAACTGCCGTGCTGAGAAGCAAGAGGGTTAGAGTCTCCACTACAGTATATCCGTCTGTGTGTTTTATACACCACCCCCCACGATATGCATTGTAGGAAAAAGTGTCACAAAAACAGTTTCATTGTATTTGATGATGTTATAACTGTATGCATTATTTCTAATTGAAGAACAAATTAATTCTACTCATTTTTTTTCAGGCGGGAGAGGTGGCTGGTACGGATTAATAGCATATCCATGAAGCAGTATGTCGTTACGCAACAATGTCTCCAACAGATGCCTCCTTCCTCAAAAAAAATAAAGCCCACTACTTGAGGAAATACGGTAATAAAACGTCATGTGACAGGGGGCAAAATAAAAAAAAAAAAAGAAGCCCAACCTTTGGATGTTGTGAAACACAATGACTACTCTAAAAACATTTCAGCTTCGCCGCGGTGATGTCATTTTTGCCAATGATTGGCTGGCGAGTAGACGCGCTCTAGAGAACGTATGGATGGATGACCGTTTTTTTTTTTGCCGTCACATTGTTCGCCCGTTAGTGCTGCATATTGGGGAGGGGAGCGGGGGTGGGGGAAGTTCTGACATCACAACCCGCGTCACGGGGCCTCCACACCAACAAACATGGTGTCACTCATAAAAATGTCAAGGCACTCGTGATGCAACGGAAGACACGCCCAGTGTACGATACAAGAAAATGGAATCGGATTCTGTACAGAGAGTGGAAGGAATTTGAAAGGATAAACAAAACGTCATAAAGGTGCTACATCGTTATCGGTGTGCCTCACAATGGCTCGAATAATCCACTAAAACAACACAAAGGAACAATCCATCCATTAGTAGAAGCACAACAGCACAATCAACTCGCTTGAAGGCATCCTTGAATCATGTCGCACACTCTCTTTAGGTGATTGGGAGGGTGGGGGGTGGGGGGGCACATTTATATGGTGTGACACCTAAAATTAAATATACACCATCAAATAATTATAGTAACTGTACAATATGTAGTATTATGGCATGATAAGGTACAGACCTGGGATGAGGTTTGTCTTCAAAATACTTGAAGAAATGAATAAGCACTACACAGGACAAAACATTTGGTACACCTGTAAAGTAATTCAATATAAATTTGATAAATTCTTGAGATGCAGCATGTCATTTTCAAGGAGGTCTCAACATGTTTAGTCCATTTAATAATATGTTTATTAATGTGGTTGTTGGTTGGTGTATCACCTTTTTTTTTTCAGGCCTTCAGTCGTTGCCGACGATGGATTTTGCGTCAGTTTAAAGAGAGTCAACATTCATCTTAGCGGCAGTGGCTGGTGATCTCATAATACACATACAATATCGTTAGCCTAATAGTTGAACACTGGTCAGCAGCAAATTTGAATCCCGAAATTTCAAAAATGATTTCATTTTGATTTCTGATTTCAAAAATGTATATATTTTTTTTTTTGGTAGCACATCAGGTTTTTTCAGAGATTTTCATTTTTTGTTTTAACTTTTGAGCTATATAAGCTTGCGCAAGACGGATTTTACCATGCGTTGTAATTAATAGCTATGTTGTTTCGGGAAGACATTCATGCCCCCATGGCCTCATGCTGACCTGTTTACCTTGGCCTTCAGGAGCTTTGCTTAAACTATGGCGCAATATCCACCCGCCCCCCCCAAAATGAGAACATGCCCATCCCCATTTGCCAACAACTAGGCACAAAACTAGCAAACAAGAGCACAGGAAAAATAACTCAGGCAGTGAGAGGATTCAGAAGGATGCAGAATGAGCAACATTTCTGCACGACAGGTCTTTTTTTTTTTTTTAAATATCTTTTCAATTTTTAATTGATGGTATGTTCCAAAAAAAAATAAAAGTTCACACCTATAACAAATAGTCTTGTTTTAAAACTCTATTACGAATGACAAACGTAGCAGCCGCGGCTAAAGTCAGATTATTTACAGTGCTAATGCTAGTTTAATATTGCTTCTGCTACAATTTTGTGGCAGCCGGACATGCATTCTGAATGGCCATGCTTGAGAATTGCGCTTGAGCATGTTCGTGAGGGGCGTGGCTGTGGTCGAGGGCGGGGATTAGTCAAGAGAGGCTTGACATTCAAATCTTACGAGCAGTTTCAAGAATGCAAACGCCTCCTTACTAACTAGAATGATGCCAACATTTTTGGTTGTAATTTTGTTTGGAACATTTTTTTAAACGTTTACAAATTTAAATGTCAACAGTTCAATACCACTGCAAACAACCACAATAACAAAATATTATGAAATGAATAATTCAGCTATTGTGTTAATCAAAACAGAGCGTTATTACGTTTGTAAAAACTTTGTCTGGCATTGTATTTTTTTTTTTTTTAATTACGGCCATGAGTTATTGGGTCCCCTTGAAAGGTCCTATATAAAGCTAAGTAAGTAAAATAAAGTAGAAATCATAATAATAATGTGTACAGGTGTATGTGATGATGCATCCAAACGTATATTATTTTCACATACGTTTTGGGAGGCTACAGATCTGACAAAATCTTTACACATGTCAAAATAACCTTATCAACTTAATGCATAGTATAACTCCGGACATTTTCGAAGTCTATTATTTGCTTCGTACGTTCATATTTACAACAGATGCATTCGTATAAACAAGAGAATCAGAACATTCAAGTTTTTAAAAATAACAAACAAACAAACAAACCATAAAAACGGTTGAACTTACAAACATCAATCGGATTAGTACGTTTCAATAAATATTGGATAGTTGATGTTGTTTTGGACTATTGTCATGCTCATGCTTCTGCTGTAACAAGCAAGCTAGAAAGACTTGGTAAAGGCCACATGCACGTTGGGGGGGGGGGGGATTTTGGGGACATTGTGGGACTTTTATCCCAGCGTGATGTCGGATTGGCATCTGAATTTCATTGGTATCATTCAGCAAACATCTTCACACCGAAAACATGAATACGAGCATTTAATATGTTAGGATTGGGAGAACAATTGAGAGTCAAACACAAAATAGGTTGAATCGTTTGTGGGCGGCTGGCATGCAACTTATTTGTACATATCCCCACTTGGGAGGCCTTTAAATCTGCTTTTAATCGCTTCAAATATCACTGACGGCAACAAAAAAATAAAATAAATAAAAATCTTTATCGACGCATTTGCATGAGCTTCTGTCACTCATTAACACTGGGCAGGTCATTAAAAGAAGCAATAAGTGGCGCCAGTTTGGACGAAGTACTAAACGTGTATGTCGCAATGTGACCTGCAGAAGGATTTTGCCAGTGTTTACGAGTTTGCCATCATACACCATGAGAATTACAACAATCAATGTAAGCGTACTGTCGATGCAACTTTAATTTCAGATGATTCGCAAAAACGTAACATTTTGCTTTATTTTGGGAGCTCAAAGTGCTATCATTGTGAACGTAAGCAGCATTTGACTGCATTTATGGCTCTTGCTGTCTTGACTTGTGTCTTCAAGTAAAAGTAAAAAAACATCCCCTATTGGGTTGATATCAGGTCACCGCTGAGCAATCGGCCATTTCTTCACCTTAAAATGTTTCTTTTCAAGCATAATATGCACCTATCCAAACATTTTGGCCTGAACGTGAGCATAAAGTACATATACAGTGAATACAAAAGGTCTACACCCCTGTTCCGAAGCTTTTGCAACTTAAACAAAATGAGACCAAGATAAATGATTTCAAGACTTTTTTTTGCCCCCATCATAATGTGACCTAGAACCTATACAATTGAAAAAAAAAAACAAAAAATCATTTCAAGTGCCTCTGGTTAACGCCAAATGAAGTTCAGATGTTCTAGTAGGCTGTCTTACAAGGCATTGTCTCACTTATTTTAAGTCTCCTTTAAAAGTGATGGTCATATTTGAAAAGATTTTATCCTCCTGTTAATAGCGGTATCCCTCATAAAATGGCAAATTTCGGAATGTTAAACTTTCTATTTTTATGGGATAATTGCAGATGAACACTTAAATCACAGTCCATTCTGATCGTGTATGAAGGCGTCGTCATAAAAACTGATAACGTTGAACATGCCGGGGGGGCCTTCGCAGTGTAGTATTCATTCAATATGTAAGGTAACTGCCTTCAGCGCTGATGATGTAAGCCTCTTCGGTGCGAACACATGACATCATGCTGCCGTGTCAAAGACAATTGTATAACGAGTTCGTATTGAAATGGACCAGCCGTGTTCTGATCCACTTCTGAGGGCTATTATAACACAAATTTTATATATCAAATTATGCATAACGTGTCTAAAAAAAGATTCTGTGCAAAACTGTCCAGAACTTGTGGAAACAGGAAAAGTGGAAGACGAGTGCATGTGTGTGCAAAGGAGAGCGTTAATAGTGCGTGGAACAATAAATAACATCTTTCATCTTTAAACAAGGCTACACTTATGATGAGCTTGCATCCATAAATTCCACTCAGGATAAAATGTCATGCTGAGATGGACAAAAATGATTTGGACACACCTCACGATGGATGAATTAAACAATCGGGGGTTGTTGTTCTCTTCTTGAATCATAATTCATCTGAAATGAGTTACACACACGATACCGATTTTTACGTCTCGAGTGATGTTTTAGAGTTTTGGATGTTTGAGTCAATGCACATAACAACGAAAAGTGTTGGTTTCCTGCCTTTGATGACCGTGTTGGTGTGTACCCTACTTAAAGACATTTTGGACAAGTCTAGGTTTGGAGGGAACCGATATTATGGAAAGGCAAGAACCAGAAAGGCATGCTTGGGTAAGTGTGAATTTGAGATCAATAACATTTAGGACAATAATTGAATACAGGTCCAACATTCTGACACCCTCCGATGCCTTATAGCAGCACATTTTCACTCCTCGCAGGTGTTATCGACATGGTGTGCCAACACTTTTGTCCACATAGTCTATTTCAAACCTCTGTAAACTCTTTGGCATCCATTTTCAATCTCATATGACCGCACAGTTGATGCATGTTAAAAAAAAAAAAAAAAAAAAAAAAAGTAGACTCATAAAAAGCCTCGTTCATCCAGACCTTTGGCTGTTACCGGGTTCCATTTCGCGGTGGGATTATTGCTCGTATTGCCTGGCAACAAATGAATGAGGGCACGTAAATAATCACAGCCATTGGAGAACTTGTAGTGACACTGTACCTTGAAGTTCCAAAGCACCAAAAGTTTTATAATTCGGCCTCTAGTTGCCCCTCCATGCTTTAAATTTTCTTTAGGCGCCAATGTGAATGTGAATAGTTGTTTGTCAAGAAAGGACCTGTGATTGGCCAGCCCAGCATCTACCCTGCCTCTTGCCCAAAAAGTCAGCTGGGATAGGCTCCAGCTCCCTCGACCCTAACGGGGACAAATGCTGTCGAAAATTTTCTTTTGAAAAGCATCGGAATGGAAGTTCAGACATCCAAAATGACAGAACAGATTGTGGGAGAACTTCAAGGTACCACTGTATAATGTGAGTGTCAGAAAGAACTTACTTGATTCAGGTTTGGCTTTCGACACATCTTGCGTGTCAGTAGGGAGGGTGTGCGAGGCGTCCCTGCGCTCAGACGGGCCCACGGCTCGCGGCACGGTGGCCGACAGCAGCAGAGGCCGCTGGTTGTGGTACTTGAGACGGTATGTTTCTGTCATGCAATTGTCCACGTTGAAGTATGTGGTGAGAGAAACCTCCTGAGTGTGGGGCGTCTGCTCCGCTCGGTAACCTGCCGCCAGTCTGTCGTCGCTCTCGCATGATGACGGCGTGCTCCTCTCCGGGTCTGAGCCCGACTTCGAACTGGCGTCTGAGAAGGTCCGCAAGCCGGAGATGTCCGGCTTCCTGTGGCGAGGGCTGGCCTGGAAGTGTTCTTCGAGCATCCTGGGGCGGAACACGGCGTCGCTCGTTTCGCTCTGATGAGGGGAGAGTCGCTGGCCGGGTCGAAGGTGAGGCGAGGCTGAACCAGAGGTTTCGAGCTGGCGCTGAGGCTCAACGGCGGCATTGCCGGCGGGGTAGCGGTACGCCAGGGGGGCGTGAGGACACTGTGGGTCGGAGGCGGCAGCATCGCTGGAGCGATAAGAGTCTCTGTCCTCGGGCTCGGAGAGGGCGAGGTCGTCTGAGCTGTTCCACTCGGAGCTGCTGGTCTTGGTGACATGCCTCGAGGCCGCGCACTCCCCCGCATGGCCTCGACCGCTTGTCAGCTCCTGCTGCTCACTCTGCCTGTTATCCGCAGCCACGCACTCCCGCTCGCAAGGTTTTCTGCAAGTACTGGACGTGTACTTAGATTTGCGCCTGCACCACAGTCAAAAACAATGACATCATTGTACCAATTAAGAGAATGTCGTGACGTGAGAATCCACAAAGACAACTCGGTCCTTTTTCAATTCTCTTGTTAGAGAAATTGCATTTCATGGTGCATATACGGTATCTTGGTCTCACTATTTTATATGAAAACCTGGCTTTTGAGCAAAGGCAATTATTTTTTAATTAATCAAAAAAATGTAACGTCACGCCACCAAACAAAATTGGCAACTACTGGTCTGGCATACCTCATACAGTGTTTTCAGACATTTTTTGCAAGTGATGTAACAACATAATCATTAGTAGCCTATGGGAAACTTTCCATGATCCGAAAAAAAAAAAAATAGTATTTACGGGTAGTTATAGTCGTGTCAACGAAGGCTCAAATTTGGGCACTCTCCAGCAGAAAATTTTAACATACTTTGGATTACACCAGGTCTTTGAGAAATTCAGTCTTCATTTATTACTATGATCTGGATGATAAACCATCTAAACAAAACAGTTTATGAGGCTGTAATTTGCTAATAAAAATACCTTGAACCTGGACTGCACTTAAGATGTGAATGTGAAACCTGGTCATGGTTCTTTCCCTGAGGTTTAGCCTGATGTTTACCTGCAATGGAGGAGAGACAATGCATCATATTTACAAGTACAAAGGACTTTAACAGGATTAAATGCCGAACTTCATGCACCGTAACTGGGAAGTCTCCCCCTCACCCCCCACCCCTCGCTCTACACGGACACACACGCACACAGACTGTAATTCTCATTTATACAGACAGCTAGCTAGCTAGCTGGGTAGCTAGATCGATAAATACGGTACTGTAATTAGCTACCTAGCTAGATAGCTAACTCGCTAGCTAGGGAGCTAGATAGTGAAGTGTGTCCTCCCAACAATAAATAGATTAGACAGACAGACAGACAGACAGACAGATAGCTAGATAGATAGATAGACAGATAGATAGAAAGATAGATAGATAGATAGATAGATAGATAGATAGATAGATAGATAGATAGATAGATAGATAGATAGATAGATATGCTCAATCATAGCACACGACAGAAGAGACACAAGGTGGCAGCATCAGCAAGGTGTCAGTCTCACGACACTCGCACACAGCTGGATGCGAACGTCAGCGGCGGCCATGTGTCATGCATGGCAGTGAATTCCAAGCCCTTTTAAAAATAGATGTGTTATTTTTTTCCCCTTCCTGGCTGTTGCCCTGGAGAGGTCCCTGCCAGGATAAAAGCTATTGCTCGGCGTCACCGCGCAGCAGCGGGAAAGATATTTGTGACGGTGCCAGCGGCCGTGTCCAGCTGTGCTTTCTGCATGAGCTCTGTGGGATTATCATCAGATTAAAGGCTGCTGGGTGAGGAGGTTAGAGAAAGACAGTCCAAGATAAAATGCCAACCTCTGGCATTCGCTGCATTTTCATTTACACAAACTGACTGTCATTGGAAGTGCAAGATATCACTTCACTACTGTGTTCTTCTGCAGATCATCAAGAAATCCCTCATACGACAGGAGTCAAATACTGCTAAGCGAATGTATTTCCACTTTATGGGTACTAAAGAATTTTATGGTGCCAGGAAATGATGAGGAGGCCTTAAAATAAATACTTGGAACATACCATTGTGTGACGGTGAGGACATTACGCTGGATTTTGCATCGCCTGCCTTTGGGTGAAGCTGGCTGAAAGTAAAAAGCACAATTGACAATGAATCTCAACATGTTTTCAAGAAGTTGACAGCATAGGTACGAGCCAAATAATGAGTGGCATGAGGCCAAATACTCAAAAGTTCAAAATATAGTCTTAAAATAGGAGAGATTTTGCACCAAACTATGATATGTCATTCAGAATATGATGAATGACTTGTTAGTGAGGACTGTATTGAGGAAATGGGCTGCTAATATCGGTAGATGTGTGTCCATTACATTTTAAGTAACACAAATTTTAAAAACTGCTTTTGAGTGACAATGAATCTTTGTCATCGTAATTGAAGAAAGTGACGCTATTTTTGGCCTATGCTGAGATCAATTACTGTTCTAAAAACAAGATTTCGGTGTGATACAAAAATAACACTGCTTTCTCCAAACAATAAAATTCACAGGCAGCAGCAGACACACAACAGTGAGTCCAATCAAGAGAAAAAGTGTGGCATAAAGCTTTTAGGCAGGCTACCAGAAACACTATCAATATATTAATTCATTTTCCAAACCGCTTGATCGTCACTTGGGTCACAGGGGGTGCTGGAACCTATCCCAGCTGTCTTCGGGCAGTAGGTGGGGGACACCCTGAACCGGTTGCCAGCCAATCACAGGGCACACAGAAACGAACAACCATTCGCGCTCACACTCACACCTAAGGACAATTTAGAGTGTTCAATCAGCCTGCCATGCATGTGTTTTGGAATGTGGGAGGAAGCCGGAAGACCCAGAGAAAACCCACGCAGGCCCGGGGAGAACATGCAAACTCCACATCGGGAAGCTGGAACTGGAATTGCACCCGGTACCTCTCCATTGTGAAGTCGACTACCTGGTAGTTTGTAGGATGGTTTTGAAACAGTGGATAGGAATTGATTCCAAACACAGGGGCCGAGTGTTTCTTACCTTTGGAACTGGGTTTCCGTTGTGGACCTCTGCTCTTTGACTACAAAGCCGTCAACGCCTGGCGAGTCAGGATTGGTGGATCCGCTGCTGAGGCGGTCGCTGCTCTCGTACCCCGACTCGGTTCTCTGGATGGTCCAGGTGTCACTGCGCAGAAGCGTCTTGGCGCCCCCCGTCAACCTGCCGCCACCCCTCTGCTGGGTGACCCTGCTGTCCGACTCCACGGAGCTGTGACTCTCCGTCTCGTGACGCTGCTCATCCTCGTAAATGGTCATCAAACACTTCTGCTTGCGATCCTCCCTGGTGGTCCGTGCATACTCCCGCTCGCGCTCCCTACTTTGTTCGGCGTGGGCCCGTTCAGTCTTGGCGCGTCGAGGGCTGTCGTGTTGCTGTTGACGACGCTGCTCAAGTTCGTTGAGTACAGTGTCGACGTTTAGCACCTCACGAACGGGTCTCCAGGTGGACTTGCACTTGTTCCGACTTCCAGCGCTCCCCCCATTTTCCCACTGATCCTGGGAGCTGTCCTGATCGGAACGACTGGGCGAGAGATGGCTTTTCCTGCCGTGCCCTCCGGCTTGTGTGGGTCGGAACTGCCCACGTGCCTCCCGACATGGTCTGCCCGAATGGCTGGCTGACTTCTCATTGCGGGCATAGCTTTTACACTTCTGCTCCCTTGGCCCATTCTCAGGGGGAGACGAGGATCTCGTGTGGGTCATGTCTGCAGAACAAATTCCTGATCATTGTTTTATTTTGTCATTGGAGACATACAGTGTTATGCCATTTTCCCAGAATTTAAAACAGCCCTCAGGAATGCTTTTGTCAAAGTATTAAGTACCGGTATTCTGCTGTTTAACACCTCTACTGCATCAGTTTTGCAGATAGACGGCATGAAAGGGCCTTTTTTTTGCATTAAGTTTTTAAAAGGAGCCTTCATGTCCTGACAAGATTGAGATTTGGAGCAAAACATAAAACAAATATTATTAAATGTATAAATAAAGATTTATTTTGTTTAAGCTACAGAATAGTGCTAGAAGAATCATTCACTGAGAGAAGTATACAGAGCCTACCGAGGACTAACTAACAGTAGCTTACCATACTATTTGTCACCAAACAATGCAGATTTCACAAGTGAGGTAATCGCCGCAGGCTCTTTTTTTTTCTCCTCCAAGCTGCCATCATGCTTTGCATTTTGTTGACGCATGTCGCCGCGCATCTCTGTGGCTTGGCTTGCCAAATTGGGTGAACATATGAAGGCGAGACGACCGTGTGTTTATTTGGCTTTTCTCCTGCAAGTCTAATGAAACCTGGGACTCAAATTATTTTCGTCATTTTATTTATTTATTTTTTTTGAACCATCGTTAAAAAAAAAAAAAAAAAAAAAACTTTCACAGTTGCCAGAATGATTCACAAAAACCTTCATCAGGGAGAACTACCCTATGTTCAATTCACATTCTCCCAAAATATGGCGGAGTTCTTCAATTTTCTTTCATTGACCTCATTCCTCATTCAGTTACAACACTGCTTCTGCTGCTTAACTTTTGGGTTTGATGTGTAGTATATCTGCTAAGTCATGGGTGGAGAAACTCCGTTCAACTATTATATCACAAAAGAGCCAAAATTTTTTTTCGACATTGACAGCTCACAATGATTTTACTTTTGAGCTATTTGTACACCGGCATTTAAAATGCAACATTTCCATAATGCCTGCCCTTGAATGTGGTCATCATCCTAAACCATATCAAACCATGCTGTACCTCTGGGTTGGGAGGCGTCGATTCTCGTGTTCACACGGTCCTTTTTCGTAGTTTCACCGACTCTCTGAAAATTCTCCATAAAAGCTTCCTGGAATCTGTTTTGACTGAGGGGATTTTTCACTGAAGAGGGGAAAAATAAAAAGTCAGATGAATGATTGGCTCACCAGCCCACTTCATGATATTAATGTTACTCGACCCTAAGCATGTTCTTGTTACCCTGCTTAATGTGTTTGCGTGCACATATTAGTCAAACTACCAACAAAGCTAGTAACTTGGCATCCCCCCCCCCCCAAAAAGGTTTAAACAGCGGTGCCGTTGATCGGCCAACGTTTCGCTTTGACTTACGAATGCAAACTTGAGAAACAACTGCTGTTACGGTGGTGGCGGACTTGACTCGCTTCACGGCAAGAGCAGTTTGGCGGATATTTTTGATACATTTCCTTCAAAAAGAGGCTTTAAGATGTATATTGTCACTCAACTAAACATAAAAAAAATGATTTGTTTATTACAGTACGCCCTGTGAACCAAACCATGACTTAAAGCCCAAGGTACATATCGAACTATGATTTTGGCATAGCAATACACCTCGAGTAAACATTTCTTTGATGTCAAAATGTTTTCACCGCATAAAGCAGGATGACATGAGTGAGCATCTGGTGCACGTGGAAATAGATCAAGTGAGTCACAAACATGAGCCTAAAATCTTTTCTTCCATTACTAAATAAGAGCAGCGCACAATACAACACACTCACCTCCTTCCTTTGTGCTGTGCAGAATGATTGCATAATGCAGGAGCCTCATTAGCAGAGTGAAAAATGCAAGAGCATCATTAACTCGACTAAATGTACTGACACTTTACCTAACGTGCCTGTGGTGTTTTGTTGTTTTTTTTTTGTCTCCCCTTTGCAGCATGAACAACAACTATACAAACTGTAAATACTCAAGTGCTAATGTTTTACCCCTTTCACCTAGCTTGATAGTATGATGCCAACTACAATCACAACAATGTATCAATGTTCAATCAATACCCCTCTGATAGTTGAAGTACAAACTTAGCATTATTATCTTTCTAAAGGTGGAATATTTGATACAGCTCTGTATTCATTAGATTGTGCAGGTATACCGAACAATTTGTATTATCAATATCAGCCTATTTTGGAAAGTACACAGCACACACTGTAAATGATATAAGAAAAAAAAGAGCCTCTGACTTACACATACTCTCACTAAAACAGGACTCCAGGCCCATGCCAGTCAAAGCGCCCGGGTGCCGCACTAAAGCAAAACAATCCATGGGAACTGGCGGGACTCCATCGTCAAAACAAACGAGCAGTGAAATAAAGCGTGGCCAAACATGTGAAATGTCCATGCAGCGATCTAAGAAGAGTGAGAGCGCATGAGTAGTACGGTGCAGGGCCACAGGAGCAGGGATTAGGCAGGAAGGCGTGGGTGGTAATCTGCGTGCAACAGAGGCATCATCCTCATGTCATGTTCAAACCAGCACACATTAACCCAAATCCTGAGCACAGCCACAACTCCCATTTCTAAGGTCCCATCAGCATTTTCTTATTGTGATGAGGATTTTGTCGATGCTTTCAAATCATTATTTGGCTTGAATTGATTAGAAATAAATAAAATAAGAATATACTGTACACACGCACAAAAAAAAAAAAAAAACTATCAATGCTGGCTGTTGGTACTGTGCCCGCATTGGCCTCTTAGGGGCAGCGTGGTACCATGCATGCATGGAGTCCCGCCACACTAATGAGATAAGAGAGTACAAGAAGAAAGTTACGATGGAGCTCTATTACGATAACTTGTTTTTCACAGATTGAGAGGAATACAGTATGTGCCTTTGAGTATAGTTATATGACCTGTGTGTACATGTCCCTCCAGCGTTTGTGTGTGAATATTCGTTATTTGATAGACTGTCACTCCCAGAAGTCGACGCTATTTTCCTGCTAGCATGTCAATGGGATTTTACATTGACTTTAGCCGTTTGGCGTAGCCCATTCAGTTTTGCAGTAAACGCCAACTGAGGTGTTGTTAAACAGTTTAAAGCACACTCCGGGAGGGTAAAATCACAGTCACAATCTTGCTACGCAATTAACATGGTGCATTCATGGATACTTTGACAATGTTGGGAACTTGCAAAGCTCCACCATTCAATTTTCTGAGATCCTTTTTTATATGCTTGGGTCGGTGCTGCTTTCGTGAAAATATCGACACTTACTACTGTATCTGTTTATTTCCTGATACGTGAGGTATTTATTTTAGGGGAAGCATTGATTTTTTGAAAAGGACAATGCACCCACGATCTAACTGAGCTTTTTTCACGAAAATAATTTGACAATTATTTGTAAAGTGTGCGAGTAACATCCTTACCCGTCGTCTCACCATTGACGTGACCTTTGTATCGAGGACACATGGTGGTCTGTCTTGGTGCATCCTCGTTAGACACAGGCGTCCCCTCGGGATTAGTGTAAAACAGAAGAAGTGGCTGAAAATGTCCCCTGACGCATTTAGAAGCCACATCCTTCCATTTAGAGCCAATCTGGGAATAAGAACACTTGGCTTTAAGAGCAATTAACTCACTCAGTGATGATGGATATCTTAAAAAAACGCAGCACAGGCCCTCACCTCTTTTACAGTGGCATCATCAAAAAACATCCATTTGGAAGATTTGGTGTGATAGGCGAAGGCCGAATAGTGTTTGCTGGAGAAACAAATCATTCCCACGAGATGGAGTTCGCTCCGCTTGGCGTTTTCATCAGTGACACGGTTGAAAAGCTAAACAAAGAGAAACATATTTACATAAACTCACTTTGGGCAAGAGGCAGGGTACGCCACGTACTGGTCGCCAGCCAATTGGAGGGCACATTTCTAGAGTACAAACAAGCACTCAAACTCATTTCGCACTTTTAGACAACATCGTGGTCGGATGTTATTTGGATTGTGTTTTCATGTTTTTGAAATTCATTTCAGATCAACAGTTTTCCATCTCTATCAAGTACAGAAGAGAAAAACCACTGTGATTTTCTTTAACATTTGTAAGCTCATCATGCTAAGTGCACTAGCATCTTTCTCTGCGTACCAAACAGAATAACCAACTCAACAACTCCTTTTAGGGAGACTTGGTTTGCTGGCATACTTCATAACAACTTACACCACACAAATTCAAGCGCGGGCCGAGTGAGCGGATGACATCGTCCGTCAGATCAGATTGCTCTGCGTCCCAAACGAATCCGATGGTGACAATCTCCGGACAGTTCATGAGCACCCGACGGATCTTGATGCTTTGACCGCAATTTCTCTGAAAAAGATTATCACAATAAGTGTGAGAGGAATTCAAAAAGCCTCAGAATCGAGAAAGGATATACGGTGTTACCTCAACATTCTAACAGCAAAATCAGTGGCACAAATCGGAATTTAGCTAAAATTTCAGGGACAAAATTGCGCATGGCACTGCGGTAAGTCTTCAGTATACCTCCTCAAAAATGAACTCAACGTCACAGTAATGTTGTATGAGATTTTTTTTTCAGTCAAAGGCACCAACAATCAAATTTTTCTGTGTTTCGAATAAAAATAAAAACATGGAATATTTGCCACGACTTTGATATCTATTGGACAGGGATGGGATGAATACTACAGAACTCCTTTTTTAAGTATTGCCTGAAATCCCCCTTAAAATGGATGTCAGCAGGCATCACGCAAAAGTCTGTTTGAACTTTGACATTCAACTGTATTATATAATTAAAGCATTAAGAAAATAATAATAAAGTACACCTCTAAACTATGTAGTGTTTGGGATAGTTGGAAAATTTGTGGGAGATAATTACCCGAGCTTACCATAGCTGCCGTAGTTGGGGCAAGCTAGCTTCGTGTTCCTTTTATTAGTCCAAAGCTAGAAAATCTTAGCTTTATAACAAGAGAGATGACAACAAAACCTAAATCTATCATTCACGACAGCACAATAATAGCAGTTTCTGCGAAAAAAAAGAAAAACATCTCCTTTTCTCCACTAAAACAACAGAAGACGGCACCTGCAGCAGTAACAAATCCAGATGAGACAGAAAACAGAGGCTAAGCCCTTCCTGCTATTTATATCCTAACACCAGTCTGGCACGATTTCCTTCCTTCAAGTGCACAGAGAACAGCATGTGCTCTTAAAAGTTCACTCATTCATCGTGGCGTGAAATGTGATAAGAAGATGTGGAAGTGAACAAGCTGTTGCACAAAGTAATTGATGCCATTTGTTTGCAAAAGAAATGGGAGTAAAATGATCATGAGGACGGTAAGTGACATACGGGGCAGCTACGCAGGTCGCCCGTGTTGTTTGCCGCCTGCAGCAATTCTCCAAACATGTCTGACCTGAGACGCTCGGTCTTTGCCATTGTGCGGTCCACCTGTTGGCTGTGCATAGGCAGAAGGGTACATTACAATCGTGTTCTTTCAGTCATTTTTAACATTTTGATTACACTGAGGTGTGGGATGTTGGCTGTGATAGGTTATAGAAAGTCAAGTCCCCACCATAGAGCAGTGGTTGAAACATAGTGTACCAACTCTGTGAAAGGGTGGGGGTCCGACGACGCACCGCAACAGCGACACACAAACTGCAACAGCAAATATGCATATGCATTTTCAGTGATACATTTTAGAGTAACCCGAGCAGGGGTGGGGGAAAGAGGGGCACATTGAATAGGCAGCATACTTGCTCATAAAGCATCATGGCAAATTTCTGATGGGTGATGCAGGATTTGGAGCTGCAAGAGTCGGAGGCCGTGTCTGAGACGATGTGCAGATGAATGCGCTCCAGGATATTCTCCTATGGTGATAAAGAAACACAAACAGAGTCGAATTCGGCTGGTAGTGTTACAGATTAACATAATTCCATAATTCTTGTATGTTTTCTCTTTGATGTTCCTACTGACCTTCTCCTGTCTTTTCTTTGCTCTTTCTGTTCTATGTCCTTTTTAATTATTAATTATAGTCGATGGCATTTCTCAAGAAAAGGGAAATTTGATCTAAATACTAACAGATAGCTACAATGTTTATTTTTTATCTGTCATCATCATTTATGTGTAGTTTACTTAGTGAGAGAAAGTAAGTTTAAAGTATAGGAGTTGTTAATGGGATATAGTCTACTTCTTGTAAGTGGTTGGTCGCCTGCCAACTGACTTAGTATATGATTTTAGAATCGGAGCCAAAGGTAAGTGTCAACATACGAAGCACTCGGCAGCGTCATCCATGAGGCCGAGTTGGAAGCGTTGTTCGTCTTTGAAGGTTTCGGCGAGGGCATTACGCAGGCTGTCTGATGGCAACACACGCTCACGACTCTGCTGGAACTGGCAGAATATGCTCTGGAACCAAACAAAAAAGAAAAATAAATTGAGCCGTTAAAAAAAAAAAAAAAAACCAAACAAAAAAAAAAACTTCACTTTAAAATGCAAAGTAACTGTGACGAACCTTCAATGCGCAGAAAATGCAGGAATCACCCAGACAAAAGTGCCCTGAGAGGTGCCTCAGACTTCTCCTGAAAATGTCCAGCTGCCAAAGGACCTGGGAAGCATGGACACAGTTAAGAAACATAACCCTTCAATATAGAAAAAAAAACTGCACTTGAATAATGATTTAATTCAAATGCTTGACTGTTGTATTTGATATTGACCGTTTAAATATACAAATTGTATATCTTTTGCAATAAAGTAAAAAAAAAAAAAAAAAGACACTTCAATCACTAGCCCAGTGTACAATATTGAATGTGGCGCCTTCACATTCAGCTACTGACTGTACAATTGGGCTGTGCATGAAGGTAGGGGTTTTTAATGTTAAAAATGAGACACATTAACTGAGGTCATGAATAAAAAAAAAAAAAAACATGCTATTCGTACCTATGGTGAATGAAAGTAAGAAAAGAAGAGCCAAATTCAGAAATAAACAGCTAGCTAGCACGTATCTTCATGAGCTACAGCCGACAAACTAGCTACTGTAGCTTCAAACCAGCTAAGCTAAAGCTAGTAAACTAGCTAATTTGTAGCTTTTCAAACATTACAAAAGGGGTATGATTAGTGTTCACCTGTACAGCACTGTTCAAGAAGCAGCTATTCTGCCCAGGTTCGTTCAGGAGGCCTTTGGTGAGAGCCAGAGATAACATGCTGCCCGGCTGGTAAGACTTCTTCAGGCCTCCTCCTCCTCCTCCAGGCTTCTTAAACATCTTCACCCATGCCATGGAGTTAGAGCCTGCAGCTGGAAACACACAAGCAGACCTCTTATAAAGACGTTTAAAGGTAAGAAATGTTGCAATAGTGTTATGGCGATTTAATTGTATTAATCGTCGTTGTTTTAGTATCCTGTGGTCTGTAGCTATAGATATCTGCTTTGCTACGGCACATGGGCCATACATGACCCCATAAAAGCATTAGATCTCGGGGGTGTATAATTTTGTTTTTTAAAATATTGTATCTTTGGAGACATTCAACAATTTTCAACACTTTATATTGGTTCATAATTGGTCAAAATAACAGAACCATATTTATTAAATTCACCAAATGCGGACAGCGACAAAGTACTTTTTTTTTTTTTAACTCAGATTTATTTGTGCTGCCATGGAACAAATGGCCCAAAGATCTATACTGGACTGCAGACCAGTGATTAGGGACCAATGTTTTGGTTTTTTTTTTTTGTTGTTGTTGGTGTTGTTTTTAATCCACTACAGCACAATACACTGAATTAACAGCCCGATCATATCGGCACTATTTCATAATAATAATAATAATACATTTTATTTATAAGCTCCTTTCAAGACACCCAAGGACACTTTACAATAACAAAAACAATAAAACATAATACAATACGGATCAATCATAATCAATCATCGAATTTAGAAAACTCGAAATGTAATTAATACTTGGAAACTAAAGAAAATAATTAATGCCCTTGCCCTATCTGAGAGTGAATCAACAGTGCCTCGATAGCATTTGACTCATTTTACATTTTTTCAATATTTTGGGGGGGGGGGGGACTATTTTATCAATTACCCGAAAAATGGACGGAACACCAATAGTTGACATCATGTTGGTTTTCAGGTGACACACCAGTGAATACTGAATCAACAGCACCGCTTCTTCTTTGCCTCATTATGTTGATTAATGAGCAACCGAATAGAAAGTTCTTTTCTTCAAGACCGAGGACCAATGTGGCTGCTGCATGCATTTTTGACCAAAGAAGGATTATTATTATTATTATTATCATCATCACTGCATGGCACCATAAGCAGAAGTAGATATAAATTCATGTTGGACACAGTTTATTTCATGACATCACTAATCCAAATGACTGAATTGGACACATGCCAGGTGAATTATCACGTCCTCTACCTTCTGCCGACTGCGGGGGGGACTTGCTGCCGTTGGACATGCTGGGATGTGGGAGCTGGTTGGTCTTTGGTTCCATCCATCTCATCACCACGCTCCTGCCGAGCACTTGGTTGAAAACATTCTCTGCCTCAGCCACAGGGCATCTTCATACATGCGCCTCTACACATTGAAAGGCGATGGGTCTGAAAGGTATCGCAGCCATTAGATACGAAGGCAAAGACAGAAGTGGACTAACTGTCTGCCAGCCACACCTGGACCCTCAACAAACTTACTGCCTTCAAGATGAAATGCTTCAGACTCTTATTGAACGTCAGATGGTTTCACAGAACATTAAACAATGAGGTATGGCACAGAGGGAAGACGGCAGAGAGTGCTGATTGTTATGCAAAAAAAACCCTGAATCTCTTTGTTCACATCTGCAGAATGCCAGAACATGGACTCATCAAAACAAGGATATTGGACAATACTGAAGGTGCCAACAAACGTGGAAGACCTAAGAGAGATATGCGAGATGAAATCAAAGGATGGTGCCAGAAAAAAATGTCTGGCAAACTAAAACAATTGTGTTGGACAAGCGGAGGACATTTGGTGGACTCCTCGACAGACAACAGAGCAAGTAAGTCAAAAAAATTTGAATGGATTATCGAGTGATACAGTAGTTGCCCCCTTGGTGCATAGTTTCCCGCTTTCATATTTAAGATCATTCATTTTTACTAACTACGCCCACGCCTGACTATCACATGACATGCTCAATAAGAAATCACTTCAACCTTTCCAACAAATGAAGTTTATAAATTCAAGAACAGCTGATAAATACAGTAAATGACATTTATCAGTCTTGAATGGGGTACAAATGAAGCCATTCCGAAAGATTTAGGACTCCAGTGAACCAGGGTGAGAGCCATTATCCACAAATGGAGAAAACAGACAACAGGGGTAAACCTTCTCTGGAGCGCCCAGCCAACAGAAATGACCCCAAGAGCACAGGGATGACTCAACAAGGAGAACACAAAGGAAACCAGGACAAAAATCTGAAGAACTAGAGGCCTCTCTTGCCTCAGTTAAGGTCTAAATAGCGTTCATAGCAGAGATCCAAGGCCAAAACCACTCTTGAACTTTTTGGAAGGCATTTGTCTTGTGCCTTGTGGTGAAAATAAAACACAACATTTCAGAAAAAATATCATCAAGCCAACAGTCAATCATTGCAGTGGTAGTGTGATGGTTTTGGGCTGCTTTGCTAATCCAGGACCTGGATGACCTTGAGACATTTTTGGAATCATGAATTCTGCAAATTCTGAAGGAGAACGTGACCTCTGGCACACAGGCAGAACACAATCCAATCCACACCAATCCAAAACACACCAGCAAATCAACTTCTAAATGGCTTTAGTTTTTGGAGTGTGGCCTGGTCAAAGTCCGGACTTGAATCCAATTCCAACTGACACCAATGATGGTTTTACACATTAAGGTGGGGAAACTATGCCAAATACTTTTTCACTGAATTCTAGGTGACACAAGTTGGCAGCACAGTACTACTTTTGTCTAAATTAAGCTATTAAGCTAACTAAATTAAACTTTGTTCAACATAGTTGAAATTTTTTAAATAGATCATTCATCTAGAATCAGTCAGTCAGTGGTAAGGAAAAGCCCCTTTAAAAATTACAATAAGCTTTGCGCTGGAACATTAATCTTTTACGGAAACGATGAATTATCACTTTGATGGGATGACGAAGGGGAGCTCGCATCAATCATAATAAAGAACTGTTCGATTCCAAATGGTATTTTTGACTTATGGCACTCTGTGGTGGAATAAATGCAAATACAATGAATGAATAAAATATTACAAAAAGACATCTAAATGAAGAACGCAAATGATAACATCTAAGATGAATACACATTTAAAATAAAATGAAAACAATATAAAATAAGGTTTAAAAATCTCAAATAAACGTAAAATTCATTTTAAAATGTAAACAGGGCAAACCAAAATCCTAAAAAAGTGATTGTCACGATTTTAACTTTGCCATGCAAATTGAACCCATAATTAACATGCCGATTCCACCCATTAGTGGTCCCGCATCTCAATTAAACGAATAATCACTGTGTTCATTATGTAGGTCCATAATTAAAGTCACTCTTGAGCGCCAGTGCCCCCCACATGTTTTTGTACGGTGCACTCTGTGACACCATGTGATGTCGTTAAAGGGAAAGGGAGATGGGGGGGATATTTACACAAGTATGACATAACAACCTTGCTTCGCCTTCCCCACTATACATTTGCGTTGAAAACATGCACGCCGCTCATGTGTGCATTCAAAACAAGCTGCAGCTTTGCAGGAGCGTGCAGCCCGCATGGCAAAACAAACACACAAAAAAACGTGCCGCAACTTGCACGGCAGCTCATCGTAGCAAAAACAAGAGACGTGCAGACTTACCTTTGAAACCAAAATGGCAATGCAGGACCTCCAAGGTGGGATACCGGTGCAAGAATCCAATCGGTTATTTTTCTTTTTTTCTTTCCTTTTTTTTCCTTTTTTGCGCCAAATCCTGTGAATCCAGCGCGGGGCTAGGAGTACGACGGGCGCCTGCTGCAGATACGTGCAGCGCTATCTGTCATAGTGCACCATTGGCAATCCCTCCGACACGCAGGGCTGCAGTCTCAACCCTCTGCTTGGTGCCCGGGACACTTTAATTTCGCTTAAAATTCCCTCCCTCCTACCCATCCCTTCTCTTTACCCCCCCTCCCCGCCTCCGTGTGTGAGTGATAAACGAGGCCAGTGATGGTTTGTGGCCAGAGTGTCCGACGCGGATTAGTGATGTTTGGAGACTTGGGAGGTCAAACTCCGCCCCTAGTGTAGCCTCAAGTGCACTGCCGCTATGTGCGCACTCCTCCTCGCAAGCCCCCCTGCATGGCATGGCAAAATATCTCGTGTGTGTGTGTGTGTGTGTGTGCGTGCGTGTGTGTGTGTGTGTGCGTGTGTGTGTGTGTGTGTGTGTGTGTGTGTGCGTGCGTGTGCGCGCGCGCGCGCGCTTGTGTGTGTGTGTGTGTGTAGGAGCAGGAGGAGTAGAAGGAGGAGGAAGGTCAGACTTGCAACTTGTCATGATGATGATGAGAGAAGACATCACATGACTGCGCCCGTTTCATAATCATGCAGCAGTGTGGGGACTAAGCCCTCTCCACATGCCTGTGCTTTGTGAAGGCTCAAATGCCAGGTAACGTGATGCTATATTTAGAATATTGCAAGTCAAATAGCACGCTTGACTCATTCCCCCCCCCCCCCCTGTTAAACATCTCGCATCCGCTCTACATTGAATAAAATAACTGTTATTGTTGAAGCCATCCATCCCGTTTTCGATATCGCTTGTTCTCAATTTGGGTGTGGGGTGAGCTGGAGGAGCGCTCCTTGGAATGGTCACAGGCTTGTCGGATTGTTGCAGGGGATAGGGGTAAAAAAAAAAAAAGACCGCTCAAAGTATTTTAAATTTAAAGTTATTCATTGACTTCCAGGTTTTTCAAGAGATGAGCTGTCATTCAGGGTTTTTTTCCCTTGCTTTGACTTTGGAGCAAAAATTGAAGATACCCAGCAGCCACAATAAGTCTGAACATTCATTTGTACATTTACAAAGTAGAATCATACATACTATATAGCACCAGTGTCAAACTCAGGGCCCGGGGGCCAGATCTGGCACGCCACATCATTTTATGTGGCCTGCCAAAGCAAATGAAACATCAAACACTTCCATGATGCTTGGTAAAAATTTAAAATTCTTATATTTAATAAATTAGAGACATATCGTAAGCATTTACTTGTGACTAAACCGCTCATTACAGTAACTTAAACAAGAGTTTAACAAACCGATATTATTGACTTTTTTTATATGGTTTCAGTCATAACGGCCCTCCCAGGGAAACGGCAACTAAAATGTGGCCCACGACAAAAATGAGTTTGACACCTCTGCTATATCGTATTTATATATTATACTGTATAGAAGTGAAAACTAAAAGCCCAAAAGAAGCACTATCTAATGTTTAAGCAATCAATCTAAAAGGCAACAACCGAGCAAGCACGCCTATCAGTCACATGTTCTGAAACCTTTGCTCGCTCGAAAGTGAGTGGCTTCAACCAAAAGCTGCTCTGCCCTGAGTTGTTTTAGCACATCCATCCATCCATTTCCTGACCCGCCTTATCCTCACAAGGGTCGCGGGGGGGGTCCTGGAGCCTATCCCAGGTGTTTTCGGGCAGTAGGCGGGGGACACCCTGAACCGGTTGCCAGCCAATCGCAGGGCACACAGAGATGAACAACCATCCGCGCGCACACTCACACCTAGGGACAATTTACAGTGCTGCAACCATCCTGGTATGCATTTTTTTGAATGTGGGAGGAAACCGGACTACCTGGAGAAAGCCCACGCAGGCATGGGGAGAACCTGCAAACTCCACACAGGGAGGCCAGAGCCAGGATCGAACCCACGACCTCTGCACTGTGAGGTTGACGCTTTAACCACTGGAAATGAAATAAAAGCAAACTGGAATTTTGAACTTTTGTCTCATACCTTTTGACCTGAAACCCAAAATATCTTCACTCTCCAACACAAAACAAAGGAACCGGCCTTGCTGTGCGAATACTTTTGGAGGAGACTGTATATTTGCTCTACAATTGTCTACAGAGAGATTCCATCTCATAGGTGAACCTAATGAGGACAAACGCTTTAGAAAATGGATGGATTAATAGATCTTTTTCCAACATTTTTTTTTCCTATGGGGTGTTCCACTGCATGTTTATTTTTAATTAAAAAAAAAAAAAAAAAGATCCAAAAACCTTCCCATGGGCATTGTGCATATTAGCAGTCTAGCTTTATTCCGGCGCAGTTGGCATTCACTTGCACAGAACTGTGTGTGCTTGTGTGTCCAGAACATGTGTATCGGATCTCTTTGGATCAGGTGTGTCGGAGGAAGCGTCTGTCGAGAGTGGATCAGTCTCATGTACGGTAAGTCCATGGTAAAAGTAAAGTAAAATGGAACCTGTGTGTCTGTTTAGAGCGTCGTCACTCGTCCCCACGGACAGAGAAGGCCTTCTTCCTGTGCTCTTATTAGTTTAATTGCTGCTCAGCTCGTCGGGGACGTCCTCTCTGGTGGCGAGCCTGTGCCAACTTTGTAATGTCCCTCCATCTGTCCGCTCTCGGCGCTATAAAGAAACGTGACGCACGCACACACACACACACACACACACGCACACACACACACACACACACACACACACACACACACACACACACACACACACACACACACACACACACAAACACACACACATACTGACGGTGCACTCGTCAATATTGTTTCCATTTGTATCATCACCAAAATTAGAAATCCGACATCACCACTTACGCAAATTGTTGCACTTGTTTCTGCAATGCGGTGGACATTCACGGCTTTTCTTTGCGTAGGGTTGCTGGTTCAAGTCCATCGTCAAGGGTGGACAAACTTTTGTGTTCAACGGCCACGCGTGAGTTTTGAAAACACACAGATGGGTCGGATCAATTTGCAGATAAGGTTAAAAAAAAAGTGATTGCGTATTTGAAATCTGTAAAATGCATTATTTTGATCATTCGAATCAAATGTGTTGCACATTTTTAGTGTAATGCGTGTTCATTTTACTGATATTTTTATTTTACTAAAAGAGAAGTTACTGGCAAAAATGTCTTTACAGGAATATGTTCTGTACCGCTCACCTGTTTTCTGAAGCTGAGTCATGATTGAGCCATGTGCAACATGACATGTGTGACTTTGCCCACTTCTGGCCAAAGTAATAGAGAACGAACAATTGACTTCCTGGGACAAGGATACATGTGTGGTTTTTACCTATTTTGACCAGACACAATTTGAGGAAATATGGTTTATCTTTCTTCACACCCTTGCTCTTCACATTTGTCACATTTGTGACATCCACAAACAAGTTGTCTTCTTTATTTACATCACATGTTCAGAACCTCTGGAAACTATCATAGGATCATTTGCAACACATGCCATTCTCTATTTACATGACGTTTATCCCAATGTAGAGCACAAACACACTAATCATCTGAGGGATAGTTGAGTGAAACATTCCGTCGTCCGTTGTGTGGGGAGAACCCAATATGGGACCTCCTCACAGGTCTTCCGACTCGGGGACCAGGATGGACTCTAGGGTGATTGTGGGCAGGATGAGGTGGGTGCCCTCTGATATCCATCCTTGGGCGCTTCTGTTGAAAGTGGGTCTCTTCATTCCCGGATCCTGGAGCTCCGGGTACTTGGGAGAGTTCAGGTCCAGCTCTGGAAGCTTGAATTTGATTCCTCGCGGCACATTCTCAAAGCCGCCATAAGGGGTCGCTACCCTGTAACGTAAACCACATTGGGAAATCCAATTCTTGAAATGTCCATTATTTCAAATGGACACTTTTCTCACCGGTTGAAGCTTTTGTACTCGGGAAGCTCTGGTCGAGGGTCCATTGCGGGCATGCTCAGTTTGAAAGTTTCGACGAGGCCCGGATCGTTGCTGATAGCCTCCTCCCAGGGTGAGTGGTAGGATTTGGGCATAGAGGTAGCATTCAACTTCTCTGTGTTTGTATCTATCACAGAAGCACACAAATTTTGCTCGAAACAGTGTGGAGGTTCTGCTTGAGGGGCAGGTGTGGCAGTACCCCACCTAATGGTCTTTTTTTTAACCATACCGTGGTGTTGTTTTGGCTCAAACTCAAAGCATACAGTATAATAGACCAGAGGTGAGAAAATGATGGCCCGAAGACCTCATATGACCCATCGGGTGTTTAATCCATTTAGATTTCGCCCTTTTTTCCCCTTGAAATGACTGAATTCAAAATTAGTCAAAAGAAATGCTTAATTTTTATTTATAGTTTATTCCTATATCTCAAGTAATGATTTTTTCATTTATTTATTGTAAAGAGTGCAAAATATTCGGAGTGTACCCAATTGTCCTTATGCATTTAAATATGGATTTGTTTTATGAGAAATTTGGCTAATTAGTTATACAGTGGTGCCTTGAGATACAAGTTTAATTTGTTCATTTGCTATGTTCATAAATGAAATCACTTTCCTCGAATCATCTTTACCCATTGAAATCCGTTCCAGCCTTTAGAAAAAAAATCAACAATTTTGTCCTATGTAAGATGTTTTTTTAAATGAGAAAATTAGCAATAAAAGTTTGCACTTTATAAAAACGTCAGGTCATGACAAAATAAAAAATTGTCACATCAGTTGAATGGACATTGTGCTAGTTCCTGCCTTGGCCACTAGGGGCAATTATAAATCAGACAGATACTGTACATCGACGCATGGATGGACTACCTCAGTAGGTTTCAAAATATTTTTCTTTTTTTTTTTTAATCTAGCTTCCGTGCTTCCCCTCCAGTCCTGTGGTTTGATAGATGCAAGTGAAGGGGAAAATGGAATTTAAAAAGCCCAAATCATAGGAGAATGTCCTTATATAAAAACTCCACAGATCATGACGGGGTTTTGGGGATCCTTATCATTTTTAACAGTTCAGTTTATGGTGACACAGCAAAGATTTACGTTTTCTGAGCGGAATTACGAGCAGAGAGCCTGCTTCAGAGAACCCTCAGCCTTGGCAGACTGACTTGTCCATCATTATGATCTTGGGTCTTAAAATAGCGCATACTCCAAGTGTACACTTGTCATGTAACATGTCCGAATGGGATGGCACCCCTTCAGGACTAAGCTTGGTGGCTTTTGATGGATCACATGAGATGAACGCATGCAATTAATCATTCTTCTGAAAAACTAAAACAGCCACTGTAGAATGTAATTCTCTAATAGCTTCGAGCCAAGCCCTTGCGCTTATGACTCTACAGTGTGCTGTCGCTTTTTTGGTGGTGGTTGTTTTGTTTTGTTTTGTTTTTTTATGACAACATTACATAATCGCAAGCTCATGCTTGACTGTTTGGCAGTCGGTCTTATTTTTAGCGCCGGGTGGAAGCGGTGACAGTAGGGGGAAATATGGATGACAAAATCACTAGACAAATAAAATGACAGTGAATATCCCCCGAATGAATGATGGGGGAACACATTTTAATCCTTACTAATGCTGTAAATCACATTTCTCCATGCTGGGCTCACATTTCAAAAGTCTTGGCTGGTTGAAAAGGATTGAGATATTTTGAGAGGGCGGTAGGACTAAAACTTTGGATGTTCGAAACCGAGTTGTCGGATTGGTTTGGACACGCTTTGAAAAATTACTTGTGTATAATCCAACAAAAAATAAGTTTAAACTGCTCAAGTTTATTCTTTCAGTTCTCTGGAAATGGGTTGACATGACTCTACAATTGATGACGCTCATATAATATGTCCCGATATCGTTACCTGGAACAACCTCATCTGGATTTGGGGTGTCTTCATTGGTTGGCGCATCCACTTTAATTTCAATCATGTGTGCACTCTGGGCCAGAATATCATTCTGCAAAACACAGTATAAGACTATGAGCTAAAGTCTACAGCCTTGACTCCTATGCGCGCACACACACACACACACACACACACACACACACACACACACACACACACACACACACACACACACACACACACACACACACACACACACAGATACAGATAAACATTGAAGTAGCTTATCAGTTAAGTGTCTGAGGAGCATCTTGCAGAAGACTCCTTTTTTTTTAAGAATTATTTTTTTGTCAGACAACTACAAAACATGACAAATGGCTGCGTTTGTTGCGGCAGTGACAAACTTACGTTCAGTTGCGCATTGGCCTCATTTTGTATGCTTTCAAACGTGTACTTCTCCGAGCGTCTCTGGCGCATCTTGAACAGTCGGGAGCCTCTGTTGGACAGCAACGACAGCTCCTCCAGCATGATGTCTTTGGGGGTGCTGTGTTTCTTTCCCAGATCCATCACGTCACCTGGGATCACAAGGAAACATGCAGAAGGAACATGTGGCACACATGCAGTTAGATGTGACCACACTCATAACTCAAAATACCTTTATTGTATTTTAAATAATCTTTCCCCGCTTAAAATGAAGAGAAGCCAATGGGGGAAGACAATTCTCACTTCAACTTTTCATGTTTAATGAAAGAATGATATATAAACATGTGGGCTGAACATCTAAAGCGCTGATCTAATCTAGACATAAAATATACATGTCCGGTCTAAAAAAAAGTAAGCCTACCCACTGACCGGAATGAGCAGATCTTTTGTTGCTTGTTTTTTTTTTTTTTTTTTGTTTATATCACGATTGCACCCTTCAACATTTGGAAATTACATTCTACTACAATGAAGTGTCGATTTGAATTAGATTAATTGTGCAGCCCGAGTTTGTGCATCATGATTTTGATGCGCTGATTAATTGTACGACTCCTTGTGGTATTATACATCTTTGGCCACCTGGGGGCAGTATAATACATACAGACATTGTACACAGATTCGATGATGAAACACTCACCTCAACTGTATCGAGCACTTTAAAACAAGCATTGAAGAAGTAAGTGTGTCGCAAATAAACTGCAATAATATTAGTCGTATTTGCCCGTGTGTGTTATCGTATGCTCTGCGTGTCTTGTTCTCATTTTTGTTCGAATATAATTTGTTTAAACGACGGCAAAATCATTTCTAGTTTTGTTTGCCCGCCTCTGTCGTCGTTTGCTATTAAGTGTTAGCATTAGCGGACTTAAAGGCAACGTTGTGTGAACAACTGTACAATTTAGTGGTACAGATGGGGGCGGGGGTATTTATAACTAAGAAACTCACAATTGTACTGGATAGCCACTGATTTGACCAAAGTTTCTAGAGTTTCTATATTGGCTGATTCTGGACGAGAGGCTGGGTACAACCTGGACTGGTCGCCAGTTGCAGGATACTTGTAAACAATCATTCACACTCATATTCACACCTATTGACAAGAGAGAGTCTTCAATGAAAACATATACAGTACACGTGTGACATATGTGAAAGGAAGCCAAAGTACCAGGGGGAAAAAACAAACACCAGATATGGCGAGATCATGTAAACTTCACACAGGAGGGCCTGAGCCAAGATTCAAATGGCATACATGCTAAGCATTTGATTACTGTAATTCACATGTTCCCTGAATAAGCTCAAGGATATTACATCAGAATAATTCATTCTTTGTGACTAGAACTATTAAAATGTACCGTTATGCATGACAGACAGCCACAGTAAATAACAATGAGCCAGCAAAACAATAAGCAATTTTGTAAAATGGCGACAACAAACACTTTCCGATTATTTCCTTGCTCGCCAAAGGGGGGAAATATCACTAATCACCTTAACAAGTTACAGTTAAGATGTACGGTATTTAAGTGTCTTGGATATGTCTTTACTGTATCCTATTGCATTTTCGTCATACTCCATTCACTAAAAGTTGCATGTCATAGAAGCCCTGTCATGGAAAATGAGCCGCGGCCGTGGCGCAGAGTTAATTTCAATGTGTCAGAATGGCGGCCAGCTGTCACAGAGCTTCAGGATATCCTAACAGCAAGACACAGTTGGCCCGCACAAGTTCTCTTCCTCCAGCCCTTGCCCTGCCCCACCCACAACCCACCCCGAAATAGAGCTTTGAAAAGGGCAAAGACAAAGCACTGGCTTCTATGGGTGGTAAATCATCCGCCTCGCTTATTTATGGTGAGATGGAGCCCTGACATTTTGCACTCGTATCCCTCAGAGGGATATTGTATTCTTGCAACAGTGTCATGTTCGCCTCGGCCGTGCGCCATACCGTTGGTACTGTGGACCTCTCGACAAATAGCTGCTGCATGCTTCTTCTTCTCTCCAGCTGGCATTGTACAGAACTGTGACATTGTGGGCCCTGGCGAGGTTGTTGTTGAGGACAGTGAAGGAGTGCTGGAAGCACATACAAGACACTCCATGAGGTTGTTTGGACTTTTGATACATGACAGCGTTGACCGGGTGCCATTTTAATGAAGAGCGACCATCGTAGATGCCTTGAATATGGGTCGTAATGATGACACTGAAAAGGTTACAATTAGGGTTGTAAAGATGGATATAATTCATATATATATATATATATATATATATATATATATATATATATACACATATATATATACATATATATATATATATACACATATATATATACATATATACATATATACACACACACACACATATATATATATATATATATGCTCTTTTTGAAAACTCTGTGAAATACATACAATTGTATAATCTATAATATCGTTTTATTTATTTTGCATCAGGCCTATTTTATGATCGTCGACCATAATGTCAAACTTTCAACTTTCAAAGCAATTCTACTCATCAAAATGTTTGTTTTCATTATGTTTTGTCTCAAGTTCCTGATGGTGACTCACGTTGGTCGATGTGTCCTTTTAAGCTTTTATTCCGTTTGGTTGAGATATCAAAAGTGTACCGTATGGGTTAACTGTGTTGAAGTTCCTAAATATACGTGTATTTATTTCACTAGACATTAACACCTGTTTATTGTATTACAATGAATATATGTTAAGACTCTAGGCTTGTAGAAAATATTGGTTCCTTGCTACAGCAATCTACTATATGATATGTCTTGTTATATTTGCCTCATTAAAATTATACCATGCATTTACAGTAGTGTTTTATTACTGAAAAAAACGTATTACATAATCTAAAGATGCTGTTATATTTGGACACATATTTTTAAACCTACCGCTGTCCAACATGTTCAATTTTATGCAAGCGTTGCATGTTAGTGATAATATTGTAAGGAAAAATACAGCAAAAAAAAATTAATACATTTTTGGGGGGTTGTGCTTTATAAGCAGACTACAGCGTTCTAACACAGGTATTTACACACTTGTGGACATTTGTTGCACTTGCCGCAATGAAGCATAATAAATAAATAAATATTTAAATTATGACACAGTCAAAAAGAAATTATGGTATTAAAGGAAATGAAGAATATATGTTTGGAACTTTAAACAAGAGAGACATGCCAAATGGGAAATTCAATAATTAGAGAACAATGGCATATTTACTATAAATGAATTTAAAAAATCTGTCTGCTGTTTTGCGTACCTGTGATGGTGTCCCGGGAGTGCGAGCTGTATCCTTGAAGGGAAAAAAGTGAGCGAGGCTCAGAGGTCAACCTGCACTCGCCGGTTTGATCTTCGCTGATCTTCACACCCGCCAACACTAAAGCCACACTGCCAGTGTGTCTCTGTGTCTGTTGTGTATGGAATGCGGGCTTGCATCAATAGGCTAAATATAACCTGACAAACACTCCAAAGCACTCTCAAACACCATCGGGCAACAGTAGAGGATGGACCGAGACAAGTTGTCCGATGAGAACTTCCTCCTCCTCCAGAGATAAAACCGTCTTCTTGTGTCGGAATGTTTCGCAGTCGACATGTCTGGCAGGGTTAAAACTTCCAGGGTAACATGTCTTCAAGCTATGCAAGTTATGCACAGAACAGTGGCCCTCCCTGAGATGATCACCGTATGGTTGTCAAAGTGTGTCTCGACCTTTATTGAGCCAAGGCGCCCGCTAAATTTGTAAACTAAATTGTTCGCACATCTGAATGACAGCGTAAACTGTCTGAATTCTGAGCAGACAAATGGATTCCTCCCTCAAATATTTCACTTTTCCACCTAAGTGAAAAGTGAGGCAACCTTACTTTGCTTGTAAACAGTAACCCTGCGAAATTCACAGTCTTTTGTGTAATCTCAGTCCGAGAATAAATTGCCATAAAAAAAAAGTATCTTTAGATGTGAGCACGTATGAGATGATTTTCCAAATCTTCTCAAATCTTCTGATGTAGCGCAGGTTGCTTTTAAACGCCACTGTCACCATACGCATTGTCACCGGTTAACAAACATAAAGTGGTTGCTGTTTTTGTTTTTCAGTGGTCAACTTCTTTTTACACTTCCATGACTGTATTTAAAAAGAAATGAAATAACGCACTTCTCGTCAATATTATGCCTTCGTGTTTTGCCCTTGCAATTAAGGCCGGTTATTTAATTGTTTTTATATTTTAATATTTAGAGTGGTTCATTTATTTTTAGTTATGTATAATCGTAAAGGATGATACTTAAAACATTGTCTGTACAGTTACTTTTGTATATGTGATATGTATTCGATTTTTCCCTCCCAATAGGGTAGAAGTGATCAAGTCTCAACAAGTGTTATGCAACACAACGGTGCAACATTGCAAATTGCAAGCACCAAAAATAAACATACCCAATTGGGTTCCTTTGCATTTGTGAATGGTGAGGTTTTTACCTCTCCAATGCATTCCTCGATGTTAATAGAGAGTAAAAGAAGCCTGCCGCCACCACACAAAATAAATAAAGAAATAAATAATACTGAAGGTACATAATTTGTGCAAACGAAGGTGCTAACAAAATGTTTTAATTTTCAAACAAAGTCATTCTCCAAATCAGTGACACAAGATGGGTGATTATGCATGCAACACACACACACACACACACACACACACACACACACACACACACACACACACACACACACACACACACACAGATACACTTCCTAAAATCAACTTTAAAAGCTGAACATGCCAATTTGCTTTTTCATGTTAGAAAAAAATGCTCTTTGGAACTGACAGTCAGACACACTGGTGAAAGAATATCTGTTTTTGAACACTCATTTATGTGGAATGAAGTTAAATTGTACAAAACTCAATAATAACATATCATTTATCACATTAATGTTTAGTGAAATGTGTCACAAACAGCACAGAAAGTGGGAAAATGTCTCTCGTAATCATCGAAAACATTCCATATTATTTAGGACAACGTATTGCTTACAAGGAAGTTCCCATCAACAATGCACTGAATCTATTGAAATGCTTTTTTTCCTACCTAAGTGATTGCACATACAATTTTTTTCAGTGTCAGGGGCAGGTGACACGGCATCTCATTGAGGAGGTGGCCATAAGATGCACGTACAGGCATACTGTACTTTGCTTGCTTAAATCTGTCTCTGAGAAGTCATCGTTTAACATATGATCCACAGTCAGAGTTTCAAGAAATTGTCGTGCTACTGAGGGGCCACGTAGTACCACGCACTACCGAACCAGATATATGACAAATAACGATATTTTAAATACAGACAAAATACGTGCATACACACAAAATATGTGTTTTTCATATATTTCATTTTTGATAAAACATTCACTCAAACTCAAAATCAAATGTTTTGAAGAAAACAACAAAATACCCCCATACTGTAGTTTTTTTTTCCAATGCAAAGGGTTCTCATGCATAAAAACTACCATTCAAGGACGTCACAAAACTGCTAAACAAGAAACCAACATTCAGTGCAAAAACTCATTTTGTGCAATTTTTTACAAAAATCAATTGAGGTACGACATGTGTCATGCATGTCATTCCAAAAACTATTAGGACTACTCATGTTGTATAGTACAGGGCAGTATAAGACCCAGTGTAAGCGCAACTAAAACACGTTTGCCATTTAGTGGTAATTGGGGATATTATAACTTAAAACTACAGTATACCCTCGGATATTCGCACTTCGGCACCCAAGGATTCACATGGTGGATTTTTTTTCCCTTTTTTTTTCTGAGTGATCACTTGCCACGACGCCATATTGCATACTACATTTGATGACTAATTCATTCAATTAATATCTAAAAAGAAGAAAAAAACATTAATTCTTCACAATTATAAATATTGCTTTTTTGCTTAGGTTTGTTGCTGCTTTTATGATAAATGCGTTGGGCAAGACTGTTATGTGTGTGCTTTTTATTTCATGAAAGCATGACTGATTAACAATGTCTTCTCAGCCATGTTGTTTCCTTGATTTGGTGTTAAAATAAGGACTTGGTTTGACACTGGCTATAAGAATCAAACCTTCTTTTTGGAGCTTCTATTCAAAAATATTCTGTATTTGTTCTTTGAATATGTAGCTGAAGTAAATTAATTATGGCAGATTATCAATGGATCGAAGAATGCTCCATCCATGTGAAAGTGGCAGGAAAGTCACAGATATCAAATTCTTCCCCTAAATATGGGGGTGCCCTGGGAGTGACCAAAGGTGGCCTTGGCCACCCCTGGCCCCCATATACCTCCACCTCTGACTGTGAGGCAGACATGCTAACCAATTTCTTCAATGTAAAGTGTGACCCCTCTTATATAATTCTGAGCTTACCAGCAGATTTAAATGGCTGCGCTGGTCTAAAAGGAGGCCCGTAGATTGCTGCTGGTTTGTCACATTTCATCCTCGTGGGTGCTGAGGTCATGTAAACCGGGGTCATCCAATGGTGACCCTGACTCGCGAGTGGTGGCTCAAGTGACACTCTGCGCTTCCATTCCTCTGGAGGCTCAGGCAGGGACCCGCGCGGTCTCGTGTGCTGTACACGTGAGGCGAACGGCAACGGGGCGCTCTGGATCGAGAAGGCATCGTCCACTGAACCAAAAGGGCTTCTGGATGCAGCCTCCCAGGGTGTGGGCGCCTTGTAGGATGCTTGCGAAAGAGATGCTCGATGATGCTGTTTTGGGGAAAAATATGAGCGAGGACCCCGTATGCCTGCAGGTGACATAGACCCAGAAGAAAAGGACGGTCTAGGCAGGCTAAGGGAGCGGCTTCTACCTTGTCCCTGAAAGAAAATACGTTCAATCAAAAGTATTATTTACAATGCAAAAATCTGTCAATGGTAATGACAAATTAGACGGAACAATTAAATGCTCGTCTGGTAGATGTTAGAATGTAGCATTAGCTTGTACATCGACCTGTTGCCATTCATGAATACGTCCTGTGACTATATTAGCTTTGTGTTCAACTCCACAGGCCTGGAATTCGCTCTAAGTCACTTTATGAATACTGAGACGAGAACATCATTATTTCAATATACTAAATACTTTCTTCTGACATATTGTTTGGTGATGTACGTGCCCTGATTTTTTTTTTTCATATATGTGCCATAGCCCAATAAAGGTCGAGGAGGACTGTGTGGTAGTACTGCACTGATTAATTTGAGAGCAGTTTTCTTGACTTTGCTGCCATCCTCTGGTCACACAATTTATTTTTTAATTTACGTTTTGTTTTAAAATAAATTATTTTAATTAAAAATACGAGGTCATTTATACATTGGTGCATTTCTATTGTGTGGATTATTGTTAATATGTTTTAGTAAAATTTAGTTCAACAAAACAGTTTTACATTGGTATTGAACCATAAGTGTGTCTATCGTTTGTACTACAAAGTAGGACAGGTTGTCAGGGTTCTAATAAATACTATCGTCCTATCGTGTTTCAATGAATAATTATACTGCCTTATACTTTGCAGGCGTGCAAAATCAACGTAACATGAACATAACATTTGGCAATCCCAGATGCTCGCCAACATTCGTGACGTCATCTTCAACAGTTATATGGCCACAAATGTATGGGGGTAGCTCGTTAAAAGTTCGTGTAAATCGTAAAATTATAAATCTAAGAACACCAGATCTTAGTAGTCTCGGTAGGTGTTGGGTTTCATATCATCTCTTCCCTTCTTTTACAGAAGAAACAACGCAGCGAAGTGGTTTTTATTCTAATTAAAACGACCTGACATTACTTTCAAGTCCATTTTACAACTACAGTAAATATGAGTAAGCGCTAAATCCATTTTGTCACGTCTTTTGGACTGTGTTATGTGTGTAAATGATTTTTTGAAAGCAGATCACAGGGACAGGAAGAGACAGTGGAAAAAGTACAGATACAAAAACAGCAGCTGGACTCAGAGGAAGTGCACAAGAATGAGAAAAGAGAATTTTAATTGTGTTGAAAACAAGATGCGCACGAAACAGTTCCATTTCAGAAAGACAGACACAAGAAGATAAGGCAATATATATATATATATATATATGTCACTAAATGTAAATCTGCGCATGTCTACAAAATGTCAAAAATATATTGAACTTCTTTGGCCTAAAATAGGATACAGAATGTCTGATGACTTGGGAATGAAATTGAAGGAATTGAAAATGAAATCTAAAAAGTGCATGCAGGTTCCTCCAAAACATGCCTTCTGATTAAATATATATCAACAGCGACTGTGCAGTATGTGTTACCGTGTATTAAAGGCTTCATGATTCATGAAAATATACTCTACATTGTCACGGTTTATCATCGTTTAGTTAAGATTTTATAAATATGCATGTTAAAACAAAACAGCTTCAGATAATTCTTGAACCATCCTATGCACATACAGTAAGCCCTTCTTAAGAATCATTCATTATTCTCTTTCACGTCCAGTTTGAACAACTTTCAGGAAGGTGACCTAGCAAACCTTGAGATTTGTATTCCACAGGAGCATGCTCAAGCACATACTTTTAAGAAGCTGTCAAGTGAAGCGTTTTATAGACTGCTTTTTTTTTCTCCAACTATTGTGTTCCATCATCTCGGTGTTGACTGCATCGCCACGGCAAAGCTATTTCTGGAGCTAATTTAGCATCGCAACAGGCCTCCACTGTTTGGTTGTGGCTACCGACTTCTTAGCAGAAAATTTGGGCCGAGGTGCCATTTGACGCGTGACTCGAGCAATGAGAGATGCTGGAGGGAAAGATGAAGCGAAGACGGGATCCAGAGACGGCTGCAGGAAAAGCGTGCTTGCAGCTTGAATGCTCGGTGCTTGCTTGGCGCTTGGCTGACAGCCAGTGTGCTTTTCATCCAAGTGACCATCAACTGCGAGAAGCTCAGCTGATTTGGTGTTTTGCCCAGCAGAGAAATTTGATGAACTTACCGGTCCGGAGGACTTAGCAGAGGCCTCTGACTTGCTTTCGAAATCAGGCTCAGAGATATTAGGAGAATGAGAGTAGGCAGGCCTTTGTTTGGGTGTCTTGGTAACCTCAAACTTTGATGGAGGAGCAGATTTGGCGCTGGGGCTTTTGGCCTCTGGAACTACGTCATTGTGGAACAGTGACAAGTCCAAATGATATGGCTGATGTTTCATGATATCTAAAGTGTTGAGGTGCTTTGAGACTGATGTGGGTGGCGCTGTGGTTTTCGTTGGCGGTGCATTTTTCTCTGCTGGTGGATTACAAAACGGGGAGTGAAGTGGATTGTAAGACAAAAAAGGTGGCGCGCGAACAATTGATGAATATCTCCAGGAGTTGGGTAAAGACATTGTTGGAGAGGGGCATCTTGTCTGGTTTGCTGTCGGACCACAGATAACAAACTTCTCCATTCTGGACTGTCTTTTGGAAAACAACTCTGCGCCTTTTCCCGTCATGGTGCGATGGTCACTGCGGTGATCAAAATCTTGAGCAAAGATTTGACCTTTTGGAGGAGCCGGTGATATTTTTGATGTGAATGATTTCATTGGTTTTGGCGGGCACGAGGCAACAGAACTCGGCGCGCTGTCTTGCTTACTCCTGAACTGTGGGCGAAGTGGGGTAAAAGTAGGACAGTGCGCCTGCATACTCACAGCGGATCTTGGCTGAGGTTTGTTCCAGCTTTTCACGGTTGGCTGAAGACGAGGCTGAGAAGAGGAGCCGACCGACGCCCTGCCAAGGGCAGGTGTTTGAACGGATGCCTGGGCTCGATCAGTTTCCCAACAAATGGCCAGCTTTTGAGATTCAGAGCCGTGTTGATCGAAGTCACGGTGCTGCCTCTTGGGTTCCACAAGATATTTGCGTTGTGCAACGGAACTCCTCGAAGGAATACAGGGTTCACTAGGGGGGCCTTTTAACCAAGGTGGACACTTTGGATTAATGGCAGGCTTTGGTGCAACCGGGGGTGGATTCTTGAGTTTAATTGCTCTGGGTTGCATGAAGTTACAAGCTTCAGCGCCGAGGCTGAAACAATCTTCCTCTGACTCCATACAAGCTTTGCTTTCCTGAAGGTCTGATCCTTGTTTGGTTGTCTGTTGCTGTCTGTTTGAGCTTTTACGCCTTGACTCCGGAAAGCTGCAGGTCTTAATTGCGGGCACAGATATTCGCTCATCTCTGGAGGCTATGATGTCTCCAGTCGGGGACCAAACCTGTTGGCTTGAAACGATAGGAACAGATACTTTGAACGCTGACTCTGTTTTCACAGGAACAGAAGCAACAGGCCTGCTGTGATGAGCTGGCCCAATTTGAACCCCTGAAAAGGGCTTCGCTGTCCTGTTTGAAACCAAAGCTCTTTGCTGGTCCATATGATGAATGTGTCTGTTCATGTAGTTGCCCTGCTCAGAATGATCGTATGTTTTCCTCATGTTATACATACTGTTTGCGACTGTATATCCCGGTTCTGAGCGTGCTTTTAAATGTAATCCTTTATTATGGAGCTCTTGCTCTGAGTCAACTTCTTCCATTCGTTTACGACGGTGCGCAAACATCAAAACTCCCTTTCCTTTCGTCCCGGGTAACACTTCCATTCCTTGAACACTTCCCCAGTTTACACTTAAATCATGGTGCCGGTGATCTATGGCGTATTCCTCTCCAAACTCGGACTCGCTGGTCGGGACAAAGTCAAATCCCGTCTCTTGGAGTTCATCTGCTTCTTCTTCCAATTGGTCTTCAGTGTCGAACTTACTTTCAGCAGTGCCGTAACTTACAAGCGTGTACTTCTTCACCCGTTGCTGGCGTTTTTTGAACAGTAGCGCTCCCTTATTTCGAGGGTTCGGTGCGTCAGTCAGAAGGCGAGCAATTCGCTTACATTTGGACTTGGTCTCCTTAACTCGCCTTTGTGATTGGCTTTCATCTTGACCGAGCCCTAAGGCAAAAAGACACAGAGAGAGGATGAACATGTCAATGGAAGTGCAGCCACTTTTTTTGTTGTTTTTTTTAATCACTCTTGAATTTCATTTATTCACCACTCTGGTTTTCGCAAGATCTCACCTCACGTTCACGTTTGAGCCGTCATTCTTACGATTGTTACTATCATATGAAGCGAGCACACTAAGTGAAAGCCACTGACAGATCGTAACGCTTCCGTTGCAAAAGCGAGCACTCTAATAAAAGCATCGTATTCACTTACAGCTAACTTAGGGAGGTGTGTCGGTCAGGCAACGGAAGGACTTTACTTTGGACCAAGGATCGAATGACAGACTGAGCTGACACATGCTGGTGTCCGTCAAACTGGGTCCATGCCTTATGATACGGTCCTATTTTATTCTTGTCCCACTGTGGCTATCAAAGCCATGGGAATTTTCCCTGCAACTCCTCCTCAAATAGGCTCTGCGTTACCATATCAAAATAACCATCACCCCATGAGACCTTATTTACCGTTTTGAAGGCATTCTTCACTTTATTCGATGATGACATTTTCCAAAAAAAAAAAAAAAAAGATGCTATGACTTGCTCTCGTTCAATTAATAAATGCACGTATTTCAAATACGAACAAAAGCAACCACTAACTGCACAGTTTGTACTGTCAGTCCCATCCAATGTCAAAAGGATTGTAAAGGTTTGAGTCGTAGATCGATATTGGACTTACGTGTGCACCTTGCCCCACGGCTGTCCTGTTCTGAGTCAGACTCCGAGTTCCACTTCCCTGCCTGCTCAGCAGCCTCATCTGAGATTCCAAAGGAGACTGCAGCAGGAGGTGCCTCGCTGCTCCCTCCTTCTTCTGAAGATTCAACCCCCCTGCTACGAGTCCCTTGGCCCTGCCTTTTCCTGGCACCCAGGGGCTCATCAGTGGCCAGGGTCGAGGCCGGGGTCATTTCAGGAGCATATCCAAGAGAGGAGGAAGATGAAGGTGAGAGTGGCCTTGGCATTTGTCCACTGTGGCGCTCTGATTCGGAGAACAGTGAAGTTGGTGACGTATTGATGTGCGAGATCATTCTTGGGTCGTTAGGGTAAACGTCCTCCTCTCGGTTTGAATCTTCCTCCTCACCCCCGCTCAAATCATACATGGACCGTCGCTCAAGAACCAGATTTGAGTTTCGTGATTGTAAAAATTCTGGGTACTCCGCGTCAGACTTGGGAAAAGAAAAGCCCCGTGTGTCCAAGCTTCTCTCTACATCACTGAACTCAACTTCATCACAGGACTCTGCTGGGGAGTCGGGGATACCACATTCTTGTGAACCATGGGAACCCAGGAAAGGGCCTGAAAGATCCATGTTCTCTGGGTCCTCAGCTTCTGGTTCCATTTCTGATTCACTTACAAAGTCCTGAGCGTCACCAATGATACCTAAGAGAGAAGACAATCAGTGGTTTAACCCTTTCGTGCACCCTCTAACCTGATAACCCGATAAGCTGTCCACTGTAGTAAACTGCTGTCCCTGAAAGGGTTAAATTGTATTTATGCTTTTCATTCCCAGAATTAAATTATTCCAGCATTAGATTTCTACTTAAGTAATCGCTAAGTCACAGGTCTAGCAGGGAGTGCAACTTTGCTGACGCAGTTTCATTCAAGCTCTAAATGGAATGGTATGTAATATCATGGGGGAAACAGCCGTCCCGTCCAACTGCACAAGAAAATCAATTGGATGGATGTTCTCCAAGTTCCCCTGTTTATAAAGGGAGGGTTGCTGTCACCTTAACAAGTGCGGCTGCAGCAACATTTCCATTTATGTCTGACAGACTGGAGTACCGTATATGTTTGGTATGATGAAGAAATGGTATACTCCCATAACTAAAGCCATTTTTAAAAATTTGTCAGCGGTGTTATAAAATGCATAATAAAATCAAAAGAAAATAATATCATATGATATTTACTATTATACTAGGATGAGGATTTACAAATAATACAATAATTTTTGCTGAATTAAAAAAAAATGTCACCAGAGACATTGGCTTCATGCACAGAAGCTAGTTAATGGTCATGACATATTCAGGCCTTTGCCACAAGGTGGTATCATAGTAGTGGTTATTTTGGGGGGGCTGAGCCTAATCACATGTCAGTCAAAATGTATCGACAGGGGTAGTAGAACAAAAATGAGTCACATCGTAGGGCTCGGTGATGATTTTGGTGAAGAATCGTAAGGATGTACGGCTTTCACTACTCCATGGTTCAGGGTAAAATTCTGCCAAGACATTTGGCAAATGTTTTATGAGCACTGAATTGGCAGACTCGGGTTTTCAGAAATGTGAAAACTGAACAAAGTTTCAACTTTAACACTGAATCATTAGTTTGTTTCCTCGCAGCTGTTTTGTATGAAGATTTGTTTGCGTTGCCATTTAAAATAAGACTGTTTGTACTCACAGCATGAGGCTACTCCATAGTTAGACAGTCTCTTACGTGTCCCACTCTCTTCACTTCACACTTGGTTCCACATCATTTTACCACTCAAGACTTTGTTTGGTGCAGCAAGAATTTCTGCTTCCAAGTAAGGCATTACATTTGCCGTGATTGCCCGTCTCCTTAGCAACAGGAAGTAGGCATCTTTGAAAACATTTGTGATCCCTGGCTCCAAGGCAGGACCTCCCTTTAGGATTGACCTCTCGCGGGTTAGATGTTTCCATGGTATTACCTCAACCAACGAGGTGATGTGACGTTGAAGTATGTGCGAGCAGGATTCAGTAAAAATTGTCGCTGACGGACATATACCAAACTCTTTGCGGAGTTGGGGGTTCCCAAGAGGAAGCCTGCTCAAGGTTTAATTTTGTTCTCCGTGGTTAAGAGATAGTGTCAATGAATATCGCAAAACACAACACAACACAACACTCAGACAGATTAGTTTAGAAATACATAGCAGCATGATTTTAAGCAAACAAGCATAGTCTTTCATGTAGGAGAAAACAAAATTTAAAACTGAAAATAATAATACCCTTAGATGATGTTGCTAGCCAATCGAGCATTAGAACATAAACCCACAACACGAAATCAGTTTCGTTATATAGGTTTGCTACACAAAATACCGTATGTGCATGTGTATGTACTGTCACGTACGGTACGTATATGCACTCAGTATATACGTGTATTTATAAATTCATCATAAGCAACCAAATACATCATAACCCATTGCAAACTATGACATTTTTGGTATATGAGGATGGAAATAAATCAAGTACATTTTTACACAGCGTTACCTTGCAGCACCATTCCGGTCCACCAAGATAAGTCAATGACCAAATTGCTACTTACAATTATTCATAGTTCCTTTCTCGTCCATGAAATTACTCCTTGTCTCTCATACGTTGGCATCCAGCTCTGTACTCTTTATTTCCTTCTTGTGTTCGGGCCCAAGATGGAAATTTAGGATCCAGGCACAAAAGAGACAAATTAGAGCGAATTACGGATGTCTGGGTCACCCACTGACCAGCTGGAGTGCCGCTTTGCTCCTTCTCTACTCTATTTAAAGAGCAAGAAGAGGTGTCGATGCTCCCTTGGACACAGCTGAGTTAGCATCTCACATGGCTCCCGTAAGGGAAAATCATGCCCTTGACGACAGCATATGTAGACTTCTTTATATCATAATGAAAGATTGGACTTTTTAATAGTCTTACTGTTAAGGGGTGTGCATAAAATCACTTCTTTACACTCAATGTTTGCTCTCTTTGACTGGATGTCCCTACATCGATGTGAAATAAATCCTTGTCTACAAATCACAAATTAGAAGATATTAATCCTGATTTGAGCTCTCTATGGATTACGCCACTCAGAAATATAGGGATACTATGTTTGAGGTATTTTATTTTGGACCAGCATGCAGCGTTTGATACAGTGGACTGCAGTATTCTGTAGGCTCGTTTGCAGCAGCAGATCGACAGTAGTGGTAGCGCTGTATAAGGTTTAGATCCTATTTGGCAGACAGAACCTTTTTTTTAACCTTGGCTGGTCTGAGTCCTGCTCTGTCGTATGGTGTTCCACATGGTTCAATAATGGGCCCCCTGTTGTTTTTTTATTTTATTTGCTGCCCCTTGGGTCTCATCTTAAGAAAGCATGGTATTTCCTTTCACTGCTATGCGGGTGAAAATCAGATCTATGTCTCACTGACCAAAAAGGACACTTTCTCCGTTTCTACAACTTTCTTAAAACACATTTTTATTCAGTGGATTTTGTCTCAGCATGGGAGTAGGCATTGATTTTGTCTTTTATGGCGTTTGCTGTTTTTTATGTGGGTAATTTATTGTTTTAACTGTCTTTGTTTTTGGATTTCAGATTTTTACTCCACATACAGCACTTTGTATGCAGCGATGGTTACGTGTTCTATGAATAAAGTTGAGTTGAGGTTACGTGACATAACAGTGAAGTCGGCCTGCACCAACCACACATCACTGAAATGTAGAAAAAACACATGGTTAAGGGCATTTGTAATTATTAACACCACAATGATACATTTTACCTTGCTCAGGGCAGAGCACACTTTACTTCTTCTATGAAGCTCATCTCTGTGACTGTGGAAGTTATCAAAAATGAAATTTGACAACATACTTTCAGAAATTGGTGGCGTTGGGAAATTCCAAATTAGGTTGATCTTAATCCAGGTCATATCTCGAATTACAGTGCCTTGTCACTTTCTGCTGAATAACTTCATGGCGGGGGTTCCCTCTCACCACTGCGATATCAGCACATTGGATAACTTCAACATCTCGAATTTAACTTTGCAACAGAAGCTGTCTATAGGTATTCCGACAGAGATGGACGGCAGTCTGAGCTCCTGTCTGATGTTTTCCAAGCCTCGACATCCACACCTGCTGAACATCAGTGAGGAGTCATCGATTGTACAGTGTCAAAACGGATGGGTGTATGACAAAAGTGACTTTAAATCAACATTGGCAACTGAGGTAAGTTCATTTTAAGTTCAGTCTTTCAAGTGAAGTCAGTTTTTGTCATCGATGTCGTATTAATAGACTAGAAGGACAGAAGGCAGAGAGCATGAGATAGGATCGAGGGAAAACAAATTGCGTCTACAATCAATAGTAATTGTAATGGTAATAGCAATACCATGGTGATTAGCTGTATTAATGGTATTCCGATTGCTACTTCATGAGAGCAAACTTGCTTTTTTTCGCTGCGCTTCTGGACGCTCAGGCACCTGCCATCGGTCGAAGGGGGTAAGAAACAAGAAAATAGCAGCGTTGTTTTCGGCCCTACGGGAAGCACAAGCACGTCGGATGTCCAATTGATGTGTTGCGTTTACACATTTTTGTTTCTTCGCAGTGGGATCTGGTGTGCAGCAGGAAAGGTATGAACAAAGCAACGGCCACCATCTTCTTCATTGGTGTTATGTTAGGAGCGCCTTTGTTTGGATATCTGAGTGACAGGTAGAATGAACTCAACTCTTTTGTGTAATGGAAACAATATTACAGTAAATAAAGAGAACGCTTCTTTTTTTTCTGACCAGGTTTGGCAGGCGGCGGCTGCTCTTGGTGTCCTATCTGACAACCATGACATTTGCCGTTCTAAGCGCACTCTCCACGTCCTATGTCATGTTTGGAGTTATGCGTTTTTTCACTGGGATGTCTATTTCTGCAATAAGTATCGTCTCTATTGTTCTGAGTATGTAAAGCCGCAATTTTTCTTGACGGCTAAATGTTGTCCCCCCATTGGCTGACTATTCAGTCTTACGGAGCGTCATCTTCCCAGATTTAGAGTGGTTGGGTGCAGAACAGAGGACTCTCTTTGGTTTAATCTTCAGCATTGATTGGTCACTCGGAAGCTGCATCCTGGTTGCAATGGCATACATGGTAAACGAGTGGAGGCTCCTCATTCTGGCCGTGACCTCGCCCCTGATTTTGGCCCTGGTTGCTTGGAGGTATTCAAAGATCATCAGGCCTGCTAATGTGCCTCCAAAAACTTTGGAGGTGACACCATGTTTGTGATGTTCAGGTGGCTTCCGGAGTCTGGCAGATGGCTTGTGGCTAATGGGAAGTTTGATGACGCCCACTATTACATTAATCAGTGTGCAGAAATGAACAACAGATGCAAGTGCATGGCCACCATTACGCCAAGGGTACTTTTTGTCCATGGTTTTACTTTGCTTCAGTCAGCGTAGAGGTGACCATGATGCAATCGTTTGTGTCGTTGCTTTGCAGACATTACTGGAATCTGTCGACGCGGACACCACTGACAAGAAGTACACTTTTATTGATCTTTTCAAAACGGCAACCTTAAGGAAACTTGGCGTATGCCTTGGGATTGTATGGTAAGTCGAAGTTTTAGAGACCGGGTGATTGGTAAATTTCTCCTTAAGTACTTTTTTGAGCATTTCTTTGATATAGCAGGGAAATCTGAACACCAATTGCTGGGGCCGGAGCGCAAAGGTTGCGGCTTCGTTGAAATATTAAGACTGTTAGGTTTACATTCCTGGAATCACAAATGAAATACAATGTGTTAAATAGTGAGCGTTCAAGGAGAGGTGATGTACATTTCTGAACTCTGGACAGAGCCAGCTTCCAAATTATCAATGTCTGATTTAACACACAAAAGTCTTTAAGTATTTTTATTTACAAATGCATGAAATTGTATGAACATGTAAGGAAGAAATTTTTTTGATGCGTTCAAGATTTAGTGTGGACTGTTTAATATTTTTTCTTTCCTCTTTCAGGTTTGGGGTTGCATTCACTTACTATGGGATAACCCTGAATATCACCGGCTTTGGATTAAACCTGTACCTCACTCACTTTCTATTTACATCAATCGAAATGCCAATGAAGATTGGCCTTTATTTCTTATTGGAAAATATTGGGAGAAGGCTGGTTCAGGCAGGGACTTTGCTGTCGACCGGTCTCTGCCTTTTCATCAACATGTTTGTCTCAAAAGGTTTCTGATTCATTTCTTTGTGAGTCAAGGGTACAATTTTACATACAATGTATCTTCTGGTTTAATCTTTAACCGTCCCCCAGAGAAGTGGATCATTCGTACGATTGTCGGAGTACTTGGAAAATCCATGTCGGAAGCATCGTTCACAGTCATATTCTTCTTCACAATTGAACTGTATCCCACTGTCATACGGTTAGTCAGTAACAAACTTAGTTAACCATTTGTACTCTTCCAATCTGGTGCTGCATTACACGAACCTCTTTTATCATCCAGACAGAATGGTGTAGGCTACACTTCCTTTGTGGCGCGGTTGGCCGTGTCCATATCTCCGCTGATCATGCTTCTTGAAGATGTGTGGCATCTCCTACCCCCTATGATTTACTGTGGAATGGCGATCCTTTCCGGTTTAGTGGCATTACTCCTAACCGAAACACGAAATACCAGAATGCCCGAGTTCATAGAGGATATTGACAAACCCAGGTAAAGTGGTATAACGCCTTGTGACACTTGACTGCATGCTCAGCTTGGCTTGGCTTAACACACTTTCACCGCTTTTTCTATTAACAAAGCCTGGCGCTATTTTTGAGAGACTGGTCAGGCGGGGTTCCTAGCATGCCGAGCTGATACCGCATGGGTCCACCATTATAACGTTTGAATTTAGAATTAGAAATCACCCCCCCCCCTCCCAAAAAAAAAAAAAAGATATACAAACACGCACACACATGCTAATCCTAGCATCCCCTGTTGCTGTGTGTTAGTACCCGGACATTGCTGTATTATACACACCATAGTCTCTAGTCGACTTTTTGCTTCTTTCGGGAAATTTAGCATAACAGACGCATGTTGAAAAGGAAACAGAAGACCGTTTCCCCCTTCCATTGTTGTTTTTTAGCATGTAGCATCGCGACTGATATGTGTAGTGCTGGATGGGCTTCACAGTTTCCCACTGTAGAATCTTAAAAGTGGAAAAACAAGCTTCTCAAACTGCAAAGTAGTATGATGAGCGCAGGAAGTACTGTGCAGTAGAAAATGTATCGAATCATTCACTGATTTTAGAAAATGGCATTCATATACTTGTCTGAACGGAATCTTTCTTGCATGAAAAGACTAACCTACATTTTGTATACGTTACAGGGAAAAAATAACCAGTGGGAAGACGATCTAATGAAGAAAAAAAAACTGTGGTGTAGCCTGGCCATGTCATATTCAGCTTGCACAAGAAGGCAAAGACTCTTGGAGCTGCAAAAGTGTTTGACAATAAAGTTTGAATATGCAAAAACTCCAGTGTTCATTTGGCGGCGATAACGTGTCCATAGTCTCTTTACAGTTCAACGTAATTGTTCCAAAAGCAAATCAATTGACAAATCTGTGAAAATTATTGCAAACTGAGCAGTAGAAGTTTTTTTTTTGTTTTTTTAAATTTGTTTGTCTACTCCTGCTTTTATCCGACACTGTCCTTGTCATCATAATTTTTTTTATGCCCCAGACAAATTGACAGACACGCACACAGTGGATATTTTACATACTTAATAGTTTTTTTTTTAAATTTTCAGTAAACCACGAAACACATTGTGCCTTTTTTAGTGGGATTAAAAACCTTGATGACCAATGACAGAAATATCTGATAAACATATCTAATCTAAGACCTTTTTTAATGCTTTTTTTTTTTTTTTTTTTTATTGGAAAAAGAATTTATGGATACCCTTAATCTGTTTTCTGTTCAAGATTTTTTTTTTCTTGTTTTCCTTCACTTTGACAAAGAATATACAACGTAAAAAAGCATTTAAGAATATTCTAAAACAAAAGAGAAAAGACTATTTTTTTTTAAAAAGACAGTTTGTTAGAGTCCGGTAGTAGTTGAGTTGCATCAAAAAAATGTTTATAACATGCAAAGATGTACAAACATTAGAGGTAATGTGTAGCGCCGACTTTTGACTATGAGGACGCCTCCAACACACCTGATTCAAATAGGCAAGCTTGCTGATGAGCTGATCAAGCGTACTGGAGGAGGGAAATATCTAAAACAGATGGGATAGGAGCTCTCGAGGATCAGACTTGGGCACCTCTGTCCAAGGCCATCATGCCGCAGTTTTAAAAAAACATTGACCGTCTCAGGGACAGCGGTTACTACAGTGAACAGTTTATCATGTTATCAGGTGACAGGTTATCATTATTGGTGCATGAAAGGGTTAAAAAAAAAAATCAAATAATTGATCTGACAAGCAAAATATTCATACCCAGCCAGTTTGATTTGTCAACATTGAGTTTATTGCTTGGTTTGAAGGACAGCGAGAAGGAAATAGTTTGCCCGACTCACCATACTCATATAATTAAGTAAATCAGCTGTGATCCCAAGACAGATTCAACTGGCTGGTCAATAATAACGGAAGGAAGGCTCTTTCTCAAGTCAATAATTACATTTTTGGTTCAAAGCACACGTCGGTTAGCAACAGCTCAAACCAGCAAGCATGATCTTGTAATGTATAATTGCAGCAAAGTAGCCAGCCCCCGACTGGCAACTCATTTATTCTCAAAATACTTGACTTGCCAAATTGTGTTGATATATCTTGCAAAATAAGACTGTTCTCAATATGTCACCATGCTGTTACAGATTTCCCTCCCCCCATCGTAACTGTCCATTATTTTGGGCTCCAAGATTTTTCCTGTTTTCCTTGTGCCTCGCTCCACATTGCCACTCTTACGTTCATGATGAAGTTTGATGACCTGTTAGCAGAAGTGAACGGCTTCGGGCGGTTTCAATGGAGGATAATGCTAATGTTGGTGATTCCTCGTCTGATTTTGCCTTTTCACTTTCTGCAGAATAATTTCGCTGCATTTATTCCTTCTCACCATTGCAACATCAGTGCTTTTGATGAAGGGGATGTTTTTAGGGATCTTTCCAGTGAGGAAAAGCTCATTGTCAGTATTCCAGTCGAGGAAGATGGGAGCTTTAGTTCTTGTCAGATGTTTGCAGAGCCTCAATATCATCTGTTGCTGAATTCCTCCAACACTACCATGTTACCGACTGTACATTGTCAGAATGGATGGGTGTATGATACGTCCATCATGAAGTCTACTCTGGCCACAGAGGTGAGTTGCCGCTGAATTTCTCTATAAATCATCAGATAAATGCTTACTTTTCTAGTGTTTGGCTCTTCAGTGGGATCTGGTTTGTGAGCGAAAGAGACTGAACAAATCCACAGCCACTATTTTCTTCTTGGGCGTCATGTTTGGAGCGGCAGTCATTGGCCATCTCAGTGACAGGTCCTCATGATTCATGTATATTTCTGTTTGCACTTTTGATTGAATTTGTACCTGAGCTATTAAAATTAACAGATATCGATATGAAAGGAAGATTCCCAAAGTCCAAACTGTTGATAAACATGACTTAGTCTCTCTTTTAATTCCATGTTTTGTTTTTTTTTTTTCTGGCAGATTTGGCAGAAAAATCATGCTGTTGGTGTCTTATCTGATCACCTCAATTTTTGGATTCGCAAGTGCTTTGTCAAGTAGTTATGTCATGTTAGCAGTCATGCGGTTCTTGACTGGCTTTGGAGCTTCCGGAGTCAGCATAGTCAGCGTGGTTCTGTGTGAGTTCTAACCTGCATGCAACTCATCAGTTTAGGTACAAAGGCTTATTTTGTACTTTTGGGCCCATTACTACATCAGAAAGTTTTTTTTGGTGAGCACAAGAACATTTCTAGGGGCCATGCAAAAGTTTCTGGTGCACACTAAACGTTTGCTCACGATCACCAGAACATTTTCTCATGCGCATCAGAAAGGTAATGACCCAGAAAGCTTTCTTGTGAGCATCAAAACGTTCGTTATGGTCACGAGAAGATTTTCTGGTCCGCACAATAAAACCTGTGCACTCATAAAAAACCTTCATGTGATATTGAAAACCAATTTCTGGTGCGCCCAAGCATTTTTTTTTTGTTCTTGCCTTGTCACTTTAGAGGCTCCATATATAATTATCCAATTCTCCTTCACTAGTCCGAAAGTTAGCCCGTATTTGGCGCCCACGAACTTGTCATTGACACAATAGAATAAGTCATGGCTTCCTGCAAAAACACATCATCAACTCTGACTTCAGTCCCAGATTTTACACACAATACTGGGAAACGCTGACTAAACATGACTACCTACCCACCAAGAATGTGTCCTTTTGTCTGTCCTGAACATACTGTACGTTAGATGGTGATGTGTGAATGTCCCTTAAGCGATGTAATTATGATCTTTTATCCTAGCTATCGAATGGGCGGACATCAAGCATCGGTCTTCTCTGCTCATTTTATTAAGCATGGACTGGAGTTTTGGCGGTGTGCTGCTTGGCGCTCTCGCCTATTTAGTAAATGACTGGAGGTACCTGATGGCTACATCAACCAGCCCGCTCTTGCCAGCACTCATTTATTGGTGGTAAGGAAATAGTATCAAGTGATTCTTTCTTTTGAACAAACTTTAACATTGTAAAGACCTCCATTGATGATGTCTGTAAATATTCTCATTCATCCAGGTCATTCCATTGTCAGGGTGTTTAATCGACTGCAACTGCATGATTCTGGTTGTCTTAGAACCGGAACCATCTAGTTGCGATTGATGATTAATTTATGTGCTTGTGCTGTCTATACAGGTGGATTCCAGAGTCTGCCAGATGGCTGGTAAGCCAGGGAAAAATTCACCCTGCATATTTTTACTTAAGCAAGTGTGCCAAGGTAAACGGCAGAAAGCAGTTTATGGATGACCTAAAACCTGAGGTGCAAACTCTTGTCAGCAAATTTTGTCAAGACTGACAGTTTTGTTTTTTTGTTTTTTTTTAACATTAATGTCTTTAAAGGACTATTGTTTTTCCTCTTCCACCTCCCACAGGATTTGTTAAAAATAACTGCGCTAGAAAATGAAAACAAGAAATATTCCTTGTTGGATCTGGTGAGAACGCCGAAATTGAGGAGACTGACCGCAATTGCTGGCACTGTGTGGTATGGCTCATATAACAAAAACTTTGTCATGCTGGACTTTTTTTTGTCCCTTTTAACACATAGCGTGGATACAAGTTGGTGTGGTTTAGTACAGTGGAACCTCTGAGGTCGCACGCTTTCAGGACGGAGGCCCGGCCAGCTTCAATTTGTTCTTAATGTGAGACATATTTTTGGCCACAGACACTAACTACTAAACTAATATCCAGCCATCCATTTTTTATACTACTAGCTCTCATTATGGTTAAACGGAAAGCCTGTGAACTAGGGCTGCGCACGATTCGGTGGTGACTCGAATTGAGATGGGAATTGGCCCTTGAAAACAAATGCCAAATCTGAATTTTCGGATTCGAGTCAAAACAGGACAGAGCGAGTTCTCGTCAGAAAGAAATGTTTGGATGCCACTCACGTCCCTGCACATGTGACATATCTACATGGGGCGCGCACATGCGTGAAAGCTATGTATGTGACACGATGGAGCTGACGCCGGGAATTAGCTGTTTGTGTGTGGAAATGAGCATTAAATTCAACTGTTCAGCAATCACTCAATAAAGCCCAGCGAGGTTGTGTAGCAACGCCTCGCTGTTGACCTCTCACACCGTTCTAGCAGCAAACAAAAAGGAAGTTAGCAAAGTTGGACCTGGTGGACAAGCTAGCTTAGCGCTGGTTAGGATGAGGCCAGTTTAAAATGGGACCAAAGTGAATAAAAAACATCCTGGGTTCTGCTGTTGGTCAGGGTATGGCGCTGGATCCTGTAAATTAAAGTAAATTATTTTAAACTAACAAGAAAAACCTTTCCGTGAATTGATATGCTGCATCAATGTCAGTCTGTTATTGCATGTTCAATAAAATGTTCAATCAATCAATGCGCCAGTGTAGATGTAACTTTGGAAAAAAATTGCGACTCACAGTAAATACTCACATTATTCCCCTTGTTATAAGGTTACAAAAAGCCAAACAAAAAGCAAACGTCTCCAGAGTTAATTCTTCAAATTAAGGTCAAGTTTCCTGCTGAGGGAGGTCTCGTAACATCATACACGATGGCAGTTTGGATTCTGAAGTTTTTGTGACTTAGAGGCATCATGTGCATGAATATTTTTGAATCAAAGTCCAGATTGTTAAGTCTTCGACTTTGGAGATTCCACTGTATTGTAATTTTACCATTGGGAATCAATCTGTTCTTCTGTTCATAGGTTTGGAGTAGCTTGCAGTTACTACGGCATCAGCTTGAATGTCTCTGGATTCGGCTTAAACATTTTTGTCACACAGTTGATGTACGGCTTCAGTGAAGTTCCCGCCAAAATTTTCTGCCTTTTTTCAATTAACAAATTTGGCCGAAAGTTTAATCAGAGTGGTGGACTTCTTTTGACTGGATTGTGTTTGTTTTGCAACGTGATTATCCCGCCTGGTAAGTGACGAAGGTGCGAAAGGGGAAAGAGCTTTTCAGTGGGCTGAGAAAAATGCTTCCTGGATGTCTTCTTTTCAGATATGGCAGCATTTCGGACAGCAGTGGCCGCGATAGGCAAGATGTTTTCAGAAGCAGCTTTTACTGTTTTGTATTTGTACACAACAGAATTGTATCCGACAGTATTGAGGTCAGTAAAACACAATATATAGTGGTGTCTTGACTTACGAGTGCCCCGACTTGTGAGTTTTTCAGGGTCAGGTTTTTTTTTTGGGGGGGGGGGGGCTTTGACTTGCGACCCAAAAAAATGACTTCAATGTGAGCGAGAGAAAAGAAACAAGGGTGGATTCGGAATCGCCCCCCCCCCCCAAAAAAAATAATAATCTAGAAAAGTGTATTTGCACCACTGATTAAAAAAATGGTAAAAATTATGGGAAAACTGTTGCATTGTTATTCTCTTATTTTTAAGGTACACCAGTAACTCATGTTTTAAGAACATTAACTGTTATGAGAATTCCATGAGTGCAAGTTGAAGGAGTGACTGAAAGTTGTGGGTTCTTATGTGTTGTCACAGACAAAATGGTTTTGGCTTCTGTTCTTTCCTCGCCCGTCTTGGTGTGGCAGTATCGCCGCTGGTGGCTCTTCTTGAGGAAGTGTGGGTTGGTTTACCAAGACTCCTATTTTCCATGATGGCTTCCGGTGTTGGGTTGTTGACGATCCTCCTTCCTGAAACAAATAACACCCGCCTCCCGGAGACAATTGAAGATGTGGAACAGAGCAAGTAATTACGTGTGGAAATATTACGATCATAGTTGGGGTTGAGTAAATGACAAATAAAGTGTCCTTTATGTTTCAGAAGACTAGCCTCCACATCTACCACGAATGCTCCACCATAATTTTTGCAATTGCTACGAAACACCTAAGAAAACACCTGAAGAACAATTCTCTTTGATAACTCCGCAGATCACACGGCACAGGGTTACGCTGACAACTGTATGGTGTGCTATATGAGTCAATAAAGATTCCGAAAAACAAATCGGTCGTATGGTTCCCCAATCTGTATTTGCGCTCGGGACCAGAGTTAGTTCTTAGTTTAATTCATCTGAATAAATGTTTATATTTAGTTGTCCTGTTGGAACTTGCACAATTTTCTGTGACAAATACATTGATTCAGGGAGTCAAAATAATTACCATAAATGACGACGCACTGAGTAAATCGCTCACCGAGGAGCCACTTCTACATGCAATGTAACTTAATGTCCACCAGAGAGAGCCGTTGAAACATTTATGACTGAAACCGAAACCTGCAAAACTTTCCTATTTGGTTAAGTGATGGGTATAATACTGTATATTGTAGTTTTACACCACTAACATAATATAAACATATTGGCAAGCGATTTTCATTTAATGTCATCACAAAATAAAGGCTGAATTGGTGAAATGTTTCATATAAATACCAGTAATACGGTATATTCCATGTGCATTCTGTCACAGTCCAATTCAAGGAGTCGAAACAAAATAAAACAGACAATTAAAAAAGCTATGCAGCATGAAGTAGTGCTTGGATATGTAAACCAGCATCGGCAACAGCATCCACCACCAGACCGCAGTGCCGCTTTTGGTGGAGATGGAAATCTCTTAGAGCCAATCACAGATGAGTATGACACTCCTGTGAGCCAATAAAATTGCAGATTTGCGGTGGAGGCGTCACCGATGTGCCATCCACCTTGGAGGCGGCAGGCGTTTGGTTGAGAGGCGGGTGCCGGATGGTGGAGTACCACTGATGAGAGAGAGAGCGGGCAATAAAGAAGGGACTCTTTTTAGCTCGCATTGTATTTCCACGCGGATACTGGAAAACTCCACAGGAGGATTTGCTTCACCTGCTCGTGTGGTACGTGCGACAAGATGGCCCTAAATGTGTTTTTTCCATCGTTTTCTCAAGCCTTGTCGTGGCTAGTAGGGCTGTGCGTTTACTGTAGCTAGCGGATTATTGTGCTCGTGACTTTTCAATGATGGAGGACCGAATGCTAGCCGGCGTGGCTACCTTTCAACCATACGGCTTAGAGTAATCTTTCCCTCGATGTAGTTATGTGGAATAAAGGATGTTTGTTTGCAGTCAAGGTTTGGAACGGTGCGGTCATTGTCCGCTTTACGTTTATCTCCACCCAGATGTCTCTTGAGCCGCCCACACCCATGATTGGATCACAAGGCGCTCTAAAAAAAGTCAGATTTCCACCAAGTTAAAACCGCTCGTCTTGTTGAGTCGCTTGTTTATGTTCATATAGGTACAGAGGGAATATAAAAAGTGCACGTACAGTGTGTGTGACAAGTTAGTTCGTGAGGTCGGGTCATCTTTTGAAGCACTGCAATTGAAAGCTAGCTGATTAGCAAGTTGCAGCATTTTACAAATACGAGCCCGCGAATAGGAGAAATCCGCGTACAAATGACGCCCGTTGAAATGCATTGAGGGCGAAATTTAACCCCCCCAATCTAAAAAACAAACAAAAAAAACAAACAAACAAAAAAAAAACAACAACAACAAAAAAACGCTGATAAACTTCCAAGATGCGTTTTCAACGACGGGGTTAGTCTCCCACTCCACCCCACAAAATTATTGCGGAACAACGGTCATGTGACGTCCACTGTACCTTGTTATACCTTGACTTATAAATTTTATTTGTTCGATAATTCACCCCCCCGACCCTCGGCTAAATGCATCTAAATGCATCACTGAATTTTATAATACAATCTGATTAAAGACAATGTGAATAAATGAACTGGTCCATCCCCACTCACTCCTGATGTCACTCACTACGCCACTCACTACGCATCAACACGAACGAATATGAACAAAACTTAGGTGCCTCTTTTGTCCTAACACTTTCTTAGTATTTTTTTTATTTCTGGTGTTGCCTTGGGGCATACAAACTAGGGCTAAGGGCATGCAGTGACCCACAGCAGCCACACTGAGTCCCCTCCCCACTATTATTCTGTGACCTGACCCACATTCGTGTCCCACAGGCGCCTGCTGGATTCAAGCATGGGACCTGCTTGTGGGTTCGACATCTCCCAGCATTCGTCAGTCAATCTTGTCCCACATGACTAACAGGCTCGCTGCCCGGAGAGGTTCTTCCTTCTCAAGGCAGTCATAACGAGCCCTTTTCCACAATGTAATGGCAGAATATTTCAAACAACTCTTGTATTAGAGCCCTTAATCCCTTAAAGCATCATCCGCATTATAAAGAAACCCCAAAATGTGTAAAGCTTTATCTGGGTAAAAAGTGCCTAATTTGAAGAATCGAAATTATAAATCATATTCGGTTTTGATCGACATTTTTTGTTTACCAAATAATTCAATTTCTTTCTAATATCAATGTCCTAAATAGTCATCTACAATTCTGGACAATTTAAAGTAATTCATTAAAAAAAAAAAAAAAAAAAACTGAATTAGGTCGTGTTTCCAAACTTTTGACTGGTACTGAACATTAATAAATGGGCCAAAATTTCCTCCCTTCCAATAAAAGTCAGCAAAGGGTCTGATTGTCTGATGTATCTAAAAGATTATTCTCAAAAAAGATTATCCCATGAAAAAAGTGAAATAATCGTGAGCTCCAGCCTGAATCACAAATGATTTTTCCTCTGGAGTCGAGGTTTCCATGAGTGATTTGCAATGGTTATGTTACAGTGCATGTGGGCTGAGATGGAGGTGGAAGGCCTTCAAGATCTGTGTGGGCATGATGTCCACACAGACTTAAATATGTATGAGGAATATTGTAAGTGAAGCAGAATGATTACATTTGTGTCATTTAGTCCTAGGATTTGCTATTTTCAGTTTTACAGTGGGGGTCCTTCATCCAGCCATTAAAAAAAATATTCACAAGAGCTTCTGTGACCAAATATTGGAATGTTCTCCCTCAGGGTTGTTGAGTCATTTTTGCGCTTTCTCGCATGAATGAACGCCACAAAACATGTATAACTCTAATACTTTGTTATCTCGGCTGCAGGTGGCCAAGCGAGGAGTACTGCTTCTGGTAGCTGCCGGAAATGTCGCAGAGGAGTGGGCAAGAGGACCCGGAGCGGTACCTTTTTGTGGACCGCGCTGTGGTCTACAACCCAGCTTCGCAGGCCGACTGGACCGCCAAGAGACTAGTATGGATCCCGTCTGAGCGCCACGGCTTTGAGGCGGCCAGTGTGCGCGAGGAGCGCGGCGATGAGGTGGTCGTGGAGCTGGCGGAGAATGGGAAGAGGGCGTCGGTCAACAAGGATGACATCCAGAAGATGAACCCACCCAAGTTCAGTAAGGTGGAGGACATGGCAGAGCTTACATGCCTCAACGAAGCCTCTGTACTACACAACCTCAAGGACCGCTATTACTCGGGCCTCATTTATGTGAGTAGTTTTGTCTTGTGGTGTGTAGCAATGTATTCTTTTACAGTGAACGGTGCAAAAGGTGAAGAGCTGTGATTGAGACATTTGAACTTAACTTAAACACACTAAAAATGTATTTGAACACAGAAAAAAATGCTTTTGATTCGGGATGCGCATTTCCAAATAATAAATATTTTCTTCTTTTTTTTTTTTTTTTAATACAGATGGACACATTTACAACATAAAACAAATATAATAATGACTTCACAAATAAGTTATTTTATGAATTTTTATCAGTAATTTTTAAATAATCGGATATGAATATGAACACCTAATTTTCATCTTTTTGGAGCATCAGTTGATTAATCGGATATCGGACCCCCCCAATATTGGAATCTGCAACAGCGTCAAAAAATACATGTTGCTTGGGCCCTTCAAATTACAATGAAGCTGCTGGACATACATGGAGTCTCCACAACACACAAACAACTGCAAACAAGTTCAACAAATAAAAAGTATGTTTCCGTCTGCAAAATTTCACTTTTTAAAGGCAGCATTGATCACAGTTTGGATTCATAACAATTATCGGAAGCTGTTCTGAGAAAATTACATGGTAAAACAAAATATGAACACCTAATTTTCATCTTTTTGGAGCATCAAAGAAACACCACCCACTACAATGTGCATGACTGGTGCAGGTAGCGGGGTAGGCAAATCTGTGTACTTGCCATCACTGCTCCTTCCTCTGTGCTTGAGGAGTTCATCATCCATTTTGCAGAGCGTGATTTGCAATTTTCCTAAAAGTGTTGTCATCCATGTCTTCAAACTATATGCCCACCCATGGCTAATTTCTCTCTCCTACCCTACGTTGTTGATTTGGTATTGACGCGTATGGTATCTGAGAGCTTTTACAACACTGTATACTGGTATCGGTGTCTGTGTGTCCCTACTTTTTACTGAAGATGGCAAATCTCAAGAAGAGGCCTCAATGCACCCAGATAACAACTCCCACTCTTCTGATTTCACGAATGCCTACATCTTTGCTGAATCACTCCCTCACTGTGTTTTTCTTTGAATTTTCTCAGAAGCATGATGTGGGGGAACTCTCATTTCAAAGTTAGATGTATCAACTCCCCTCAGAGCAACAAAAACCTTATCGAGTGGAACCTCCGTTGCCAAACATAACATTTAGATAACAATTTTCTTTCGGGCCTTTGCTGACTGATTACAAGGGTGAGAAAACACTCAAATTCAGCCTTCAATTCAACACTTCAAGTTAGCGCTTCTACTCTACAAGGTTCTTTTATTTCTTCTTTTAAATAACACTGGGCCCAAGGGTACATTTCTTACAAAATAATATTCCCGACTCTTCAAAGGGCTCTTATGACTTCCCTCTCAGTAGGCATACCATCATCATGTCCTACATTACCTGTCCAAGTGATTATGAACCACTTAGTGACATGCATGCCTGGAATAGTCCGGGGCTCGGAGCTCGTGGGCCCGACCACCTGAGACTCTAACAGAGGTATCACATTTATTTTCCCTGCACTATTGTGACTGCATGAGATAGCAAATCTACCGGATGTTAAAAATAATCGTGTGTTAGCAAGCATTTGCAGGTTCAACATCATGTTTACTTGTTCATAAAATTAAGAGAAGTCCATGTCAAGCACAGTTTGTCTTCGTACAAAGAGAGTATTCTGTTAATGGAAGAGGAATTGACTCCAGACGTATCCATCGACTGTCGGAACCTTTGCTGAGTCACACTCAAATCAGCCACACACTCGCACACACAGACAGTTCCCCACTTCGGCACGCGCATCACGACGGCAGCCGAAAATTTACAGCACACCCGGTAAAGTTCTCTTTATTAACCCTGCGAGGCTAATAAGATCAATCATATTAGATACTCGCCTCACGGGCTCATGAAATTATCGAAAATTATGTGCACCCACAGGGTTTAGTAACACAGAAGCCCCTAGCTTAAAGTTTTAGGGGCACAGGCACAAAATGTTCTGCACACATGCAAAGTAAACATGGCATGCAAACCAGCACACGTGATTTTTTTTTTAATGATTGTTTGGATATTTCATAGCAGCCTTAGGAGAAATGAAAATAAACTCAGTCGAGCATCGAGGTTGATTGAGTCATTTGTGTCAGCGAGCCGTCATCCAGCCCACCTTGATGCTCTTGTGTTCTAATATGTTGTGTAAACTTGGTAGAAGAGCTGTTCATTGTCAGTGAATATATTCCAAAGCATTCCCAAGGCATTCATGTGATTTTATTTTTTTTTTCCCATGAAGCCTGTTTGGGTGGTGCCCCTGTCGGGCATCAGAGCTGCCCTGCTTTTGAGCATCATTGCAGCTGTCCAAGAAGGTTCAGTGCAAGTCTGTTTTATTGATGCCACTCTGATGCATTATTGAATGCAAGCTGGTCCACGTGCACGCTTATCTTTATCCGGCATTGATGTTGCAATGTGTATGAGAGATTGAACGACTTCAGATTTTTTGGGGGAGAACATGGCAATAATCCCTTGCTTGTAGATGTGAAGTAGCAACTACATATTTATTAGATCGTGTATAAACATTTTAAAGCTTTATGCATAATAGGAATACAATATGCATGTGGGGTAGAAATCAACCCCTCAAGAACAGATTGTGTTCAAGAAGCTATTTCTTTCTTTGCTCAGTTTGAGGTTTTTCAGAGACACTTTAGCTGACTGTTGGGATTACACAATGCGACACACAAACTGTTCACTTTGGCACATTTGGAATTCCACAGTTGATTTCTTTTTTTGGCCATCCATTGCATTCAGAGCGTCAAGCTTCTTAGGTACTTGATATTGTGTGACCTGTCCAAGACAAAATCCTGTACTAACAATTTTGACAAGCTGTCCGAATTGAAATCAGAAAATTATTCGAAGCAGTTCAATTTCACACTGAAAGCAGCATTGGGATTCTTGAGATTCAGGGCAAAATGAGAACTATTTGCATCTCCTGCGCTGTTGCGTAGGTGGATTTATTTCAATGAAATGGGTAAAAGCATGCCTTAACCTGTTTTGCATGTCTTTAGCAGTCAGCAAGTGAGGACACAGGAGAAATGGTCCGTCCTTGCCCATTGAGAAAAACTTTCTCAGCATTTTTTCGCTTCACAAACATTTATATGTACATTTCTCGAAGTACTGAGGGCCATTTAAACTGTATCAGAATTGCTCCCTCTTTACCACAATTTGTGAACTGAAATGTGCATTGCGTCTAAAGGGTCTTAAAATAGTATTAATAGTATTGAACTGAATTTCAGTATAATATAGCTGGACAAACAAACCAAAAAAAAAGATGAAAGCTTACTGGCTGGTGTCCTGTCATAGCTGCCCGTCTCGGCAGCCAACCTCTTGCCCTAAGAGGGACGCTAATCCCACAAAATACCCCCTGGGGGTCCACTGTCAAGGGCAGCCAGCTGAGTCATTCCTGTCTCCCTGCTGCCCGTGGACCATGCTGGGTCGGTTGCAGTGATCCGTCTGTCTGGCTCTGTGCCCACTGTCAGGGGTCCATGAGAGGTTACTGTGGCACATAATTTGTCTAGAAGTTAGTCGATTCCAGCTAAAAAGGGTTTGAATATTAGTATGATTAGTTAAAGTGCAAATTTGCCCTGCAGCATTATTTATTTGTCTGCTTATATTGCTATGACTCACAGTTCAGAGATTAAATTAACTACATATTGTCAAATGAGGATTTTTTTGGGGGGGTGGCGTGGGGGGTCTCTTGAATCAAGACCTTTGATCCCAGTCATTGATATGCGATTGAAAAAGCCTTAATCCTGGGCCGCTAGTGTCTACTGGTCAGCGTCATGCACTCTTGACTTAATGGGGTGTTCAGAGATTAACCCTGCTCAGGCCGCTTTGTCTGCAATTGGATGTCTGTTCACATTATGTCGGCGCACCAGCTGCGGATTACCGCATCAGGCTCACTATCTGATTTCAGTCACTCATTAATAGATATTCGGGGAGAATTGCCACAATTCATGAAAGAAACCTAAAGCATGTTCCCCATCTACACAGTTTGTTCCTCAGCGGCCTATGTTAACATAAAAGCTATCGCAAATAAATATAAGGTGAACTCAAACGGCCAGTGGAATTGCATTTAGATTGACTATGTTTCCTTTGTGTTTCTTTTACTAGACATACTCTGGCCTCTTCTGTGTCGTCATAAATCCCTACAAAAACCTCCCCATCTACTCGGAGAACATCGTGGAAATGTACCGGGGCAAAAAGAGGCACGAGATGCCCCCTCACATCTACGCCATCTCAGAGTCTGCTTACAGATGCATGCTACAAGGTAAGTCGGCTGCTGTCCATTTCCATCACAAACGACCTCGATCGAAAAGGGTCTGTATTGTACAATAGGACCGTATTTGATCAAATACACCATCTGCTGCCAAGATTTGATGTACCCGCACTGGATGTGATCGTAACTTCAGATGATGTCACAGTCATTGTACTAAAATGAGTTTATAGTTTTTATAAAGAACTGGGAATGTCTCTTTCTCATGATTAATGGTTGCTGGTATGTTAGCTTCTTAGCATATGCATGCATGTAATGAATGGCTTTCTCAAACGACACAACTTTTTTGTCGTTCATGACGGTTGCGCTGTCGGACTACTAGATAAATATCTGTGTCTTAGACCGATCGAGATGTCACACTAGTACACAAGTACGTCACTGACCGGACCGCACCCAATCTTGCATGCTTCCAACAAGATTCAATCGATCAGCGCAGGTCCCTTAGGGATGCGGGACCAGCAGCTGTCAAAGTCATGTTGACGGAGACATAATGCTTGTGAGAAAAAAAAATAATAATAAGAGCGAGAGAAACTATGGACACGTTTCTGGATGGGATTGTCCAGAAAGCACTATCAGTTGAAATGCTTCGTATACTTTCCAATATTACACTTTTTGTTCAAGTCACTGTTTAAATACTGTACTGTGTACTGTACTGTGATTGTGTGCGCCATGTCCAGTTCTCTCGTCAGAAGTAGGGGAGCACTGTCTTACCTGTTGGTCAATGCTGACGAACCAATCAAAGGACCACATAGGACGTGTCAGACTAGGCGGCAAGATAAACAAAAATTCTGACAAGCCAGGCTTTTTCGTCATCGTGTTTGTGAAGCGTCCCAGACACCTCACGGCCACTTGTTGAGTATTTAACACTACGCGGCCTACGACGCATCAAGACAACTCAAAATAGGCTCCAAGACTGTAGCTTTATCTACGACAGGTCTGTCGACTTACAATTGTGTTACAATCGTGTGATCTGACGTCGGCATGACTTATCAGGTTGACCTGTGCTTTGGAGTGGTTATATGGACTATGCAGCTGGACCCCAAGACTGCTGTTATTTAGTTTAAATCTTTTATGTTTCATGGTGACTCTGACCACCTTAAAATAGCTTGATTGATTGTATCCCTTGTGACTGGAGTCCTTTACACTGAATTACATTTTCAAGCGCCCTTGTAGTTGCCAAACTTCCCAACTCTCTGAGTGAACAGTGACCGACTGGGCTCAGACCGTCAAGAACACAGAGGGTGACCCCATTGTGCTTGACAGTTAGGCCTTTGTGCGACGGAGATGGCTTACAAGTGATGCTGGTGACAAAACTGGACAGCCCTGTCACCCCTTTCAGGCTTCACAGCATGTCAAAGCAAAACAGCATGACCTATTTTTACTACTTTCTTGCCTGTTCCTTAACATTACATATCAGCAGTCTAAGCAACATGTTGTCATTTGACTAATTTAACATAAATCTTGCCCTTTAATCAATGAGTTGTTTTTAAGGTCGGATAGATTTTTTTTTTCTTCCCCCCCAAAATGTTAGTGGTTTGTTTTTCCTTCTTAATGGCTTCCATGGCCTACTGATGTGCCCTCTTTACACTCTAGATATGGCGGTGAGCAGGGAGGCGCTAATTTACGAATCAGTCACTTAGAATTGGCTCAGGTTTGTGGCGTCACACAATGACTAACATAAAGTCTGCTACAGGTAAGTTTAGAGACGGTTAAAACCGGCGCTAGTAGCACTGAAGGGGAAACACCCTCTAAGAAACAGACATTTATAATTATTTCACATCATTGTGGCAGCATTAGGTCAGCATATTTAATTTTTACCACTAAGGCTTGCTTTTGCGCTCAGGAGGCATCCGGTTTCGGCATCTTAATTCTTGGATTAGGATTTGCTTTCATATGCGATGACACCAAATGTTTGTTCTATGACCGCCTGTTAATACCGGATTCTCAACAGGCGCAAAGAAATTATCCTCTCAACATTAATACACAACCTGAACAAATGTCCTGCTTCATAATGGGTGGAACGAGAGAAACGCTGCCGAGCACCACCATTCTTACTCATTTTACTGCTGTGTTCATATTGGAGTGAACAGTGTTGTGCTTAGAAAAAGAGGTTTGTAGGTTGGAGATTAGTGGATGCCAGCTGCTGCTCTGAGGGGTGGCCCAAAGCATCTTCAGCAACCTGACTGATATTAGCGATTATCCAGTTTGATAGTAAAACGCAAGTGTGTTGATGAAGATGGTCAGAAAGCCATTAAAAGCCAAAACGTTTTATAATCCGTGCCGAGTGTGTAATACTATTGACATGTTGCCATTGTGACTTGCGTAATGGGATTGTCACAGTACAGAAGTCAGAAATTGTCAGTTTCAGTTGTCATGCCAGGATGTTTGTTTTGGAATTAATTCGTTTGATTGTGCTCAGACTGAAGCGTCGGTTGCATCAATGCCTAACATTTGGAGCCGTTAACAAATGATGACGTCCTGTTGTTGGCTAACGGGTGTCTGAGTCTCACAGGCATCCGTTAATTACCTCTACTGTACATAGTTGTTTCGCCCACCAACGCTCTGATGTGCTGTTTAATGGCCTCTTACCAAACACAAATAGTGTGTAAGCAGACCAGTAAAACTTAATGCACATCTGTTGTTGATTAACGTCCTGATTTTTTTCCTCTTGATATGATATCACTATATGAGTCATTCTGGACTCCGGAAGTGCTTTATGAAGAATAAAAGCATGTTGAAAGATATCCTGTCAGCAGTTATGGGTTGGCAGTGAGCACAAGCACCTCTTGAAGGGTCCCAGGAAGGGATAGTGGGTCTTTGTTTCAGTGAGAAACTCTCCCTCCTTGCGTCCCACTGGTGTCAAATAAGAGTCTTTGGTTGATTTCCATCAGCCTCTATCTTAGATCAGTGTGTGCTTTCCAAATGTGTAGCCTCATGGCATCCATTCCGAGACAGATTCTTCATGATACTGAACAATGTATGATGTAACTCGCACAGCCAAGAATGTCTGATAAAATGCTTGGGAATGTTTATAATAACAGAGCATACACCAAGAATACGGCTTTGCTCCACCTGGTTGCAATTCCTGGACACAGTAACAGCTCTCATGTCCCTTTGAACCAAGAACCTAAAAGCTTTACCTTTGGTACACAATAACACACACAACGTCCAGGAAATTTCTCAGATTCACCACATGCAGAATACACACATACAGAATTAGCGCGAGACCAGTGACTGATATTAACCCATTCAACTAGGGTGCTGTTACTCCAAAAAAGCTGGAACAGAAGTAATGGGTAGCTACTTTTGTGTTCTGAATGGTAAAATTAGAACACCTGAGTATGACTTTAGAGATGTATCTTTTGGTAATACCTATCAACTCCAGAATTCAAGCAGTCATCGATCACAAATAATGGACCAAACATGCACCAGCTTACTTTCGATCCCGCCAAATGAGTTCCCGGTTAACGCAGTTTAAAGTTAAATGACCATACTTTCTATTCTTTATGCTATCCTTTGTTTTTTACATTATGCCTAACTCTCATTTATCTAATATATATAATAATATAATAATATAATCTAATTAAATCTTATCTAAACATGTATTTGTTACATATTTTGATGCATTTTTATGCTTTAGAAAACATTTATGTCTGAATTTTGAGGAGCTTGGAACGGATTAGGGCATTTACATGAAAAACGCGTCTCTACTTATAAAAATGCACTAGTTAAGAAATTTCTTCCAGAACCAATTAATTTTGTAAGTAGAGGTACCACTGTACTCCATTCCAGAACCCAAGTGGATACATATTACCAACCAATTGGTTTTTAAGTGCACCCTCAAGTCTGCTGAGAGTGGCAAGAAGGCATTACGACCAGTAGAATCCAAGTATGTTTTCATGTTCACCTCATCAGTCACTTATTTTTCTGTTTTCTCTTCTCTGGACAGCTTTTAGCTACCTTACTGCCTGTCACAAGTGATTTGTTAAAGAACAGACCTGTTTATGAAGTCGTGATGCCTTTTCTTCAGTTTGCATAAAGACCTTGATTGAAATTCATAACCTTATTGGGTGAGTTCCTCATGCAATATATCTTAGATTCCATAGCCGCTCTCCTCAAAAATGTTCCACATCGCAAAGCAAATATTGAGGATCTCGACTGCATATGTTTCCATTTGTAAAACTGTGGCTGACACACACCAGTCCAATCTCTCCTGACCCCAGTGGTCTTTGTCATTTTGCTCCCGCAATAAATTATTTTAATTGCTTCACCACTTAAACTTTTACAACAGTGTTGACATTCATATCTATTTGAGTGGTCCAGTCACTTCTTTCCATTTCGAAGAGTTTCCTGATATGAGGAAGATGTGCTTGCAATAAAGTTGTATCCAATCCAATCCAATGATATGGTTGATGACTTTCAGTAGAATTTACTGCACTGTCACAAAATGAGCATTTAATAAACGATCACAAGACACACATCATCGTCCTCAAATAATGATTAAAAATCATCAGTTACTTTTTAGTGCTTTTAAATTCAGCCATCTTATAGTTTGGATATTTGATTTACCCCTCCCCCAACCAACTTATTTACAAAGATTCTGTGAATGTCTATGTCCTTGATATACGTTATAAATGTGGTGGAGATGTTAAGAGTATGGAAGTGAAGAGAAGGGATCCTATTTTCCCCCGTGTCTGCATACAGACTGATAAACAGCAGGTATCTTAGTGGTGTTGGTGTGTTGCTACAGATAGCAACATGAACAAAGAGGTCTTGTTGTAACGGTAACATACGACTTGGCTCTCAAAGGATTGCGTTCGGCATAGACTCGATTCTCAAAATCTTTTTAACTCCCTATATAATTTATATAAATAAATAATAATCATGCATAAATAAATAAACTCCCTTTATAATTTATATTTATTTTTAACTTTTGTTCTTCTACTTCTCCCTTTCATAATTTTGCTTCTGTAAACTGGGAATTTCTCCATTGTAAGACGAATAAAAGTTTTCTTATCTTATATTTGTGTTTCTCATCGATGACTAAAATGTCTTCCAGGAGTGTCGGGTATGAAACTCATTCCGACATTCTCCATTCAAACAGGTGCCGTCATGGCTCTGTTGCTGCTCTGATAATGCCTTGGGTCCCCTTTTCTCTGTCACTGCCATTTGTACAGAATAGCAATTTAGAAAAGAGGAGGAGAAATCTCAATTTTTGTCTGTTTGATTCCATGGCCTCTCACTGCTTTGATGTCATATTATTTATGTAGCCGAATGCTTGGTGCTCAAGAATACTTGGACAGGACTAACGTGGAACCTGGAGTTGGACCAGCAACTGTTTAATTGCTAGATGCTGCTAGAATTCAAATGACCTAATTCTCAAACCGCTTTCTCCATTTTTCAGCCATGCGTCTTCTGACCTGAACTTGCGTCATATAGTGGATATAAATAACATGAAATAATTCATGTGACCCTGTAGAACTGAATAATTTTTTTTTCTTTGTATTTTTGAGAGGGGGAGAAAAAAATAACTGAAATAACACAATTTCTCCTCGTGTATTTGGGAGATTTTGTTATGGTTCATTAGAGCCAAGGTTGAACATTTGGACATAATTTCAAAATGTGTTGGAAACAGTAGTCAGTAATAACAAAAAAAAAACTTCAGGCTTCTGCTAGATAGCAAAATAAAAAACACAAAAAAAATAAAAACAGTCAGGAAAAGCCTCCTGGAACATCTGAACTTTATTTGAGGTTAATCAGAGGTACTTAAAACGATAGCCGTGATGTGCTGAATCACATTTTACATGAGTTTGAATATGATTGGTTAATTCTGAACACAGCAACATCTATGTTTTCAGAGGATGTTCACACTTGTACAACCACATTTCAGTTTGTAGTTTTTAAAATGAGTAAATTTGAGGTCAATTAATGGTGGGAATAAATACACACACACACACACAAAGAATTATTTATCTTGGTCTAATTTTTTTTTTTTTTACACCACAAAAATGCATGCAAAGATTTTTTTTGTTTGTTTTTTTTTTTTTGGCACTCTGACATTGAGGAAAAGACTATAGATCTGTGCGTGTTGTTGCACCCCTTTTGTCACAGAATTTAACTGCAGGAAGTTCCCCGTCAATGCCAGGAAATCCAGATTACCCCTGATGATTCCCCCAGCTGTGTCCTCATTCAGATACCTTTCTAGTTTCCACATAGTCAGCACTTCACCGCAAGCTGTCAAGCTGTCAGTGCTTCAGCAACGTAGTATGTTGACATATACACAAGACAGTTGGTGGAAGTGCTTCTCAAACTATTCTCGATTCAGATGAACCAATGCCAACCAATGATATCCCCACGCGCCATTCTCTCGCTTCCAACAATCTTTGCTTCTGTAGTTTAACTAAGAACGTATTCCTTCACTTGATTCACTCACTGCACGTTAGAAAATGTGTATAAGACCATCCAGGGATGAGGTTTCTGGTGGTTGCAAGAATTTTAGTTCAGTATGATCAACGTGAGTCAAGAGATTTTTTTTGGGGGGGGGGGGTTGATTGCACTTTGCTCATGCTCCTGAAACTCTTGATGCTGTCAATCAAAGAGCCACTGGAGACAATGTCAAAGACAGAACTGCTGAGGCTGACTTGTATCTTTCTCCTTGTTTTCCGCAGATCGAGAGGACCAGTCCATTCTGTGCACGTAAGTCTACCACGCTGCATGGTCGACTACTGTTCATACACATTATATTGAGTCATAAAATAGGAACAATTACACACATGAATTTGAACGTAAGAGGCATATAATTAGTGGCTCTGAGTGGAGCAGTCAGCGTCGCGAGGTCAAGAGTGTTGCTTCACGTCCTTGTGACGCTGACCAGACTGTTACTTGAAAGAAAAGCATTTTTGACATTTTTGTAACCAAGCCATCTGGCTTTTTGACTCACAAGAGTGTGCAGATGACAGGAATGAAGAAAATTCCAAAGTTATCAAGACCTGAACCCTGCCACAGCCTTGCCTGCTCTTCAAATAGAGGCAGGCGTCTATTTCGTACTTCTATTTTTACATTGGCTGGAAATGCCAAACTGTCGTTGCTCTTTTACCAACTGTGATTTTTTTTTTCTAGCTAACATTTGCGGTCCAACATTTTGCATCAGACAATAAATTCATCGCAGAGCTGTGCTTATTTACGTTATGTGCTTTTTTTTTTTCTAATAAAAGAATGTACATTACATACAAGGGATGTTGTTTGTCTTTGTGTGCCCTGCGATTGGCTGGCAACCAGTTCAGGGTGTACCCCCTCTACTGCCCGATGACAGCTGGGATAGGTTCCAGCACCCCCGCGACCCTCGTGAGGATAAAGCGGTTCAGATAGCGGATGGATGGATAGCTGGATGATTACATGTGGAATGTCACACCCAGCACTTTTACTTTCAACAAGTGATACATTGGCATTCATTCCTCCACAATTACCTATGCTTTAACCGTATTTACATTGACATACACTATTTGGTGCATTTTTTTTTTTTTTTTTGCATGTGCAGATTTGCACTTACGGTTAAATCCCAGACGTGATTTAAATCTCAAGTGTCCCTCAATTCTTTTTTTTTTTTTTTTTTTTAAGGGATTACAGGACTTTAGAGGATTTCCTCCCTCTGTTTTTTGTTTGCAACACCGCAAAGGGAGCAGCAAAAAGCAAGCTCAACATTTACAAAACCACAATTTGCTAAACTAGACCTAAGCTAAACTGCATGCTGGTCCTGAGGCGCTCTGTGTGTTTTTGCTATTGTGGAGAGCAATTTAGCTTTGGTCTGAAAGGGCCTGCAAATGTGTACAGCTGACTCTTCCCAATTAATTTTTTTTTTTTTTTTTTAATGGCCGAGACAGAGATGGGATGGATTTGTAGTTCATTCCCAGGATGGGGGTTTTCCAAAGCTTGTTTTGGGTCTTATGTTCTTTTTGTCTCTCACAGTGGTGAGTCTGGAGCTGGCAAGACGGAGAACACAAAGAAGGTCATCCAGTACCTGGCACATGTTGCCTCCTCCCACAAAGGAAGGAAAGACCATAACATTCCTGTGAGTATTACCTGCACAACTGAAACAGAAAATCAATTTAACTTTAGTATCGATATCCACATAAATAAATAACAGTCATGCTGGGATTGCTATCGGTTTTAGGTTTTCCCATAGTCAATGAATTATCTTCCATGATTGTGGACAGGCCGTTCTGTGCGTGCGATCTAACACTTTGCAATTTGTTCATTTGTAACAAACAGCCAGAATCTCCTAAACCAGTGAAGCTCCAGGCAAGTCTCTATTTTTCATTATGCGCTTCATTTCATTTATGTGCACGCAACACCCAATCAATCTTTCAGCCGTATCGGGCAAATCTTATAATTGACACCAGTCAATAGTTAGTTGGTGGAAATTAATCCGTCTCAAAATGAAAGCACGCATTGAAGACGGTTTTCACACCACTGATACATGAAATTTACTTGTGTTCACTTAGTTTTTTTTTTGTTTTTTTTTTTTTTTTTTTTACTGTCAGGCGCAAAATGCAGTTGTAAGTACAGTTTTGTAAGATGGCATGCAACTTTCAAAATTCCGTGACTGTTTTTCACATGCATATGTTGTCTATGTGAATGTGCCATGATGTAAAAGTTTTGTACCTGTCATTTTTTTGTGAATACAGTTAACATTGACACGCTAAAAGTATTTTATTGGTTCCTTTTCCAAGTGTCATATACAAACATTTTGGACTGCCACAAGAATTTTGTATCATGACATTAATGTAATTATTGACTTCTCATATGAAAATAACACTTGACTCCCCTCATGTCCTACAGAGTGGAGCCCTCTTTTATGTGAGTAGAATGTAGATTTTCACCTGACTCACCTTACTGACAATACAAATGGGGGGAGGCGGCGGGACTCAACCTACTCCGCTTCCATCCACACTTTGCTCCTAGAAAGACCATTAACGCTTTCATATATGGTCTTAGGTTGTCCTGTAGCTGCTTTTCATCTGCATCCATTCACTTGCGGGTGCTTATCCTTTATTTTGCGCACAATCTTACCTGTACTGATCGAGGGAGCAGGATTTGCAGCAATCTCACTTGGGCACGGCCTGCTGCGTGGCCGCTTTATTAATCTACTGGGCTCTTCCAGCATTAATCAATCACATTTACAGTGGAACCTGAAAAGTCGAATTGTTTAAATGTTTTGTTGTAGTGGTGGTGAACATACCGGTATTTTTACATAAGCAGGATGGTGACACAACATCTTCCTATGCCCTTCTCATTTGTCGTTTAAGTTTACAGAGTGTTATGACTGTTTAATTTTAACCTATGAATATTATAGTGGTGAACTTGGAATGTTATTTTTCCCCATGCTAAAAGCGAAACAAATTTCTTTCTGGAATTTATTGTCTTTGACCTTTTTAAGGTTTCACTGTAAATTTTTTGAGACTAATACGCTACTAGGCATGGGCCAATTATCTGTTTGACGGTTTACCGTGGTTTAAAAAAAAAATCAAGGTTTCAATAACCGCTAACACAGGCCGTCACCATTAATGAGTTTCTTTTTTCCTTTTTGAGGGGACTTTTAAGCAGGACACAATGTGAATATCTGCTTGCAGAGTTGAGTAAACCCCTCGCTTCTTTGAAATGAGTCGCCTCCAATTAATTTTTTTTCTCCTTCTTGGCGAGCGCATAGTAAGTGCAAGAGTACGCACAGAGGAGGAGAAGCTGGTGAGCAAGAAGAAAGAGACTGTGTGCAAACAAACATGCCTTTTAGCTTTGTTGATTCATGTGCATTGTCCTAAAAAATGGTCCCAGTGGTTACTAGTTGTTTTTATATGCCCAAATATTTCAAAATGTCATTTTAGAGCTTTCATTTTAACACGTGATGTTTTTGCTCACGCACTGTAATATTGGCCCATGCCTACTGTTTATGCTACGCTATCTAACTTGTAAGAACACCCCTGCTGCATTTTAAAATACACTGGTGCTTTGACTAATGAGTTTATCATGTTCCACGACTGTGCACGTAACTGAAAATATTTCCTCTCAAATGAAATTTTCCCCATTGATATGAATAAAAATGCCATTGTCCTAGTATTTTTTTTTTTAAATGTCTGGTTTTTAGACAATACTAGGCCATTAATTAGTTTGTTCAGTGGTGTGGTCAACTAGCACAAGAAGACATGCTTTTTTACTTACTTTTAATTATTGCTGTACTTATTGTTTTGTATTTGATTGCCTTTCTTTATGGACTGGAAATGTTTGTCATCCATCCATTCTCCAATCCGCTTATCCCCACAAGGGTTGCGGGCACACCTTGAACTGGTTGCCAGCTAATCGCAAGGTGCACATAGACAAATAAGCACTCGCGCTCACAATCACACCTAGGGACAATTCAGAGTGTTCCATTAACCTGCCATGCATGTTTTTGGAATGTGGGAGGAAACCGAGTACCCGGGGAAAACCCACGCAGGCTCGGGGAGGAAATGCAAACTCCATACACGAAGGCTGGAGCCAGAATCGAACCCTGCACCTCTGCACCGTGAAGCGGACGTGCTAACCAGTCTATACAATTATTTACTTTTAATTAGGACTTCAGTACTGCGTTAGAGGTTATATACAATATAATGACACGTTCTCACTGGCATCCAAATTTGTGTTATGTTGCTGTCACAGGGAAGGAACTTGTCATAAAACCGTGGATTCCCTTTATTCAGGACTTGAAGTCAGATCATTTTAGTAACGAGAATGACTTAAGCACCATTGTTTTTTTGGATGAATCCACATCAACTTGGTCTTGACAAACATACTCTGTGCTGATTCCAGGGAGGGGCCTTTTACTTGCTCTTTCGATAAGTGAACATTTTTTTTGTGACTTACAGAGCAGATGTTTTACCACCGTGTACACATCCTCAACTGGAAAGATTTAGTGGAGCAGTTTGACTGATCCTCTTTGACTCGTCGCAATCTGTCCAGTCTTCGCGGCCTGCCAAAAATCCCTGTGTTGCGGGGAGACACAAAGTTGCAGCTAAGGCAACGATATGTAGAAAATGATCGAATAATTAGAGGGCTTGTGAACGAGTGGCCGTAGAATTCAGTAGCAGCTGCGCAACAATTGGGAGTCACTTGTGGAGGCTGGCCCTAGTCCGACATACTACTAACTCCCATTGCATCAGAAATGTGGGTCAGCTAAAGTAGACCCCCTCTGGGCTTTGTAATCGGCTCGTATTTTTTGGTTGTTTTCTTTGTGAGCCAAAGGAAAAACACGCATTTGAGTCGAGGTTTCCAATTCACAATTCCAATCTGCACCACATGATTACTGCGTTCAATAAAATCAGATAACGGGACTTGTAGCATCTTTTAGCAGTGTCACAGGGTCCAGCTGCTCAAAGACTCAGTTAAAAAGCATGAAAACCCTCATTCCAAGTCTGACATCACATGCTGATTCCTCAGTGTTCCCCTTTGTGGAAAAATAGCCCCCTTTGAGCTTCTGCAGTTATTCTTGAAATTTGGCAAAAATATTCCCCGGGAAAAAAAAAGCCTTTACCTCAGCATTTTCTGTTTCTCTGGTTAGGATTTAGCTCACAGTGTGGCTTTAGATGGAAAGAGTAAATGGGCCACATGTTGAAACAGCTGCACAAGTAGTATATTTATTTATTTATTTGGCTTCTCAAAAGTGTCCAGTTCGACCGCCTGTTCATGGAAAAATTCTCTATTGTCTCTGCGCGAGCGCCAGAAAAAATAACCAAGAAAAATAACCCAAGATAACCTCTTGACAATTATCTAATCTATTTGCTACATGCTTACATTTAATGCTCACAAGAAAAAAAAAATCTTTAAAAATTACAATACCTCAAAAATATTACAAGCAAGCATTATTTATGAGAAGTTTGTAGACTTTCAAAAATAATGTGCAATGAGAGTTGAATCTTGTTAATCCAGACATTTAGTTTTGATCTTGATTAATTGTTAAATAAGATTGCGTTATCTTTTCAATGTGTGTGGCTGTTGTCAAGAAATTTCTTTTTGGAGAAATCAGCAATTGCTAAGAAATGAAAACAACTTGACCTTGAAAAATACGACCTAAAATCAGCATTTACGAATAATCATGCAGAATGATTGAATTTTGTTTTATGCATATTTTATTTTAATTAGAATTTTACCATGCATTTTGGGCTTCTTTTTTTTTTCAATTAAATTTAGGTTTTTTTCCCCCTCAATCCTATGTCAAAAGTTAGATTGTTTCAAAATTTAGTTAAAAGTTTAGCTCGCCGTTTTTATGCGCACTGCCAAATCTGAATGGACGTTAAACAATATGTAATGGTGTCCACTTAGCCTTTCTTTTATTAAAAATGTGTTTGTGCTTTTTTTTCCTGTGCTGCTATCATAATCTATCCATCTTTATTTTGTCCACTTACACATTGTCAACGTGGCTGTCTTGTCTGTATGAATCACATGACCTCCAGATGTTTGCTATCTGTCTGCATGGAACTTTTTTTTTTTTTAACTTGGAACATCAATGACGCTAAATTACTTTCTCAATAGTTTTTGCTTGTTATTAGTTGAAATACCAATAATAAAAATTTGTTGCAAAGTGTTGACAAAGCATTGCTGTAACACCCCTTGTTTCCCCCCCCCCCCAGGGTGAACTGGAACGTCAGCTTTTACAAGCCAACCCCATCCTTGAATCCTTTGGGAATGCGAAAACGGTGAAAAACGACAACTCGTCACGTTTTGTAAGTGCAACTGTAATGCTTATCTTTTCAAAGTCAACTCTTGATGTCAACGTCTATGTCATTGCCTTGTTGGATCATAACACGGTTCGAGTGATTCGATATGTAAGCAGCAACAGCATGTTAATGAGATGAATTCATGTGTGTACCAGCTTGAGCGCTTCTGTACCATCTATTTTCTGTTGCAGGGGAAATTCATCCGCATCAACTTTGATGTCACTGGATATATTGTTGGGGCCAACATTGAAACATGTATCCTTTTTTTTGTCATCATGCTTGTTCGAAGGAAATTAAATGTGAAGTGTCTAAAAAGAAAAAAAAATCCTTGACCTCTCGGTTGTCAGATTTATTGGAGAAATCCAGAGCGATCCGCCAAGCCAAAGATGAACGCACCTTCCATATTTTTTACCAACTGTTGGCTGGAGCGGGAGAACACCTCAAATGTGAGTGTGCAACATGGATGCACCTTATACTCATCATTCAGTGCAGACCATTGTGCTGGCTCTTTCCTGGCGAATACATTCCTGAATTTTTAGATTTAATTGTATGATTCCAACTTTTTGGGGGGAACAGTTTAGGGAAGGTACTTTTCTTTTCATGGCCCACAAAAGCATGCTTGGATGGGTTTGATGTGGAATGAAGTTGCGAGCCCAGCCATAACTCATGGCAGTTTTTGGCATCTCCCTTTGTGTTCATGCTTCTGAAGGTTTATGATTGTATTCTTACGTCCATAGCTGACCTGCTTTTGGAGGGATTCAACAACTACCGATTCCTGTCGAATGGCAACATTCCAATCCCGGGCCAGCAGGATAAAGACAACTTCCATGAGACAATGGAGGCCATGCACATTATGAGCTTCTCCCATGAGGAGATTCTGGGTATGTTTCAGTTGGTTAGACTAGTGGAAACTATGAAAAAGATCTTCAAAATGGAGACGTGAGCAATTGTGATGATGTGACAGATGAAATATTGGACAACGTAGCCTAGAGGTTATCATACCTGCCTCAACTGTGTTTTTTTTTGTTGTTTTTTTTAAATGTCTCTTTCTCCTGGTTTCTCATTTTTCTAGCCATGTTGAAAGTGGTGTCCTCGGTTCTTCAGTTTGGGAACATTATCTTTAAGAAGGAAAGGAATACCGACCAGGCCTCCATGCCTGATAACACAGGTAAAAAAAATAAATCAAATATCAAGTGTTAATTGTTGTAAATTTAACACACTGTTTTCATATCTGCAGTCATTCAACCCATATCACAATTATTGGACTTATTATGAACAGCAGTTTTCCCGCTGCAATATTAAGCCGCTTCAAGCGAAACAATTTTTTCTTGGCTTGTTTTCCATCCCGCCCACCAACTACATTGAACGCTTTTTTTCAAAACCCCGTTACTCATCATTTGAAACACAGCATTTTATTATTCTTTGCTGTTATTTTCCCCAAACACCTGTCAAATGTTAGGCATTGAAATACAGTGCACATACAAATGAAAAACCAGCTGGGCATTGAAACACAAATGAGTTTAGAGTCTTCAGATTTTACCCTGAATCAAGTGTGATGATTGTCAAGTCAATGAAATGCAATGATTTTAACAGTACTCACAAACTGACACATGTCCGACGTCTAACCTTGTCTGGACAAGTTGTTCTTTTCCTCTCCCCTCTCTTTTTTTCACCTCCTTTACATTTTGATCTTCATGCATAGAGCAGTAGGGCCTCGATTTATGCACTTTCTGTCCTTGAACCTTGTCAACCTACTATTAACGCACATCATTCTCAAGATTTACACCTCAGAGGAAATGGGGCCCAGTTCATCCACATGTGGCGGTGACTCGCTGTCCTTTCAAGAGGGAGTGAGGGAGACAGCGGGATACTGAGCCACGACTCCCAATGATCCATCTTGGCAAAATATTCCCAAATGTGACTAGCGGGATCCGGGCCTCGAGAGTGTTATTGCTAGAGGATTGCTGTCTGATCTCGACAGCTTCTTGGCTCTTTCCATGAGCTCCAGACTGTTCCATTGTATTTTATATGAATGGGGAAATCTGTCATACAATTTCAGGAAAACCTTGGATGTAAATTCATAATAGATTGAGGTCTTTGTTTTGATCCTTTTTGCAAGTGTTTATTATACATCACTGTCAAAAGGTACTGCAGAAGAGCCCTAATGTCTGTTTTTTTTCCCTTCCTGTCCCCAATTCCATTTCCCAGCCGCTCAGAAGCTGTGTCACCTGTTGGGCATGAGTGTCATGGAGTTTACTCGAGCCATCCTCTCTCCAAGGATCAAAGTAGGAAGAGACTATGTCCAGAAAGCCCAAACCAAAGAGCAGGTTCGTCTTTTGTAAACCTACTCTCATGCTGGTTTCTTTATTACAACACCACTAAAAGTACACTTTTCCTGCAGCTTATTTATATACTATACTCATATTGTCCATTATTTGGACACAAATGTAGTCAGTTGTTCTGGTTTAAAAAAAAAAAAACATGGTGTTTTTCTTCAAATAGTGGCCAACCCAATAAAATATCAGTAGTGCCACACAAAATGGGAAAATTATTTTTTTACAACAAATAATGTCTCGCGTATAGTGGCAGGCATAACAATGGAATATTATCCCACTAGATAGCAGAAGGTACATAATCATCTCTGTATCCACTTTTTGTAACATTTGTGTTTGTTTCTGCGCAGTAAGATTTTTTTCCATTGTACAGTATGTGCCTTGGCTCATTAAGATTTGGGAAACACTGCTCAAATAGGCACTATGCCTCAATCAGTCTTAATAAATAAGTACCTTCTTCAAATGTATACGTCCCTTTTATCATGAAGAAGGCAAAACCCTCATACATGTCATTTGAAGTAAAGTCACTGATGGTAGTGTGCTTTTCACACTCTCATTGACAGCGAGAGTGTGAGTAAGGATGGTTGTCTGCCAGCTGCTGTCCACCTTTCGCCTGATGTCACCTCAACTGGGATTCCCTGCAACTCTAAGATATGCCGCGTAGAAAAAGAATTGACAAAAACTTAACTTCCGAGCCCATCTCAGCTAGTACTCTATTGCCAACCAAAACAACAGCAACGACTGAGGGACATAAAGATCAATTAAAGAGCAGGAACGTGCCGGATGTTGTAAACAAGTTCCCTGCACACTATTAAAGATGATCTCAAGTTATGTGACACTTCTGTCTTGTGATCGGTCCACAATGTTATGTGCGTTCGTGTTTCAGGGTGCGATGCAATTTTTACATTCCAAACTGCCTCAGTATTGGACTTTTCATGGCATTTCTCCATATCAGTCATTTTTAATTTTGTTATGAACTCTATTTTCACCTCACACAAGGTGTAATACAGATAATAAAATTGAATAAATAATTACTGTAGTGTCTCACCGCCTCTGTCTCTTGCACCAGGCTGACTTTGCTGTGGAGGCCCTGGCGAAAGCAACATACGAGCGTCTCTTCCGTTGGCTGGTCCATCGCATTAACAAAGCTCTGGACAGGACCAAAAGACAGGGGGCCTCCTTCATCGGCATCCTGGACATTGCTGGCTTTGAGATCTTCCAGGTTTGACTCCTTCCATTGTTGCATTATGTAAGTCTGTTTTGTCCTGTTCGAGATCGAGGCAATACTAATGGTTTCTCCCCACTTTTTTAACAGCTCAATTCGTTCGAGCAGCTCTGCATCAACTATACAAATGAAAAACTGCAGCAGCTCTTCAACCACACCATGTTCATCCTTGAGCAGGAGGAGTACCAGAGGGAGGGAATCGAGTGGAGCTTCATCGACTTCGGCCTGGACCTGCAGCCCTGCATCGACCTCATTGAGAGGCCGGTCCGTTTTGAAATGAATTTGTCATGTTACTTCTATAATACTTGAAAGATTTAATTCCGAGCGCTTGACGTTCTGTTGCTGTTCCTTTAGGCAAACCCTCCAGGGGTGTTAGCTCTGCTGGATGAGGAATGCTGGTTCCCCAAGGCCACAGACAAGACCTTTGTGGACAAGCTGATCCAGGAACAGGGAACACACACCAAATTCCAGAAACCACGTCAGCTCAAAGACAAAGCCGATTTCTGCATCATCCACTATGCTGGAAGGGTATGTTAAATACTGTAAAGTAATTATAGGTGTTTTTTTGGAACATTTCCATTTGTTTAGTAAACACCTGCTGAGGGCTACACTTATTTTAGTGATACAGTGGAGAGACCTTAAGTTCTTATTTTCCTCCATAATCATCTACAAGTGGAAAGATAGCACTGGTCAGAGCTGATCTGAAGCGAGCTTCTCCTGTGGTCGAAATTGGGGTGGAATTACTGCTCGTGGCATTATGCAACAGAACACAGCATCGATCACACAGAGCGAGACCCGCTGAGGAGGACATCTGCTTAGCATTACAGGGACTACGTCTTACACAACTATCATCGAAAACCGCAAAGATTTGCAATTTTATGCGGTGGGTGGAAAGAATGCTGAAGCACAGAGCCACATCGCCAAATGTTCAATATTAGGTATGCATGAAATAAATGATATGGTGTGAATCGAAGCGTTCACAATGATCCATACACAATGGCCATCTGTAATCTTCCCTGGCACTGTCAAAAATGTCTGCCTGTTTCTTACATACGGACGCGTGACCGTCTTATTCTGAAGATTGAATTACCTGAAGCATGGAAACAATGATTTTCGATGACTTGTCTTTCTTTATCTTTTATGTCACCTTCAGCAGAGACAGTATCGTTTTAGTTATCCATTTGGGGTGAAATGTAGCTAAAATATCATTTCTTGTCATGGTTACTTGTCCTCTGTGACTGAGCATGCTTACCTGCCTCATCACTTCATGATACAAAACTGTATTACTGCAGCTTTCCAAAATTGTGTGGATTTATTTTTTTGGTTCTTTTCATTTCGAATATGATTATGAAGATTATCAAGAATTACAGATGCACCAATTACACATGTCTGCATTGCACACTTGTGCATGGTACTGAGAACGCACTCTAGCTATTAGATTTTAGGTATTAAGTGTGCTCGATTACAGTATAGATTGCCTAGTTTGTGTGCACCATTAAATCCACCATTTTAGGCATAGTGATGAATTCATTCAATTTATTAAAAAAATATATATATATCATTAACTCATTCCATCCATCACTTTTTTTTTTGATAGCACTTTTCCCCATGAGGGCCACAGATAATCTGGAGCCCAGCTGACCTTGCGCGATAGGTCATTATACCAGTACAGCCTTGAGTAGATGTCATGTATCTAATCACTTTCAGGACTTAACAGTACAGAATGTTTTTTGAAATATTCCATCACAGATTTGACACAGCACTGTGGTGTCCTTCCTCAGGTGGACTACAAGGCCGATGAGTGGTTAATGAAGAACATGGACCCCCTCAATGACAACGTGGCCACGCTTCTGCATCAGTCCACCGACAAATTTGTTGCGGAGCTGTGGAAAGATGGTGAGTCATTTCGGGTTCGAATTATCAAAACGGCAATTACATCTCAACAATTCACCTTTTGAGCGCCAGCTACCTAACAGCTGGGTTTGCCTCGCCGAGCTGATTTCTGCGACTTCTTTAACACCCCTCCTCCCCTCTCTGTCTCTGTCTGTGTTATAGAGATTCAGACCATTCAAAGGGCTTCATTCTATGACAATGTCACTAGTCTGGATGAGCCAGCAGGTGAATAGTAGTGTCATAGCAGACCTGGGCCAAAATAGTAGTTGGATTATGAGACCAACATGCTCATGCAACCAAACAAAGCAGGTTAAAGCGACAGCCTGTCAGTACATTTTAGCCCAGATCTGATGGATCTATGTGTCATGCTTCAGACAGTGTTGTCATTTGCTTCCAGGCTGCATGGCTCCATGTCATGGCCAGTAGCATTAGCACCAAGCCCTGAGCTAGGCTAGACTATAGCTGTCTTTAGTTGTGCCAGTGTGCTTCATGTGCTTATATGGGTCTACTTGTGATTGTTATATTCTTCAACAAGCTTATCGGGTGTGGTGCAGTTGTTCGGAGTAATGTTGTATTCCTGCTCCGGTAATGTGATAACAATAAATGTGGTAAATCTAGGTCGCTACTGAGGTAACATTTAACGACATCAATTTCCCCGCCTTTTCCCCCAGTAACGGCCAAATGAAACCAGATGTCATTTGTGGTGTTTGCGTTGGCCATGAGCTGAGCGTTGGAGGGTTCACGCAGCCGGCAGACATTGCTTTGCTGCAGTCTGCCACTCATGAAAGTTTTGTGACTTTGATTCACCCATTGTTCGGTCACAAATGAGTTGTGTCACTTTGGAAAGCCTATTTACAATTTATCTGCTCTGCTATCTTTATCAACTATGGATAGACTAGACGGCGGAAATTTGTTGTGTGATTGAAAAAAAAACACCCCAAATTTCTTAGGCATGTACTGGTGACCACAATTGCTTTTTTTTTTTTTTCAAGGATTGCTTTTGAGGCAGAGTGCTAAAACTGTAGCTTACATTAACAAGAAGACAATTGCATACCTTAGTTCAGGCTCCACATATGGTAGCCTCAAAATGGTACATTTAGAATCTTTCAAGTGTTAACTCCATGCTGACAGTCAAGTGCACTTCACACTAGGGGTTGCATGACTCAAGATTTAGTCAGGGCGACACTAATGTGATTGAAACTCACGTCTGCGAGTCGCTGATAATGTTTTTCAGTGCAATACAATTTTATTCTTTAAATGACCGAAGTAAGGAATGCTTTGCAATAACCTACATGCACGGACAATTAACAACTATGACACCAAATTTACATAAAACATGCACATTTGAACACAAGAGCGTTGACGTGGGCTGTGAGGGCTCGCTCCCTGACGCGTGATGGTAATTCCAGCTAAAGTGAAAAGTTGACAAGTTGTTCAAAATCCTGCTCGAGCTTGACTTTTTCCCCTTTACTGGGTTTTACCTCACTTTGCAAAGCTGCATATTCAGAAAAAGAAGACAATTGAAATCCACCGAGGGGGGTGTACTATTTATTATTCAGCACACTCAGCTGTTTTGGTGCAAACAGCTCTGCCTCCCCCCACAAGCCAAGAACTCGTGATTAGCAACTGGTTGACTTAACTGTCTAAACGTCATTGTGGAGTACTAAAGTCGACTGGTCAACTAGTCTGCACAATGCCTACATCAAATCTATTATGAAGATGATTATGATGAAATCTCTTGTGACCACAAAGAGCCCTTGTCCCATGCTTTTGACATTTTAACGCAGTATAATTCTCAAATTCATTAAAGGGGAAAAAATGATCAATGTCTTGTTGGCACAGTGTCCAATCAGATTGCTTTGTCACCCCTTTTCTGTTTATAGCCTACCGCATGATATCTGGGCATTTCTTTCTGATCTCACATGTCCATGTTTTTTAGCCCTGAATCAGTGTGTCTTCATTGAGACACAATTTATGAATCAATTTATTCTTGCAAGCTTACAAAAACCTATTAGTGAATGTGAAGAAATAGTTCACAAGTGAGAATTAGTGCAAGACTTTGTGTGCCAGCAGCTGTCTTCCGGTCATTCGTAGTGTTCCTGTCATCCGTCTGCATCGGGCCTTGTTGTAATTACATCACCACATCAGTCACCGTTGCTCCTTCCACTCGTGTCAAGTTACACGTTTCTAACCAGTTCTTCCCCCTCTTCGCCCACCAGTGGATCGTATAGTGGGCCTGGACCAGGTGGCAGGCATGAACGAGACGGCGTTCGGCGCCACCTACAAAACGAAGAAGGGCATGTTTAGGACGGTGGGTCAGCTCTACAAGGAGTCACTCACCAAGCTCATGGCCACACTGAGGAACACCAACCCCAACTTTGTCCGCTGTATCATCCCCAACCACGAAAAACGAGTAAATGCATCCTTTAAATCTACATTACTTGTATTTGGACAAGTCAACACATATTTTCTGTAATGTTTTTGTGGAACAGTTTGTCTGTCTGGCACAAATACAGTGGCATAAACTGTTAGAGGTTGTTGTTGCCGTCCCTCTTGATTATTTTTCCTTTTCTAGGCAGGTAAACTGGAGCCTCACCTGGTTCTGGACCAGTTGAGGTGTAATGGGGTTCTTGAGGGGATCCGTATCTGCAGGCAGGGCTTCCCCAACCGTATTGTCTTCCAGGAATTCAGACAGAGGTGACATGCAATCCTTTTCTTTGTTTTTTTTTTTGTGTGCATGCGTCTGGGTTATCACACTACACTGGTAAGTGTAAATTTGAGTTGACTTTTGTGTTCTCTTCCGCTGACAGATATGAGATCCTCACTCCCAACGCTATCCCCAAGGGCTTCATGGATGGGAAACAAGCTTGTGAGAGAATGGTAATGTGCGTTCGCTGTTGTTGTAATGGTTACTTATTGGACTATGATGTCACTGCAGCAATTTTCTGTGTTCTTTTTCCAGATCCAAGCCCTTGAGCTGGACCCCAATCTGTTTCGGATCGGCCAGAGTAAGATCTTTTTCAGAACTGGCGTACTGGCTCACTTGGAGGAGGAACGTGATCTCAAGATCACAGACATCATCATTTACTTCCAGTCTGTGTGCCGTGGCTACTTGGCACGCAAGTGAGTAACATAATCAACTCTTTATATGATAACTACATTAATTTTTCTTTCTCGGGCAACAAAAAAATCAAATTCCAGACTCTTATGTCCGTGAAACATATGATCACGTTAATTGTTAAATCTCATTACTTTTTGCCTCCATTTGATCTGGATGAAACTTGACCTCCTTAAGATCAAGTGTCGTAGCTGCTCACTCATTGATTTTCCAGGTGACTAATCCTCGAGGTCTGTGCTCTCTGAGTGCTATCTAAGTGTTTTTTGAAAGATTGTCTTCAGCGGGTACCAGCATAATCGTGGAACTTGTTTCTCCCATAGGGCCTTTGCTAAGAAACAGCAACAGCTAAGCGCCCTGAAAGTTCTCCAGAGGAACTGTGCAGCTTACCTGAAGCTGCGACACTGGCAGTGGTGGAGACTGTTTACCAAGGCGGGAAAACCCACACCCGATTCTTCCAGCTACAGCACATAGTGGAACACTACGTTTTACAGCCATTTCTTTTGTCCCCGATCAGGTGAAGCCTCTTCTCCAGGTTACCAGGCAGGAGGAGGAGATGCAGGCCAAAGACGAGGAGCTGGTCAAGGTGAAGGAGAGACAGCTGATGGTGGAGAATGAGCTTGTGGACATGGAGAGGAAACACCAACAGGTTGACATGTCTGCTTTGAACAAAACCCAAATTTTTGCCTTTTTTTTTTTTTTTTGAAATAGCATTAAATTCAACAACTTTCCCCTGAGCAGCTCGTGGAGGAAAAGACAATTCTAGCAGAGCAGCTCCAGGCAGAAACGGAGCTGTTTGCAGAGGCTGAAGAGATGCGAGCTCGTCTGGCCTCCAGAAAGCAAGAGCTTGAGGAGATCCTCCATGACCTGGAATCTCGGGTGGAGGAGGAGGAGGAGAGGAACCAGAGTCTGCAGAACGAGAAGAAGAAGATGCAGTCGCACATTCAGGTTTGTTTGTGTTTTTTTGTGAGGGATAAGCCTTGATGTGTTTGTAGCTGATCATCATGTTGTCTCCTGAGCAGGACCTCGAGGAGCAGCTCGACGAGGAGGAAGCCGCACGACAGAAGCTTCAGCTCGACAAAGTGACAGCTGAGGCAAAGATCAAGAAATTAGAAGAAGACATTGTGTTGCTGGAGGACCAGAACACCAAGTTCCACAAGGTGAGAGGGCCATTTTTAATGGGAAATTTGTGGCAGGGGGCTTTTTCATCTTAAATGAGTCAAAAGGCACAGTCTAAATAATGCTTTGTTTTTGTGCCTGACAGGAGAAGAAGCTGCTGGAGGACCGGATCAACGAAGCAACCACCATGCTGACAGAGGAGGAGGAGAAAGCAAAGAACCTTGGAAAGCTCAAGAACAAGCAGGAGATGATGATGGTGGATCTGGAGGGTAAGAGAGGCCACTCGCGCACATGATCAGCGTTTTCTCACTTTGGGAAATGTCCAACATTTAGTCATCCTAAATTGTGAACTTTTTTTTTTTTTTTTTGCAATAATGATTAACAACAACAGGTTAGGATTGGGGTTAGGGGTGGGGCGAGGGTTAGGGGGTTCAGGTTAGGGGTTGGGGTTAAACTTTAGGGGTCGGGGGTTAGGGTTGGTTAGGTTACGTCCGTTTATTAATAAAGCACCAGTTCACAACACGTTATCTCAAACCACCTGTACACATTGCACAGGTAAAGAACCACAATCCTGATACATTATAGATGCATAAATACTGCATCTATATACGAAAACCAACTGAACCCACATGAGCAAGCACTTGGAGACAAATGAAAGGGGAAACTCCCTCAGAGGATGAATCCCAATAGAAACCAGACTCTATGCCAGGCATTTGCAATCTCCAGACCTTGTGGGCCATAATTCTACATGTTTTAGATGTTTCCCTCTTCCAACTCACCTGATTCAAATGATCAGGATCATGATCAGGCTTCTGGAGAGCTTGCTGTGATGAGCTGATCATTGGATTCAGGTGAGTTGGAAGAGGGAAACATCTAAAACATGGAGGATAGTGGCCCTCGAGGACCGGAGTCGCCCATTGAGCTGCGGAGACAAGCGTAGCAGGACAGAGGGTAAATAAGGACAGAAAACAGATTAGTGGGATTGAGCAGCTGGAGGAGGGACGAGAGAACAATGGGTACAACAACAGCCGAATTACCAACAGTAGTAGTCCTATGATGAGAGCTGCAACGACTATATTGATACACAACCCTACTGCCGATATGGCGTAGAATTGTCCTTTTGTCTTATCATGTTGCATTTACATTATTTAAAATGTGTAGAGCTAACTACATTCCATGTATCACATGATACATGTTTGTATTCCTGCAGAGCGTCTGAAGAAGGAAGAGAAAACGCGTCAAGAGCTGGAGAAGGCAAAACGCAAGCTGGATGCTGAGACAACAGACCTGCAAGACCAAATTGCTGAGCTCCAGGCGCAGATTGAGGAATTGAAGATCCAGTTGGCCAAGAAAGAAGAAGAGCTGCAGACTTCCTTGGCCAGGTATAATTGCATTTAAACACATTCACTGCCAATCCTCCCAGTCACAGTGCATATTTGGCATCTATAGCCGTCAATGGCAGTGAAAGGAAGCACACCAGTTTCACACAAAATAAGAGTTTTGTTTTGGTATGGTGCTTGGCTTAACATTGTGTTAGCTTTTTCCTTCTTAATCACCTCATAAGATTAGCAGCACCTCTTTAAAACATTGCTGCATCCAACCCGCATCCCTAAAAATATATAAAGTATCTGTTTTTGAATGATTCCACAAATAGTGACATTTACAGCTGCAGAGAAAAAGAATTGTGTCGAACATGTGGCACCTCTTGTTGTTTAGTGACTTTCCACTTTCCATGTTGTACTACCGCACATATCCTCTTCCCGTGGTGTGTCGTCCGCCTCCATGGCAACCACACTGCAGAGTACTCAGCCCACAATCAAGGCCTCAAATAGACATGACAACAAAGACAGCGGTGAGATAAATGCTGAGTGTGTCAACTGAGCGCACGCTTTTCTTTATCAGCGAGCGCACACTCAACGCGTGCGCATACAGACACACACACATATACTTAATGCAGTGGGAAATTGATGCTAATGGAGCTGCTTACTCGCTGACTGCACACCAATATATTGGTTGGCAATATATTCTAAAAAATAATTTCGTAAATAAATAAAGGGAAATACGTGCATCTTGTTCCTAGGGACCGTGAAGCACATCCAATTTCAGAGGAGCCTTTCTTAAGTCTTCATTAGGGTTGCCGGTGAGCTTGTACCTATTCCAGTTGACAGTGTGAAAAGTGAGGTGCCCCCTGGACTGGTTGTCAGTCAATCTCAGCACACATATTGACAAACAAAGCATTCACATTCACATCTCTAGACAATTTTCAGTCTTGGGTGAATCTGGCATGGGAATGTGCACGGGGGCCCCAGAGCACCTGGAGAAAACCCACTCGAGGTTTCTGCTATGTTATCCCCTCACACGCAAACGACACCCATGCCTTAACTCAACTTGAGAAATGTGAAGCAGACGTGTAAACTTTATTTCAACACCGTTGCCCCCTTTCTCAAGTCAATCTCCTCCTATTCATGTTACCGCAAAGCATCAGTATTTCAAGCTGGACATTTGAGCTTTGAGACATTAACAAGACAAAGTGAATGTCTGTCTGCAAGATTAAACACATGTTGAAAACTTAATACGGTAATCATGACATTACGTGATAGTCGCCGGAATGTCAGTTGGACATTGGTGAAACGTGTGGCACAGTGATGGGGGAAACACTTGAATAAATGAGAATGCTTGATTCTTGAAAAATATCGATACAATTAATTACACATACATTCAATGTGCCCTTATAACTTCTATCAGGACGGACGAAGAGACGGCACAGAAGAACAATGCCCTCAAGCAGATCCGCGAGTTGCAGGCCCAACTGGCTGAGCTCCAGGAGGACCTGGAATCTGAAAAGCTGTGCAGGAGTAAAGCTGAAAAACTGAAGAGGGACCTCAGCGAGGAGCTTGAGGCTCTGAAGACAGAGCTGGAGGACACGCTGGACACTACCGCCGCCCAGCAAGAACTCAGGTGCTTAGTTAATACTGCTTGAACCATATAGGAAGAAAGCAACAAAAATCCTGTTTATCTTGATAACATTGATTTTTGTGTTTTTCCATTTTGACACAAGAACCAAGCGAGAGCAAGAAGTAGCTGAGCTGAAGAAAGCGATTGACGAGGAGAGCAAAAACCATGAGGCCCAGATCCAGGAAATGAGGCAGAGGCACGCCACAGCGCTGGAGGAACTCTCTGAACAACTGGATCAGGCTAAGAGAGTGAGTCTTCGCCATCAGCGGTGCTCATGTCGAGATGGACGGTCAGTGAACAAGACCAAGCTACTGCGATTCTCAATTCAAAACATCCCGTTTTGATGCAGTTTAAGTCCAACTTGGAAAAGAACAAGCAGTGCCTGGAAAATGACAACAAAGAGTTGGTCTGCGAGGTGAAGATTCTGCAGCAGACGAAGACAGAGTCTGAACACAAGAGGAAGAAGCTGGAGTCCTTGATGCAGGAGTTCTCAGCCAGAACCACTGAAATGGAGCGAGCCAAGGGGGAGATGGCCGACCGTTCCCACAAACTCCAGGTAGATTTCGCCAACAATATCGAGCAAGCTAGCTAGAAGGATAGCTAGCTAGATAGCTATCTATCTTTTTTTAATTTGTCCTCCTGTAGTTGGAGCTGGACAACGTGTCAACCTTGCTGGAAGAGGCGGAGAAGAAGGGCATCAAACTGACCAAGGATGCCGACAACTTGGGAAGCCAGCTGCAGGATGCACATGTAGGAAATACCGCCACGTCAAATGGCGCCGCATACTGCCGGCCTCGGACAGAATCCTCACGTCCCCAAAACCATCACGTTTCAAGAAAAAAAAATGTAGTGTTTATTGAGACGTTAGCATTGCATCGTCAAAAAGAGCGAGCCACTTTCAACACTTGGCATTGGTCAAGAATTTGTCAGAATAACCGACCCACATCGGGGTTGTCCAAAAATATCGACTTGTGAAAAACTATGAAATTGACCAACTTTGGCAAGAGGAAGTTTCACTGCCGATATGTCGACTGCAAATGGATGATTTTGCAAACATTATCGTGACTGGCATCGAGCATGTTTTTGTGGCTGTGCGGTGCAGGAGTTACTGCAGGAGGAGACCCGCCAGAAGCTGAACCTGGGCAGTCGAGTGCGTCAGCTGGAGGAGGAGAAGAACACCTTGCTGGAGCAGCAGGAGGAGGAGGAGGAGGCTCGACGCAACTTGGAGAAACAGCTGCAGACGGCCCAAGCTCAGGTATGACGTGGATCTTATTTGCCAAGAAAACTTTCCGGCATGGGATTATCGTGCATTCAGAATATTCCACAATTCCTATAGCTGCTTGAGACCAAGAAGAAGCTGGAGGAGGATGTGGGAGCCATGGAAGGCCTGGAAGAGGTGAAGCGAAAACTCCAGAAAGACGTGGAGCTGAGCAGCCAGCGTCTGGAGGAGAAAGCCATGGCAATGGACAAGATGGAGAAGACCAAAAACCGACTGCAGCAGGAACTAGACGACCTGGCGGTGGACTTGGACCACCAGAGGCAGATAGTCTCCAACTTGGAAAAGAAGCAGAAGAAGTTTGACCAGGTTGCCATCATCACTTTTTAATTTCCGTGGAATAAACAATCCCGATTTGTCAACGCTTCTGAATGTGACGGCCATGTTTCACTTCATTGCAACAGATGCTGGCCGAGGAGAAAACCGTGTCGGCTAGGTACGCCGAGGAGCGTGACCGTGCGGAGGCCGAGGCCAGGGAGAAGGAGACCAAGGCCTTGTCCATGGCCAGAGCTCTGGAGGAGGCGCTGGAGGCCAAGGAGGAGCTGGAGAGATTCAACAAGCAGCTCCGTGCAGAAATGGAGGACCTGATGAGCTCAAAGGATGACGTGGGAAAGAATGTAAGCGAATCCATTTCATGAATAGGATAGACTATCGAGTCTATCAATCGATAAAAAGAGCTAATTTCTTCTCTCCGCTGCTAATGCTAATAATGGGTTTCCATGGTTCCCTAAAATGCCTTACACTAGATATTTCCAAATAGATCTCCTCAAAAATGACACTTAATCCTTAAATCCTTTGGCTGTTGAATCAACTGAATAGAAAATGAATAATGTTTCATATTGTTGAATAAAGATAAACACTTAAAAAATAATGATGTTTTTTAAAGAAAGTATTTCAAGATGGCGCCGCGAGAGTGGCTGCCTTTACAGCAGCTCCTAGACGTTTTGTTCTTCTACATTCTTCCTTTCATAACTTTGCTGCTGTAGATTGGGAATTTCTCCATTGTGAGACAAATAAAGGTTTTCTTATTCTTATTGTTCTTTTTCTTAATATTGTCACATAATATTGAGCCCCCTCCTTGCGGTCGCATTTTTTAAAGAGACAACTTCATGAAAGTGGCTAAAATTGCCTCTGGCGGTTTTAGAAACGCATTTGCTTCACAGCATGATGCTCTATCTTGTTCTGTTTATACTTACCACAGTAACAGGGCACAAAAAATAATAACTATAATAGTACCTAATACGTGTTGCTGTTTTTCCTCGCAGGTCCACGAGCTGGAGAAGTCCAAGCGTACGCTGGAGCAGCAGGTGGAGGAGATGCGGACTCAGCTGGAGGAGCTGGAGGATGAGCTGCAGGCCACCGAGGATGCCAAATTGCGGCTCGAGGTCAACATGCAGGCCATGAAGGCCCAGTTTGATCGGGACTTGCAGGCCAGAGACGAGCAGGGCGATGAGAAGAAGAGGGCACTGGTCAAACAGGTCGGTCTTTATGACTTTCATATTTGCCTCAAGACAAAGATGTGGGTTTGAGCGAGACGTGCTGCGAGCAGGTGCGTGAAATGGAGGCCGAGTTGGAAGACGAGAGGAAGCAGAGGACGCTCGCTGTGGCCTCCAAAAAGAAGCTGGAGATGGACCTCAACGAGCTGGAGGGACAAATAGAAGCAGCCAACAAAGGCAGGGATGAGGCCATGAAGCAGCTTAAGAAACTACAAGTACGCAAAAACCCACGAGTCATCCACCTCTTTTACTTTACCGGCTGCGTCTCACCACAGAGTGTTCGCCCACTTTTCTTAGGCTCAGATGAAAGACTATCAGAGGGAGCTGGAGGAGGCGCGGTCCTCCAGGGACGAGATCTTTCTGCAGTCCAAAGAAAACGAGAAGAAACTCAAGAGCCTCGAGGCCGAAGTCTTACAACTGCAAGAGGACCACGCCGCCTCCGAGAGAGCTCGCCGCCATGCCGAACAGGAGCGGGACGAATTGGCGGACGAAATCTCCAACAGCACTTCCGGAAAGTCAGTGCGCGCCGACCGTCACTTTTCCGAAAGGTGACAAAGACAAGAGTTTGTTGACATCGGCGCTTTTGTCAGGTCTTTGCTGCTGGATGAAAAGAGGAGGCTCGAGGCTCAAATCGCCCAGCTGGAGGAGGAGCTGGAGGAGGAGCAGGGCAACACGGAGCTGCTCAACGAGCGCTTCAGAAAGAGCACGCTGCAGGTACACGCACGTTTTTCTTTGTGACATGGGGTGCACTCAACAATAAATGGCTTATAGTTGATGATAATGATACGATTTAAAAATGGTCACTTTATACATACGGCAGCAGGGGTGAGCTTGTGGGCGTGTCTGACTCACAGTAAGATAAAATAAACATGACATCCGGGGCATAGTCAGGTCAAAAAAGAGCAATATGTAAAGTAAGACTCAAGAGGCGGTAAACTGAATCCAGAATCAAAATGTCCGATATGATGTGCTTAGATCCACAAGAAAATACGCCCAGATTTGACGGTGAACTTAGCTGGCGGGAGGGTGCACCAATGACAGATTTGATTTGACGGGAGAATGTGCGCGGCCAGAAAAGCATGCAGCTTTTCTAAGTTTCACATAGAGGAGAATATGGCCCCTAATGATTCATGGAAAATGGCGGGGCGGGCGGCGGGGGTGGGCATTTGCAGACTCCTCATTTTGAAACGCAATTTCTCCAGGTGGAGACTCTAAGCACGGAGCTGGCTGCAGAGCGCGGTGCCTCCCAAAAGAGTGAGAACGCCCGGCAACAGATGGAGCGTCAGAACAAGGTGCGACAGACCTCTTCCAAAAAATTCTCGCTTTTCTCGGCAATCCACCCCAGCCCACACCAGATACCTTGAATACCGTAAGCCTCACGTTATAAAAGTCCCATTTGTCCCACAAAGGAGTTGAAAGCCAAGCTAGCGGAGCTGGAAGGCTCGGTCAAGTCCAAGTTTAAGGCTTCCATCACGGCGCTGGAAGCTAAAATCTTGCAGCTGGAGGAGCAGCTGGAACAGGAGGCAAAGTAGGTGCTAGCATTCTCAAAACACCGCGCGTGAGGTCAACCATTAATTTCGTGTTGGTCGCCATCTTCAGAGAGAGAGCAGCGGCCAATAAGATATTCCGACGCACAGAGAAGAAGCTGAAGGAGGTGATGATGCAGGTGGAGGACGAGCGGCGTCATGCCGACCAGTACAAAGAACAGGTGAATGGGGCTACACAGTTGTGGAACGATTTGATGGTCGTGTTGCTTTTTCTGTTTGTCTGTTTCAGACAAAATATAGCAACAACAAAAAAAAAAAAGCGGCTAGACCAGGGGTCGGCAACAATTATAGTTTTTTTCAGCCCAAAACGCATTGCTATACATGGTCGTTTTGTTCGGCCCAAAATGCCTTACGAGACATGGTCGTTTTTTTGGCTAAAAACGCCCTACTATACGTGGTCGGTTTTTTTTCGGCCCAAAACGCCTTACTCTACATGGTGATTTCTTTTATTCTTTTTTTTTTTTTGGCCCAAAACGACTTACGATACATGGTCGGTTTTTTTTTTTTGGTCCATAAATGCCTTACTATACATGGTCGTTTTTTTCGGCCCAAAATGCCTTACGAAACATGGTCGTTTTTTTCGGCTAAAAACGCCTTACTATACATGGTCTTTTTTGGGCTAAAAACGCCTTACTATACATGGTCGTTTTTTTTTTAGTCCTTTTTTTTCGGCCCAAAACGCCTTACTATACATGGTCGTTTTTTTCGGCTAAAAACGCCTTACTATACGTGGTCGTTTTTTTCGGCTAAAAATGCCTTACTATACATGGTCGTTTTTTTTTCGGCTAAAAACGCCTTACGATACGTGGTCGTTTTTTTCGGCCCAAAACGCCTAACTATGCATGGTCGTTTTTTTCGGCATAAAATGCCTTACTATACGTGGTCGTTTTTTAGTCTTTTTTTTTCGGCCCAAAACGCCTTACTATACATGGTGTTTTTTTTCGGCAAAAAACGCCTTGCTATACATGGTCGTTTTTTTTTCGGCCCAAAATGCCTTACTATACATGGTCGTTTTTTTAGGCGGTTTTTTTTTTCGGCCCAAAACGCCTTACGATACATGGTCGTTTTTTTCGGCTAAAAACGCCTTGCTATACATGGTCGTTTTTTTCGGCCCAAAATGCCTTACTATACATGGTCGTTTTTTTAGTCGGTTTTTTTTTTCGGCCCAAAACGCCTTACGATACATGGTCGTTTTTTTCGGCTAAAAACGCCTTGCTATACATGGTCGTTTTTTTCGGCCCAAAATGCCTTACTATACATGGTCGTTTTTTTAGTCGGTTTTTTTTTTCGGCCCAAAACGCCTTACGATACATGGTCGTTTTTTTCGGCTAAAAACGCCTTGCTATACATGGTCGTTTTTTTCGGCCCAAAATGCCTTACTATACATGGTCGTTTTTTTAGTCGGTTTTTTTTTTCGGCCCAAAACGCCTTACGATACATGGTCGTTTTTTTCGGCTAAAAACGCCTTGCTATACATGGTCGTTTTTTTCGGCCCAAAATGCCTTACTATACATGGTCGTTTTTTTAGTCGGTTTTTTTTTTCGGCCCAAAACGCCTTACGATACATGGTCGTTTTTTTCGGCTAAAAACGCCTTGCTATACATGGTCGTTTTTTTCGGCCCAAAATGCCTTACTATACATGGTCGTTTTTTTAGTCGGTTTTTTTTTTCGGCCCAAAACGCCTTACGATACATGGTCGTTTTTTTCGGCTAAAAACGCCTTGCTATACATGGTCGTTTTTTTCGGCCCAAAATGCCTTACTATACATGGTCGTTTTTTTAGTCGGTTTTTTTTTTCGGCCCAAAACGCCTTACGATACATGGTCGTTTTTTTCGGCTAAAAACGCCTTGCTATACATGGTCGTTTTTTTCGGCCCAAAATGCCTTACTATACATGGTCGTTTTTTTAGTCGGTTTTTTTTTTCGGCCCAAAACGCCTTACGATACATGGTCGTTTTTTTCGGCTAAAAACGCCTTGCTATACATGGTCGTTTTTTTCGGCCCAAAATGCCTTACTATACATGGTCGTTTTTTTAGTCGGTTTTTTTTTTCGGCCCAAAACGCCTTACGATACATGGTCGTTTTTTTCGGCTAAAAACGCCTTGCTATACATGGTCGTTTTTTTCGGCCCAAAATGCCTTACTATACATGGTCGTTTTTTTAGTCGGTTTTTTTTTTCGGCCCAAAACGCCTTACGATACATGGTCGTTTTTTTCGGCTAAAAACGCCTTGCTATACATGGTCGTTTTTTTCGGCCCAAAATGCCTTACTATACATGGTCGTTTTTTTAGTCGGTTTTTTTTTTCGGCCCAAAACGCCTTACGATACATGGTCGTTTTTTTCGGCTAAAAACGCCTTGCTATACATGGTCGTTTTTTTCGGCCCAAAATGCCTTACTATACATGGTCGTTTTTTTAGTCGGTTTTTTTTTTCGGCCCAAAACGCCTTACGATACATGGTCGTTTTTTTCGGCTAAAAACGCCTTGCTATACATGGTCGTTTTTTTCGGCCCAAAATGCCTTACTATACATGGTCGTTTTTTTAGTCGGTTTTTTTTTTCGGCCCAAAACGCCTTACGATACATGGTCGTTTTTTTCGGCTAAAAACGCCTTGCTATACATGGTCGTTTTTTTCGGCCCAAAATGCCTTACTATACGTGGTTGATTTTTTTAGGCTAAAAACGCCTTACTATATATACATGGTCTTTTTTGGGCTAAAAACGCCTTACTCTACATGGTCGTTTTTTTCGGCGAAAAACGGCTTACTATACATGGTCGTGTTTTTTCGGCTAAAAACGCCTAACTATACGTGGTCGTTTTTTCGGCCCAAAACGCCTAACTATACGTGGTCGTTTTTTCGGCCCAAAACGCCTAACTATACGTGGTCGTTTTTTCGGCCCAAAACGCCTAACTATACGTGGTCGTTTTTTCGGCCCAAAACGCCTAACTATACGTGGTCGTTTTTTCGGCCCAAAACGCCTAACTATACGTGGTCGTTTTTTCGGCCCAAAACGCCTAACTATACGTGGTCGTTTTTTCGGCCCAAAACGCCTAACTATACGTGGTCGTTTTTTCGGCCCAAAACGCCTAACTATACGTGGTCGTTTTTTCGGCCCAAAACGCCTAACTATACGTGGTCGTTTTTTCGGCCCAAAACGCCTAACTATACGTGGTCGTTTTTTCGGCCCAAAACGCCTAACTATACGTGGTCGTTTTTTCGGCCCAAAACGCCTAACTATACGTGGTCGTTTTTTCGGCCCAAAACGCCTAACTATACGTGGTCGTTTTTTCGGCCCAAAACGCCTAACTATACGTGGTCGTTTTTTCGGCCCAAAACGCCTAACTATACGTGGTCGTTTTTTCGGCCCAAAACGCCTAACTATACGTGGTCGTTTTTTCGGCCCAAAACGCCTAACTATACGTGGTCGTTTTTTCGGCCCAAAACGCCTAACTATACGTGGTCGTTTTTTCGGCCCAAAACGCCTAACTATACGTGGTCGTTTTTTCGGCCCAAAACGCCTAACTATACGTGGTCGTTTTTTCGGCCCAAAACGCCTAACTATACGTGGTCGTTTTTTCGGCCCAAAACGCCTAACTATACGTGGTCGTTTTTTTCGGCCCATAACGCCTTACGATATATGGTCATTTTTTTCGGCCCATAATGCCTTACGATATATGGTCGTTTTTTTCGGCTAAAAACGCCTTACTATACGTGGTCGTTTTTTCGGCCCAAAACACCTTACTATACGTGGTCGCTTTTTTCGGCTAAAAACGCCTTACTATACGTGGTCGTTTTTTCGGCCCAAAACACCTTACTATACGTGGTCGCTTTTTTCGGCTAAAAACGCCTTACTATACGTGGTCGTTTTTTCGGCCCAAAACACCTTACTATACGTGGTCGCTTTTTTCGGCTAAAAACGCCTTACTATACGTGGTCGTTTTTTCGGCCCAAAACACCTTACTATACGTGGTCGCTTTTTTCGGCTAAAAACGCCTTACTATACGTGGTCGTTTTTTCGGCCCAAAACACCTTACTATACGTGGTCGCTTTTTTCGGCTAAAAACGCCTTACTATACGTGGTCGTTTTTTCGGCCCAAAACACCTTACTATACGTGGTCGCTTTTTTCGGCTAAAAACGCCTTACTATACGTGGTCGTTTTTTCGGCCCAAAACACCTTACTATACGTGGTCGCTTTTTTCGGCTAAAAACGCCTTACTATACGTGGTCGTTTTTTCGGCCCAAAACACCTTACTATACGTGGTCGCTTTTTTCGGCTAAAAACGCCTTACTATACGTGGTCGTTTTTTCGGCCCAAAACACCTTACTATACGTGGTCGCTTTTTTCGGCTAAAAACGCCTTACTATACGTGGTCGTTTTTTCGGCCCAAAACACCTTACTATACGTGGTCGCTTTTTTCGGCTAAAAACGCCTTACTATACGTGGTCGTTTTTTCGGCCCAAAACACCTTACTATACGTGGTCGCTTTTTTCGGCTAAAAACGCCTTACTATACGTGGTCGTTTTTTCGGCCCAAAACACCTTACTATACGTGGTCGCTTTTTTCGGCTAAAAACGCCTTACTATACGTGGTCGTTTTTTCGGCCCAAAACACCTTACTATACGTGGTCGCTTTTTTCGGCTAAAAACGCCTTACTATACGTGGTCGTTTTTTCGGCCCAAAACACCTTACTATACGTGGTCGCTTTTTTCGGCTAAAAACGCCTTACTATACGTGGTCGTTTTTTCGGCCCAAAACACCTTACTATACGTGGTCGCTTTTTTCGGCTAAAAACGCCTTACTATACGTGGTCGTTTTTTCGGCCCAAAACACCTTACTATACGTGGTCGCTTTTTTCGGCTAAAAACGCCTTACTATACGTGGTCGTTTTTTCGGCCCAAAACACCTTACTATACGTGGTCGCTTTTTTCGGCTAAAAACGCCTTACTATACGTGGTCGTTTTTTCGGCCCAAAACACCTTACTATACGTGGTCGCTTTTTTCGGCTAAAAACGCCTTACTATACGTGGTCGTTTTTTCGGCCCAAAACACCTTACTATACGTGGTCGCTTTTTTCGGCTAAAAACGCCTTACTATACGTGGTCGTTTTTTTTTTCGGCCCAAAACGTCTTACTATATATACATGGTCATTTTTTTCGGCAAAAAACGCTTTGATATACGTGGTCGGTTTTTTTCCGCCCAAAATGCCCAACTATATATACATGGTCATTTTTTTCAGCCAAAAACGCCTGACTATACATGGTCGTTTTTTTTCGGCTACAAACGCCTTACTATACGTGTTCGTTTTTTTCGGCCCAAAACGGCTTACTATACATCGTCGTTTTTTTCAGCTAAAAACGCCTTACTATACGTGGTCGTTTTTTTTTTCGGCCCAAAACGTCTTACTATATATACATGGTCATTTTTTTCAGCCAAAAACGCCTGACTATACATGGTCGTTTTTTTCGGCTAAAAACGCCTTACTCTACATGGTCGTTTTTTTTGGCAAAAAAAAAAGCCTTACTATACATGGTCATTTTTTTTTCAGCCCAAAACGCCTTGGTCGTTTTATTCGGCCCATACACAAATGAAATGAACACCACAGGTTAATTTTTAAAGATTTTTATTGATTTTAGAAGCGTTCCCTGAAAATTAAGGACAATTAAGAACATCATTTTACAACTTCTTTTTTTATGGATTTTTATGAACTTTAAGAACCCGTGGGAACCCTTAAACTTTATTTCTGCTTTTAACAGTCTCGACAAACACAGACATGTCTGCGTCCGACTCCGTGCCTTCTCTCATCTCGTTCAACTCGAGAGGCGTTCACAGACAGCCTCCAAAAAACGGAAATTCATGATAACTTCACTGACACGAAGAAAAGCGAAAATAATGCACCAAAACAAAAAAATCAAGCTAGGAAATGACAAAATAAATTCTATGGGGGCGTTTGTGAACACACAACAAAGGAATGAATAACAAACAATTCTGAGACAGTCCAGTCTCCTGCATACATACAGCATGTGTTTCCTTCATTGTACGTTTTATAGAAGGCTTTTGTTTTTTTGCGGCTCCAGACATATTTGTTTTTTGTTTTTTTTGTCCTATATGGCTCTTTCAACATTTTGGGTTGCTGACCCCTGGGCTAGATTAAGAGAAAACACAAGAAATAAAGCAAGAATAGTAGTTTAATATTGCTATATTTAGATTTTTTTTCCCCTCGCTCGGAGAAACCAAATGCACTTGATTAGCTGTTGATGTCCTTTGCCGTTGCCATTTGCTCTGTCTCTCTATTCAACGCACCCGTCTGTCTGTCCGTCCGTCCGCCCAGATGGACAAAGGCAACTCGCGTATGAAGCAGCTGAAGCGTCAGCTGGAGGAGGCGGAGGAGGAGGCCACCAAGGCCAACGCGTCGCGTAGGAAGCTGCAGAGGGAGCTGGACGACGCCAGTGAAGCCAGCGAGGGCCTCAGCCGCGAGATCAGCAGCCTCAAGAGCAGACTCAGGTGACGCCACTTCAACACACAATCATCAACATATGTGGGTGGGAGGGGCTTAGATCATATGACTTGACTCACACTGAAGTCTGGGACTTGCTCGGCTTCTGGAAGACTCGACTTGCCTTTGCCTTGGGAGTTATTTGTTTTTTTGCGTTGTGTATCCCAAACAACCGGGGGATGGGGGGTTGTTCATTCTGAATTCAAGCATTTTGCTTTGTTGTGTGTTGCGCTCAGGCGCGGCGGCCCCGTCGGTTTCTCATCCTCCGGTCGCTCGGGCCACCACAACCTGAACGTGGACGGCGCCTCCGTGGATCGCTCTGACGACGACGCCGACAGCCGCACCAGCGACTTCAACGACATCGGCAATATGGAGTGAAGGATCACGCTCGCTCACTCTGACTTGGACTCGAAACAATGCAGCACATCTGTCCGCCAATATGACACCCACAGCGGTACCTTGACTTACAAGTGGCCCAAGTTCCCACAGTCCCCCGCCCCCTGAAAAAAAAAGCAGGGTGGGATTGTGATTGTGTATAGATGCCGCACGATGGTGGCAGAGTACTTGAACACCATGCATCTAGCATGTACACAATCACGAACCCTTGTTACATAAGACTCTTCAGTCAGTTGTTCAACACAAACAAACAATTCACCTTCACATTTGGCTCATGAATAATATTAGCTAGCCTACTAGCTTGATGCGCTAGCATGAACTGATGTGACATCACACATGAGCAAAAAAATACGCGCACTCGCACTTTACCCAAATGTTCTTAAGTCTTTACGGGCTAATTTCCGCAAATAATTGTAACAGCAAATTAATTCACAGGCTATTTGTGGCGGCATTGTGAGAGAAGCAAAAAATATACTTTCATTTTTGGTGGCGCACGAGGTGCATTCAGGGACGGACAACAAAACAGGACGTCTCAATTCCAAACACTCACATACAATTCAACTTAACAACGCCACAATTCCAGCAGATGGTGCCAAAATAATATGAGAAGTTTAGCGAACAACTGGGGGGAGGCTAGTCCCCCCCCCCCCCCCCCCAAAAAAAACCCCCGCCAAGTTTGCAAATACTGAACCATGAATAGCTTATGCAGCAGTTCACTGTACAAAAAAATTGATGTGCACCTCCGTTTGTGGGATTAAAAAAAAGGAACAAAGAAAATTCATATTAAAAAAATACACTCAAGATACATTTTTGCAGTGCAACTCCAGTTTTATGCTTGCATTTTCCATTTTTTTGTGGCAGTATTTAGACACATTTCTTCACGTATGTTTTAACTACAGTACTGTACAGTGCTATTTTTCTAATTAAAATACAATTCTTGAGATATGAGCAATTTGAGTTCCTAAGCTGCTCAAGTAACTAAAATAAGCTTTTAAGTCAAGGTACCGCTGTATTATTATTATTTTTTTTTTTTCCCCGCCAACTCCCTCTTTGCTTCGAGGCGAGGCAAACGGACATTTTGCCTTTCTACTCCAATGTCCTTCACGGATGTGGGGTACAAAGTGCTTTTTGGGGAGGCAGGCGGACTCACACTCTCATTTATCAAGTATGCCACGACAGAAAAAGTCGACTCGCGCACTTCCAAGGAACTAAAATGCAAACCGGATTACGGCGACGGTGACTAAAACACAACGGACACGTCAACACGTGGCGAAGGAACGGACGGCCAAGAGCCGCACGGCGACATCAAAATGGAGGAAAGAATTGAGGTTAGGGGCTTCTATTTTATTATTTTTTTCAACATTCACTTCACACAAAAAGACTGGAAGATTTTGATGGTTAGTCTCATGTGGAAAGCCGGTTGAGCATTTATTCCTTGATATCCTGTTGAAGTCCTCACTCACAAGACCATTTAGTGCACTAGAAGGATGAGTTTCTTACTCGTAACATTTTTTTTCTCCACGACTGGATGGAGAAATGTCATTTCCTGTTTTATTTTGATAGTCAACGGTAACATGTAGTTGCCAAAAATTGCTAGAGAGGACAAAAAGCCTACTCTGATGTGGAACTTAAGGTGAATATTTTTGAAAAATAGTCTTAGTGATTTTTGTTTTCCCCTCCCCTGTCAATATTGCGATTGCTATTTGATGTTTGTGTTTTTCCCAAGGATCTTTTTGAAAGTTTTTTTTTTAACAAACGCCAGCGATACATTAATGTGTATTACAAACCATATCAGATTTATACATATTTTTGGATGGGGGGGGGGGTCTGATAGGTTAGGTTCATATTCAAATAAAGACAAATCATTAATCTAGTAAGACAGTTAATCTAGTTATTAATTGATGAAACATGGTAACTTGCAGTCTTGTAAGCGTCCACGTTAATAACTTGACTAAATCCTACCAGACAAGCACGGCGTAAAATAAATCAGATTCCCAAAAATCATGTCAACAAATCTCTGGTGTTGACATTTTCATGTTTCATGAAACATTTGAGTGTGAAATCAAATTGTTCAAGCCCTCATCTCTAGGAACTCGGAAGAAATGCTCAACCGGCTTTCCATCGTCTCATATAAAGTGCAGATCATCTCCTTAGTGTAAAATGACAACGGGTCAACGTATGTTTCTTTAAAAGTGCCTTAAGACACTAAATAAGAACATCAACAGACGAGGATTCTAAAAGCTCACCAAACGCGATCCAACAATTTTTTTTTCTCGCTTTTGTTCCTGTGCTTCGTATCCAAATGGTACAGTACGTGACGACGCGTTACCTCCACTCTTGTTTTCGCCATACTTAACACTCATTCTGACTCCGTATTAAGAAGTCTCGAGTTATGATTGTACAGGATATTTTTCATTTGGTTGGAAGCTTTAACAGCCTCAAGTAGTTGAGTAACATCCGGTTCTTATAATTACGATGGTAATGATTGTCATTATTAGTATTGAGCAGGCATTCCACTACAAATACTCCCAGTGTTATTTCTTGTCTACCTGCATTTCTAGACTGTAATCATTTTTTTTTTTTTTTAATAAGGAAAATAAAGCATATTCATTGTAACAGTTTCACTTGTTCTGTCCTTTCACCGTAAATATTCGGGGGGGGGGGCATATTTGTGTAAAATATTGACAATAATGAGGATGTTCTAAAGTATTTCCTATCAAGAAGTATTTGGAAGTAGAGTCACGATAGAACTAAAAGGCTGTCGCCTGCGGCTCGCACAGCAAGTCACTGATTTGTTTGGCATCCTTTTTAAGGACCGCAATTGTTTGCATTTTTTTTAAAGGTTTATAATGTATGTTGCACAAACTACTTGTAAATAAATATATAGCCATTTTTTTTTATTTTTGGTTCCAAACCATAATGTCATCAACCCCGTAGACTAATTCTAAATCTGTTTTCACGGGTTTGGTCACGCGATGCCAGAGCAGTTGTGATGTTTGTTTTGGTCGATAGACAGTAAACCAATATGATGCAACCAGGTTGCGCGTTACACCGTTGGCGCAGAAAGACGTTTTGTTTTCGTGTGTGCCGTGTTGTCTGTTTTTTCACGTAAAACGGGGTGACTTGCATCAATCACGTTTGGGAAACACAGTCCCTTAACCCTCGAAGAGAGAGAAATCCGAGTCGTCAAGGAAACCACCTGTTTTGTGTTTTAATTCCGTATTTGACACACAGGAGAAAGTAATTCTACTTAAAATGAAAAAAAAATTAATGAAACCACCGATTCAGAGAAATGTCTTATTGTTTACACCTGACCAGTCTACCCCTCCTTCAGCCCCCATCTTATCCCCTTCACCCAAAGTGTCAATCACTGCTGTGGGTCACATGACTCGACATGAAACACACACACACACGCGCACACACACGTACACAGGAGGAAAGAAGGAGAGCTACAACAATCTTTGGCGTCATTCTCGGTGCAACCATGTCAGTCTTACGCACACAAAGGTGGGTAGGGGTCTATGGAGGTAATCAGTCATTTAAGCATGGGGTGGGCGCGGGGTGTTCTGGTTACTTTTGCACATATATCCTGCATAGAACATTTTCTACCGGCGTCCAAACTAAGGCCTTAGCATGTGTTAACGTTGGAGAAATGGCAACACAAAAACAAAAAAAAACAACAAAAGATAAGTCATTCAAGTATGCTACAATCTTATCTCGCATCTCTCCCTGCTGCATTCTCATTTCAAGTCTTTAGCGCGCCACAATAAAAAGGTCCAGTGTGATGTAAGAGCACCCCAAAAACAAACAAAAAAAAAAAAGACAACAAAATGTCCTGTGCAACGTTCACTCCGTACTGTTGGGAGAATGTGGAATTAACAGTATATTGTTTGCTTTTTCCCTACGCATACACATTCATCTCTTTCCAACACGCACGCACACACAGTATAACGTCCCTGTGTAAATTACAAATAATTTATCAATATTTATAATTTAAGCTACTACTTAACAGTCGTCAGTGGGAGCGAGAAACAAGAAGAGGAGGAAGTGTCGCGACAATAAAAAGGCTAAAAAAGGACACGAAGAAAAAAATAAGCATCAGATTTCTTTCAATCTTGTTTTGTTTTTTGTCGAGAACTCTGCCCCGCCGTTTAAATAGAAATCTTCATGTTCTCTCCTTCCACAGTGATCAAGGTCGCTTGATGTAAACATGTTGACCAAAAAAAAAAAATTAAAATACATCTTCTCCTCACCCACTCTGTCTTGTTCTACAAAGTTTGTTTGTGTGCCAAAGTCCATCCAGGTCCACTTTTAATTACTGAAAGAAAAAAAAAAAAGCAAGACAAAAAGCTCTGCGGTGTCCCATTGGCGCAATAGTCAGTCAATCAAAAGAGTCCAATGTTGTTATGATGGAGCAGCTATCAGTGGCTTGGCTTCCGCTTGTCTCCGCCCTGACTTTGGTTGGTGTCTGATGGCAGCAGAAGAGCAGCAATTTTTTATTTTTATGGACATCTTTCCAAACATTTGGGTCCCAAAAAAATGTAATAAAATAAAAAAATAATAAAATGTGACATGAGGAGAGACTTGGTCTTACCTGAGAAAGCAAGCTGCAAGTGAGGAGGTAGAGTGGCCTGTGACCCGGACTGGAGACTCTTGTAAAGCTCTGAGGAGACACAAAATGGAGGATGAGGGGAAAATAGCTGTGTCTGTCTATTCATCGAACTAGATTCAAGTTTTTTGGTCTTTTTTTTTTTTTTTTTGAAGCTTTGACCTATTAAAAAATCCAGAAAAACTTTTCCTCATTAAATTATCACTTTAAAACATTGAAGGCAAAAACCACATGGGGGTGGGGGGGCTACTGGGTCATGCATTGCATCAACTAATTACAAATGTGGAAAGACCTTGTTAGGGGCTTTAATATGGACTGACATGACTTGTTCTGTAGTGAAATGATTTTTTTTAAGTATCTTTTCATATTTGCTCATTGGTGAATATTGGGACCCCAATGCAGATCAAAGCCAATCTGGCCACTCACCTACTCGATTTCAAATATTAAAAACACAGGTTTTCTATCAAAAGTACTCACATATTGATCTTGTGAGTCTAATTAGATTTGTGACATATTCAGACACAGGTCAAAGTCCATTACGACCAAAACCTAATCAGCTATTGACCATCAAGTCGTGCGTGAATGTCAAAAGTTTTGTCTTGGGACAACACTCACCCAACAGGTCGCTCTGTGCTAGGGGGTATCCTGAGTTGGAGCCGGGGGCCGAGCCCATGCCAGCGGGGCCCGGGGCTCCGGGGGGGCTGAAGTTGAGCAGCGGGGGGAACTGGAAGGGCAGCGAGACGGGCACCAGGCCGCCGAGCATTCCGAACCCCAGTGGCAGCGTGGAGGGGCTGCCCAGGAGGGGCCCGCCTGCCGCGGTTACCTGAAGGCACACCAAGGGAGACATCAAGACTGCGGAAAAACAACACGGCGCTCGACTTAGACAGGAGACCGACAATGAAGCCCTTTTGGGTGGGGGGGGGTGCCAAGCACTGACCCTGTCGATTCATGACATCAGTTAAAATGATTATTGCATAATTGGCATCTGGACACTTTTTTTTGCATGTTATGTTTTTGTTTGCGGTATAAAAATCAAACAACTTGTTCAAGCGTTATGGAAGGATTGAACCTGAAAAAATGTGCAGCAAGAGGTAAGTAAAAACAGCAATGACGATTGGTCCATTTAAGTCGATATAACTCA